TTGGGGTAAAGGGGAGCCGATCGGGGGCGGGGCCAGCTGGGGGGAGGGGTCATGGGCAGTTGGCCAGCCAGCCTGGTCCCCTGGTTGAACTCGCTGTCAAAGGGTAAATTTTCGTATTAGCTTTTTATTATATAGGATTGATTTCAGAGAGTAAGGGAGGGGGAGAGAGAAACATCAGTGATGAGAGAGAATCATTGATTGGCTGCTTTCTGCACACCATCCACTAGGGATTAAGCCCGCAACCCGGACGCGTGCTTGGACTGGGAATTGAACCGTGACCTCCTGATTCGTAGGTTCAGCCACAATGGTTGGGCTATAGCTATAATATTAAAATAATTTTTTAAAATGTTCTTACAAAAAGATACATTGAAGTGATGTATCCATTTAAGTGTGATATAACAGAATTATTTGTTCTCCTCTCTTAATTCTTCACTTTAGAAAAACAGTCCATGAAAAACATAAAATATTATATAAAAATCATAAGTATTTTCTAATTGATTATTTCCCACTTCATAAGACTGCCATTTCTACATAAATGGTACAACTAGAGGAATCTTCTGTGCCCTTTAGTCTTCTCTCAGCCTTTTGCTTAGCCATTTCAGATATGTAACCATTATCTTAATCTAATAATGATTTTAATTGGATTTTGGGTCAAAGGAAACACTTAAGCTAGACTGTGTGCTCACAGAATGTTATTAATGGAGACATAAGATGATTACGGGGAATTAAAAGAAATAGCTTCTTTGTTCAAAGTCTTTCTAATTAACTCAGCCCACCTTTTCACCTCTCTTCACCTCTAAACAAATTATATCATTCTGACAAACTGGATTACTTGGCCTTCATCAGTTATCATATATGTGATTGTATCAATAATTTGATATCTACAGTAAGAATGCAGTTCACAAATGAGCTATTGGGCCAGGAATTCTCATTCCTAAGATAAGATCTCCTTGAATTTATTACTCTCCCAGAACATCTCATCTGCCCCTTTAATGTCAGTTCCGGATCTTTGCCAAAGCACGGGCTCAGATTGCCTTCCCAACAGCAGGCACATACCGTAGTTCCTGATTCCATATAGAACATTTTCTCAAAAAATGCTCCACTGACACCTGAAACTAAGTACACTAGAAACAAAACCTGAAGTCATTCCCACCCCCTTTCCAACTGTCAGATCGTCTATTCAGTACTCATCCCTGAAATTCAGAAACCTACTGATTAAAAAAAAACTCTATTAATAATAGAACATAGGTATCTTTTGTATTTATTTCTTTATATTTCCAGTGATAAAATTTTGCAGCTGACTCCTGATTTCTGACCTCTCCCAGCCCATTTTCTCCACTGCTATCAGGATTATTTTCCTAAAGTATAGATTGGATTATATCACTTGTATCCTGAAACCTTGTGGACTTATTATTTATATCAGTGCTGTCCAGTAGAAATATACTGTAACTACATATATGATCTTAAATGTTCTAGTAGCCTCATTTAAAAAAGTAAAATTAAATATAGTTCATTTCAATTTAACCCAATATATGTAAAATATTTCATCATGATCAGTAAAAAATTATTAGTAAGACATTTTATTTATTTGCTTGTTTGTTTTGATATTATGTTTTTGGAATCCAGAGGGTGTTTTTCATTTAATAGCACATCTCAATCCAAACTAACCACATTTCAAACTCAATAGCCACATGTGGCTAGTGGCTTCCATATTACAGCACGGGTCAGTAGCATAAATTTAATGTTTTTCGTCTGCAATTTTGGGCCATCCACAATTTCAGCTATTGCTCTCCATATTTCAACTTCTCCCCACTCACTCAGGCACCAGCTATACCTAATTGTCTGCCATTCTTTTTCTTTTTATTATTACCCTTCCCTGTCTGTGGAAATCTCTCTTTTTTTAATCCTCACCTGAGGATATTCTTTCCATGGATTTTTTTTTTTTTTTCCCCTGAGAGAGTGAAAAGAAGGGAGGAGAGAGAGAAAGAGGGAGAAGGGGAGGGGGAGAGAGAGGGGGAGGAGAAAAAAAAACAAAAAAAACATCAACAGGCGATACATTAATTGGTTGCCTTCTGCACTCACCCTGACCAGGGTTGGGAATCGAAGCACAACCAAGGTTACTTGCCCTTGACTAGAGAATCAAACCTGAGACTCCTGTCCATGGGCTAACACTCTTAACCACTGAGCAAACCGGCCAGGGCGGCAGTGTTCTCTTTTAATATTTGTTTTTCCTTTTATATCTGGATTAATTCCACAGTTTAAAAGGTGTCCTTTCTTTTTGTGGGTTGAAGCTTTTGCTAATGTAGAAGTAATTACCTAGTATGAATTAAACTAGGTTTCAGATGTACATGTGAAAGATTATTCTGGTTCTAATCCCAACTATAACTTGTTCTTTGTAAGTAAATTATATATATATGCTAAGGCTCCCTCCCGCTCCCCCAGATGTATTGAAAAGTTTATATGGTTTTTTAATCTCTTTTTCCCCTAAAGAGATTTAGCCAATGGAATTTTGCCTGAGTTCTTTTTCCCACATAAAAGCAAACAGGTGCCTGAAAAGGTTGCACTCTATTCTGGGAGAAATCTGATTATAATGTTGAAGGACTGTGTCAGGTCAGACTTCGTAGCATGCTCACAGTTTATTTAGTGAGTGCCCAGGATCAACTCTCAACATTATCTCAGATTTTACTGGTTTTCTTGTGAAGGGCATTTGTAGATGAAGCCAGTTTGTATATTTAGTAAATTGTGGCTCTTAGATCAGAAACTGGTTAAGAAGAAATTCTTTCCTGGGTCAGGCAGCAGTTTGAAAGAATGAATGATTCATCAGATGGAGTTGCAAGGATTAAAATTGCATTCTGTGCTTTAACACAAATTGTTGCATTTAAATCTATGGTGAAATCTTACCCCTAGTGATATAAGAATTCCTCAAAAGAAGTATCTTTTAAATAAACTCTCTTAAATTCTCTTGGGGAAGAAAATGGGGAACATGTACAGTAGTGTTAACAATAAAAACTTGAAATAAGAAAGAAAAAAATTACCTTAAGAATTTTTAGGTATCCTCCCAACTGCTTGAAAAACACAGAAAAGTCCTGGTCAGTGGATAGAGCATAGGCCTGCGGACTAAAGGGTGCCAGGTTCGATTCCAGTTAGGGGCATGTATCCTGGTTGTGGGCGTGTCCCCAGTGAGGGGTGTGTAGGAGGCAACTGGTTGATGTTTCTCCCCCATGGATGTTTCTGGCTCTTTATTCCTCTCCCTTCCTCTCTATAAAATATATATATATATATATATATATATATATATATATATATATATATATATATATATTTAAGAACACAGAAAAAAAGTGGTACTTCTTTATGATAAGGTAGACCTGTCATCCTCCATGCTTCTCTTTCCCCTACTGCCCCCACCTCCCACCCCATCCAGTTCACCTGTAAATCCTTTGTTTCACCAGATCCCAAATCCCTGCACTCTAACTGTACTGCCACCATTTCACAATGGAGTTGCTGAGACTCCTGAGTCATCCCTTCTTTCCACTGGTGTTCTCCACATCAGGCAGAAGGATTTTTTATTCTTATTCTTTTTTTTTTTTAATGTTTTCTCTTTTTTTAATATATTTTATTGATTTTGTACAGAGAGGAAGGGAGAGAGATAGCGAGTTAGAAACATCGACGAGAGAGTCATCGATCAGCTGCCTCTTGCACACCCCCTACTGGAGATGTGCCCGCAACCAAGGTACATGCCCTTGACCGGAATTGAACCCGGGTCCCTTCAGTCCCCAAGCCGATGCTCTATCCATTGAGCCAAACCGGTTTCGGCTATTATTCTTATTCTTATTATTATTGAGACTTTATTAGTATACATTAATTAAAAATAAAAAGCAGATGCTATTGATTTTAATAATGTATTCTCTTTAACACATTATATCCCAAATATTATTTCAATATGTAATCAATATAAAAGTTAATGAGATAGCTGACTCTCTTTTTTCATATCAAGTTTTCAAAATCCAGTGTGCATTTTATACTTAGAGTACATCTCAGTTTGGATCAGCTCCATTTCAAGGCTTACTACTGGCAACATGTGGTAGTGGCTGTTTTATTGGAAAGCTCAGCCCTGGACAGGATAGTGGTTTTCTCTTGGATATACCCCATTTTCTCTAAGGAAATGGGGTATATTCTTAAATTTGTTCTGTATTTTACAGTTATTGACTAATATTTAAAGCTAAAAGATTGAGGCTTTTGATATTCTTAATGATTGCTAGCTATGGATCAGTTGCATTGTCACTAGCATCAGTACCTTTTTAAAAAAATCATTTTACATCCTTACAAAATACAACAAAATTAATAGCACAAATTTCTTCTGTCCTATATAATAAAAGGCTAATATGCAAATTGACCAAACAGCGGAATGACTGGTCACTATGATGTGCACTGACCACCAGGGGGCATATGCTCCACACAGGAGCTGCCCTCTGGTGGTCAGTGCACTCCCACAGGGGGAGCACCGCCCAGCCAGAAGTCAGGCTCATGGCTGGCAAGCACAGTCGCAGTGGTGGGAGCCTCTCCTGCCTCCGCAGCAGCACTAAGATGTCCGACTGCCAGCTTAGGCCCACTCCCCAGGAAGAGCATACCTGAGCTGTCAGTCGGACATTCCCTGAGGGCTCCCTGACTGCAAGAGGGCACAGGTCAGGCTGAGGAACAAGCCCTCCTCCCACCCCCTGAGGTCTAGCCTGTAGTACAATAATAATCCTGCTGAAATTGTACTCTTGGCTGGTAGGTAATGTCACTCTGTGGTGAAAGATCCAATTCTAAGTTAGAGAATATGACTTAGGAGTATTGGTATATAATATATCAACTTGAGCACTTTTTATTCTGAATTTCAGGGTAAATATGTTTACTGGTATGTAGTAAAATGAACTGTCAGGAGGTAATGGGTAGGAATTCCTGAAAAGTTGGTAAGAACATCCTTTAAACATTATTATTATTATTTTTTTTTTTAGGAGTTGCAGATGGTGTAGGAGGATGGAGAGACTATGGAGTTGATCCGTCTCAGTTCTCAGGGACTTTAATGCGGACATGTGAACGGTTAGTAAAAGAAGGACGGTTTGTTCCAAGTAATCCCATTGGAATCCTCACCACAAGCTACTGTGAGTTGCTGCAGAATAAAGTACCTTTGCTTGGTAAGTAGATATCCTATGTGCTTTCCTCTCTAAAGATGCCCAGGAAATGATTAACAATAAAACCCAAGAAATTAATCAGCCTACCTTTAAGCAGCATTTGATAAAGAAGCTATTAAATACTTAACGATTTACTTACAAAATACTATTGCTTGGAGAGAATGTAAATAGGTACAACCTCTTTGGAAAACAATTTGGAATTATAGAATACAGTTAAACATGAACAGATAAGTATGCTCCAGCAGTTCCATGTCTAGATCTATACCCTAGACTAGAGAAACTCTAACACACCTGTGTATTCAAGAGTAGGCACACGAATGTTTATAGCAACATTATTTATAATAGCAGAAAATTGGGAACAATCTAGATGTCCATTTATAATAGAAAAATACACTTAGAAAAGGAATGATTTAAAGCTGCATACAATACTTAGGAGCAGCCCTGGCTGGTGTAGCTCAGTTGGTTGAGTGTTATCTGATGCACCAAAAGGTCAGAGACATGCGGAACGCAGCCAATTGATTTCCATATTTCTCTCAATGTTTCTCTCTCCCTTCCCCTTTTCTTTTTCTTTTTTTTTTTTTTTTTTAAATATATTTTATTGATTTTTGTACAGAGAGGAAGGGAGAGAGATAGAGAGTTAGAAACATCAATGAGAGAGGGTCATCGATCAGCTGCCTCTTGCACACCCCCTACTGGGGATATGCCCGCAACCAAGGTACATGCCCTTGACCGGAATCGAACCCGGGGCCCTTCAGTCCCCAAGCCGACGCTCTATCCATTGAGCCAAACCGGTGTTGGCTCCCTTCCCCTTTTCTAAAATCAATACAAACTTATTATTAAAAAGTATTGTTTAGGGATTCTAAAATATGGTAAAAGGAGAAAGAAAAGCAAGTGATTATATAATTCAGGATAGTGGTTCTTTCCAAGGGAGGAAGGAAGGAGTGAGGTCTGCCATGGAAAACTCAGTTGATTAACTGTGGAGAGTTTAGGTTGCAGAAAGATACCCCAGACTAATAGCAGTTAACTGAAATAGCATGGCATAAGATAGATCCCTATTGCCGAAACCGGTTTGGCTCAATGGATAGAGAGAGCATCGGCTTGGGCACTGAAAGGTCCCGGGTTCGATTTCGGTCAAGGGCATGTACCTTGATTGCGGGCATATCCCCAGTAGGGGGTGTGCAAGAGGCAGCTGGTCAATGACCCTCTCTCATCGATGTTTCTAACTCTGTATCTCTCTCCCTTCCTCTCTGTAATCAATAAAATATATTAAAAAAAAAAAAAGATCCCTGTTAATCTTATTATTAGAAAGTGTACAAATACCTAGTGCTTATTTGGTAAACTAATGAAGCATCCTTCGGCCAAGCTTCTACAGTTATTTGTTAAATGATTTCCTGGAAACTTACCCAGCCTTCTATGCAGAACTTCAGAAAGGGTGTTAATATTCTGCTAATTGCCAGCATCTTTCTGGTTACTAGAAGGCTCCCCCACCCCCCAGTCACCATCCGCATTAAAAATCAGCCTCTGTTCAGTAGTAATGGAGAGCTCTACTTTGTAGAATTTTGCCTTCAATTTAAATCCTTCTTAAGAATGGTTTCTTTTCATTATGCTGCCATCTTCTGTTTTCTCTGTGCTGTGATTAACCAGCTTATTTCTAACTAAAGAGAAATCTTGCCTTGAGGTTTTAATATACTGCTTTATCTTAATCTGCTATTTTGGGCATGCAATTTGGAACTTGCCTGGCATAGTAAAAGATCCTAGATTCTCTTTCTAGTACCTCTCTGTCAACTTGCCATATGACTTTAAGCAAACCACTTAACCCCTGACCCCTTGCTTCATACATTGAATGGAGAGGGGTGTGTGTGTGTGTGTGTGTGTGTGTGTGTGTGTGTGTGTGTGTATGTGTGTGAGAGAGAGAGTGAGAGAGAGCGAGCAAGCGAGCGCCAGGGGCGAGGGGATTGCGGGGCGGGGGTGGGGTGGGGAGACAATTAAAGCTTCCTGCAGCACTCAGTAACATGTTGTGGAAGGAAAAAAGGACATTGCAGAATACCATCTAATAGTCTAACATCTAAAGAGAACCTATAGGCTAGTCCAAGTGCAGTGGTGTCTTACAACTAAAGACAACCTATACACAAGTTCCAGAGGCCTGAATGTTTCCATGAATCCTCTGCCCCGTAACCTTATGCATTTATTGTAACTTGAAATAACCAATTACAGAGAGCAGCTATCCTATTTTTGCACTTTGAAAGCTTTCTTCTTGCTAAATTTTTTCCTTATCCTTACTTCCCTTTTTGTTTACCTCATGAGATCTTAATAAATTTAAGGACATATCAAAGGTTTTTTTTTACATTGAATATTATGGTTTTTTCTCCTAACAGACACATTGAAATAATCCTTTGTTACCATGTTTAACACACGTGTACTTTTTTCTTACCTAATCTACAATATCTAAGTTATTTGTAACTAAATTTAAGCATACTAGTATTTTGGCAGAGACAGACTGCTGAGTTTTATTAAACCTCAGATATAATTGCAAATAATGATAATTTACAAGATTGGGTAATTTTTTTTTTAAATCAAACAATTGCTATACACTATTGATATGAAGGGCAAGTTGATAGCAGTAACCACTTTTTTCTTGAGACTATCTAATTGCTTTTAGATCTGGGTTAGCACCACAGGCTAATTGTTAGCATGTATTTCCCCAGAAACCCTTAAGTAGATTTAGGTCTTATGAAGCCAACATATATCTTAAGAATTTGAGGGGTCATTCCTAATAGGCTTATTCTTTTCTCTGTTTAACATTAAAGGCTTAGTCGTTTATAAAATAAGGGGCCAAGTGATAAAAACATTTTCCATTTTAGCATGAGGGATTTACTGGGGTGCCTGTCTGGATTGGCTAGTCGTCTGAGCACTCATTGCTGCTGTTCTCAGCATCTCTTCCTCCTTGCCTGCTTGTTCCTCTCCAAACACCTAAGAGTGATAAGCTCTTCTCCCAGAATTAGGTTGTTAGGGCCTGAGCCTTGTGCACACATCAGTAATTTAAAGAGGCAAAGGAGGAGTGTACACTCCATGCCCAGATGATTCTGTAAGGCCAGGTTTGCCTTTGTTGGTACTGCTTCGCATATTAAAGCTCCTTCACTCCTGAAGATCATTTTGATCCTAACTCAGCGGGTTACTGCTACAACTGTAGCAAAATGATAGTCTGAGTTTAATAAATCAGCCTGAGTCCTTACTGCAGCAAAAATTTCAAGGCTGTGCTACTCGTCATTTTTGTTTTGTTTTGTTCTCAGATTCCATCAACTTTCAGAAGATATTTATATTTATTTTTCCCTTTGCCTCTCTCACTATAGAGTTTAGTGACCAAGAAACTATAATAGAAGAGGGGGATGGAGAACTGAGCAAGAACATGTGCCCCATGCTATTCATAGTTTTGACAAATGGCTATTGGGCAGAACATATTTTGTATGATGATTCTATTAATGATAAGTGATTGGATTTTTCAGTGCATTGAGTTAAGAAGGAAGGGTAATTGGCTATTTTGGCTCTAATGTAAGCTATGGAGTAGGTTATCTGACAGCACTTCCAGTTTGTTGCAGTACCTTTGTTTTTCTTTGACATTGAATGAATAGAGACTAAATAGCATTAGAGTGTCAGGTTAGTACCCATGTATATACTGTATAGAAAACAACAAATTGGAATTTCTGAACATTAAGATGAGCCCAATGCTTATATTTAAGTGTTTTTAAATTATTAAGTTATACATTTTCATTTAGAAAAAAAATGTTAGCAAAAATTAAATTAGTTATTATGCTTTCTGTTATTTTTCTTTGCATGTTTGTGTATAGTATAATGATAACAGGAATTGAGTCTACTGTGTGCTCACAACAGTGCCATGAATTAGGTTCATAGGTACTTTGTTGTTGTTGTTGTTAAATATTTTTATTGATTTTTAGAGAGAAGTTGAGAGGGAGAAAGAGAAACATCAATATTTGGAACAGAACAATGATAAGCTGCCTCTTGCACACCCCTTACTGGGGATCTAACCCCAAACCCAGGCATGTACCCTGACCTGGAATTGAACTAATAATTTTTGTGGTGCATGGGACAGCACCCAACCAAACGAACCATCCTGGCTATGGCTCAGTGATATATTTATTCACCGTTTTGTTAGGAAGAAACTGAGGCCTAGAGAGAATAAGTGACTTGCCTGCACACAGCTAAAAAGTGATGGAGCACTGGGATTTAACACAGCTAGTTCCACCCCCTATTTGTTTCATTTTGCCTAACAGTTTGACCTTTGTCTACTATTGCTTTTTTTTTTTTTTTAAATAAATGTCACTGTTTTGTTTTTTACATTTTTTTTACATTTTTTAAATTAAATTATTATCTGTGTACATATTTTAACATTACCCCCCCCCTCCCAATTTCACTGTTTTTGATGTACAATTCTTTAAGTTTGGTATTTTTTTTTTTTAAAGGAAACTTCAATACTAGCTTGTAATTTACTTGTTTGACTTAAGTTATCCTTCCTTTTCAAATATATTTCTTTAACACAATTTTAGTTGCTATTAAAAAGCTAACACTTGAGAGAACAAAGATGACAGCATAGATAAGCACCTGTACTTGCTGCCTCTCACAACCACATCAATACCACAACTAAACAGCAGAACAACTATCACCCAGAACTGCAGGAAGGCTGGCTGAGAGGAAGTTCCACAGCTAGAGAGGTGAGGAAGGCACATTGAGACTGGTAGGAGGTGCGGAGGCCATGGAAAGTGCTGGCACCTGGATGTGCTGCTCTTTTAATACAAGCGCCCACTTGCTCTGAACTCCAGTTCCAGGCAAGACTCTGGACCCAGGCACATACGGGGAGAAACTGGACTGTCTGGTATTGGGACAGGAATGCGAGGGCAGCTTTCTCTCAGAGGGGCTCGCAGCTATCATTGTTCCTGCACAGGAGCTCGGGATACAGAGAACCACAGTCTTCTCCTGTTCAGGGCTGGCTGACTGGCAGCCATTGCTGTTTGCTCCTCCCTGGTATTCCCAGAGACCCACCCCACCCAATTTACAACCCACCCAAGCTGTGCACATTGGCTTTTGCATATGAATGGCGGGTTCTTTCACCTAAAACCTGTAAAACTGCAGCTGGATCAGAGAGCCCCAGAGCTTCCAAAAGAAAGCCCAAGGCCCTACCAGCTTTGCTTCACAAGTGGGCCTTATCTGGGCACTTCCAAACCTCATACAAAGAGGAGGAACCTGCAGATGTCTCTGTAGCTCTGGCTGGGCAGCCCCAGACAGTGGCTGACCTTGCACCTCCTTGGAGATCCAAGAGCCAGCGTACCCAGTGGTCAGAGTGAGACCATACCGGATTACAACTCTTCACATCCATGAGACACACACTCAAGGGGCAGACTCAGTAAGCATCAAAGTCCTGCCCCATAAGGGTGTCTACTGCACAACAGATCTTCCAGTGTAGACAGCTAGTCATCACAGCCAATTGGCTTGGAGGTCAATTCCTCCTAGTGATACCAACAGCAATCAAGGGTTAATTACAACAAGACTGTGCAAACAGCCACAAAGGGTGCACCAAGAGAGTCTACCTCAGGTGACTAGGGAGGGTGAGCCACTGGGCCCTATAGGACACCAACCACACAAGGCCACTCTTATCAACTCAAGGAGACTTAGCAGCTACCCAGTACAAAGAAACAAGTCACAAATGAAAGAAATGGAGGAAAGCAAATTACTGTTATTCCTATTTTCATAGATGTAGACATTGAGGCACCGAGAGGTTAATTTGCCACAGGTCACACAACTACCGTGTTTCCCCGAAAATAAGACATCCTCCAAAAATAAGACCTAGTGCATGGAAAGATAAGACACCCGCTGAAAATAAGACCTAACGCAACTTTGGGAGAAAAAATTAATATAAGACTCTGTCTTATTTTCGGGGAAACAGGGTAGTAAGTAGCAGCGATAGTATTCAGACACAGGCAGGCTGATTTACCTAAGAAAATACTCTTTAATATTATGTGACAGTGTATATAGCCTGCATGGTATGGATATACTATAATTTATTTGACCAGTCGCTTGATTTTAGATGATGTGGTTGCTTCCAGTTCTTCCTGATATTAAACTCTGTTTTGATACTTAAGTCTTATTTGCATCTCTATTTTCTTAGAATAGATTCTTACCAGTGGATATGCCATTTTTTAGGGCTATATTGCCCTTTAGAAAGGTGTTTTAGTTTTACACTCTCTCCACTATGGAATGAGAGTCACCATGTTTGATACACTCTTGATAACAGCATGCATTGTCTTCTTTTGATTCTTGTTAAACTAGTAGACAAAATAGTAGTGTGATGATCATTTTTCATGTATTTCTTGGTGAACTGCTTATATTTCTGTTTTGTCTTTTTTTTCTTTAGGTATAAGTTTAAATTTTAGTATTTGAAGTATTCAAATACTAAGTTTAAATTTTAGTATTTGAAGTAATAACCTTTCATTCTGGGGAAGGTCATATGAGCTATGTGCTACAAAGGTACATGGAAGCTTTTGCTCTCTACTTAAAATGTGGTCTCTTCCATCTGAACATTATTATTCTCTGTAAAGTGAACAGGTTGATTCCATAACCACCTGGGAATTAGTCTTGTTACTTCAGAGTAAATCAGTTCCAATAAAAGTTCTCTGTGACCTCAACAGATGGAAATCTGGTTAAAAATTGTAGTTGCGTGCCCTGTCTTAAATGCTAGTGAATTTTGTGGAGGCTTCCTACCAGTGACTAATGAGAAATGTCAGGGAAATGTAGCATTCTCATTCTGACATTTAAGTATTAAAGCTTAATATCTCAACAACATGCTTTTGAGCATTTGGCATAGAAAATAGCACTATTGAAATGAAATAATACGGTTAAATACCAGCCATTTTTATTGTTTTCTTTCTCTGCAAATGGAATAATTCAGATCAATGGCTCACTTACTATGTATCATACAAATTCCTTTTTCTTTCACACCATTTGGATCCTGATCAGGTTATTAATGACATTTGTTGTGACATGGAACATAACTAAGAAAGATCCTTTTTAATCAAAGGTTCAAATTATGGCATGTTGTTCTTTGAGGTAATATGATAAAAATAAGTGTACAAAGGCAGCCTTGGAAGAGAAAATAAATGGAGACCATTTTTGTTTCTAGGTAGCAGTACTGCCTGCATCGTGGTGCTGGACAGAACTAGCCACCGCTTACACACAGCAAACCTGGGCGATTCAGGCTTTCTGGTTGTCAGGGGTGGCGAAGTTGTGCACCGATCAGATGAGCAGCAGCATTACTTCAACACTCCATTCCAGCTCTCAATTGCACCACCAGAGGCCGAAGGAGTCGTCTTGAGTGACAGGTAATTTCCCCTTTTGCTCATTAAAGTGTGAACAGGGCGTGGCTTACTCACAGGTTCTCTCCTATTCCCCTCAACCACAGTGGCAATAGGCAATTTCCATTCCCAAATGAGAAAAGAAATTGAGAATGTTATCATCAGGAGAACCTTTTAGTTTGACTTCGGAAGTTATTTTGCATATACTTTATATTGCAGCCAAGTTGAATTCTGATAAACACTCAATAATTTACAAGACTAAAAATGCTATTTCAAGCTTATAAAATATCAGTTTTTCATACCAAGATCACATGGTATGTACAGTTAAATTTTGTGTTAAATTTTGCTGGAGAAATTAGTTATTATTTATGCATGCCATTGTCTGTGCAAGATTTTACATATGTTACTAGGGAAAAGTACAAACAAGCATCTGCTTTACTTATTAGAATAACCTCCTGATTCTCAGTACCTCCTACTACATGTGTCAAATAGAGCTTGCAGTCCAGGCAGAACCTGTTAGGACCAAGTTAACCTACAGAAATGGAATCAAAAGAGGTTTTGGATATTTTCTGTGACGATGCTGTTGAGGTGTTCTCTTTTTCTTCTGACACTTTCCCTCCATTCTTTTTTTTAATCCTCACTGGAGGATATTATTTTCATTGATTTTAGAGAGAGTTGGAAGGGAAAGGAGAAGAGAGAAACATAGATGTATGAGAAAGATTCATCGATTGATTGCCTCCTGCAACACATGCGCCCTAATCAGGGCAGGGATGGAACTTGCAAAACAGGTATGTGACCTTAATGGGGAATCGAACTGGGACCCTTCCGTGTGTAGTGCTGTTCTAACCACTCAGCACACTGACAGGGCCCTCAGTTTATTTTTAAAATGGGAAGAGTATTTATCGATACAATCAGTACTTTTTATTTTTTTTAAAATATATTTTATTGATTTTTTACAGAGAGGAAGAGAGGGGGATAGAGAGCTAGAAACGTTGATGAGAGAGAAACATCGACCAGCTGCCTTTTGCACACCCCCTACCGGGGATGTGCCCACAACCAAGGTACATGCCCTTGACCGGAATCGAACTCAAGACCTTTCAGTCTGCAGACCGACACTCTACCACTGAGCCAAACCGGTTTCGGCCAATCAGTACTTTTTAAAATAAACTTTTACAGTTTATCTTTTCTAAGATTAGAATACAGACAAGGCTAAGACAAGCTCAGATTTCATTGTCTGTAACAACCTTGTAAGACCTAGGACAAACATTATTGGTAATTCATAAATGTTGTTAACTGGGTGATAAACTTTTTATAAAAATTGAAGCATTCTAGCAAGTATCTGTTGTCTCTACTTAATAGTTCTTATAAAATCATATCTTAAGCCCTAACTAAGATAAAATGATTATTCCACCATCTTTTATTTTTGTTAATCCTCACCTGATGATATTTTTCCATTGATTTTTAGAGAGAGTGGAAAAGGGGGGAGGGCCAAGGAGGGAGAAATATCAATGTGAGAGAGAGACATGTGCCCTTGACCAGAATCGAACCTGCAGCCCTTCAGTTCAAAGGCTGATGCTCTATACAGTAGCCAAACTGGCTAGGGCATCACTACCATCTTTTAAACTGTAATGAGTATATTACATAATGAGGTATTCAGTATCGCCCATCTAAAATCTGTTAAGAAAAAAAAAAAAAAAATCTGTTGTTGACTCCTAGAGAGAAGTAAGCATTATTTACTTTCAGATTAAGACAGATTACCATAAGTGGGAAAATACTTTATTATGGGTCCTTCTTCAGTGTAATACACATTAATATTAACCATATTGGAGTGAGCAAACCTTAGAACCCCATGGACTTGATAGATATTAACTTCAGCTAACAGTTTTTAGAGAACAGTGTTTTAATTTTCTTTATTTGATGCTTCTTGATTTGGCTACTGAGTGCTAGTGCCGCCCTGCCTTATCTCACTCACTATCTTTGGGAGAGTCTGATTAGGGCAGCACTTGGCCTGGCCTGCCAATGAGGTGGAGGTTTCTTCCCCTGGAGCCCAGAGACAGCTTATTAGCATGTGATTTCAGCTCGTGTTTCAGTGCAGTCAAAAGTTTCCAGCAGCACAGTATGTTCAATTAAAACGGGCAGAACTGCAGCTGGCAGAACACCAAGCTCATGGGTGGGAGTGTTGGGAGAGGAGGACAAATTGTCCAATGGTGGTGAGTCTCTCACAGGCAGAATAGCAAAGGACACTCCTGTGGAAAGAAAACCTCAGCATAAAATCGAGCTTCAGTGCCAACCTGGTCATTAATCTAAACTTCTAGAATCTGATTAGCTTCCAAAGACTGAGCAAATGTGAAGTGTCTTGCATTTTCTCTTTATTCCAAAGAAGAAATCAACCTGATTTCCACCAGTTTTAGTCCCCCCGCCCGCTGCTGTATCTTAGCTATTAATCCATCTTGTCTATAAACTATTATTTTAACCTTGACTTACGGTTAGTAGCTGTTTTTACAGAATATATATTGTTGAGTGTTTAAATTAATTTGTTCCTTGACAAAGCCCATCATAGAACTTGTAGATGTGCTGCTTCTTTCCTCTGAGGAGACGATGAACCAGAAATTTTCTCAGTGCACTTTTGAGGCATTTCCCAGCAGGCATGGGTGGGTTTTTAGCTTCTTGTGTTTTCTCTTCACAACTGTTATAACATGTTGCTGATACAGGTTTTTTTTTTTTTTTGGGGGGGGGGGTTCTGTCACGCTTAGGTTGCCTTAGTTCTGGTCCCACCCTTCTGGGTCAGTGTATGCATTTTTTCCTGGCTCTTGTCACTTACAGGTTAAGGCAGGTTATCAGGTACCTATTTCACCTTTTCCTCACCCTGGAGGCCTGGAAGCAGTGAATCTGGACATTGGAAGTGGCTGAAACTTGGCCTCTCAGGGGGCCATTAACCCTTTGAATATATGGCCTTTTCTGTTTTCTCCCCACCTGGGTTTTCCCCCCCCTTTTCTGCTTTCATTAGGTTTTGGGAGAGGGAAAACGTCTCCCATCTATGTTTTTAAAAGTTTATGCAAAACGATGTGGTGCAAAGTCTACCTCCTATTCCTGCCACCAGCCACACATTCTCTCCTTAGTGGCAGCCATGTTATCTTTTTCACTCTCTGTACCTTCCTCTTTCATTAACAACGTATCCCAAAGGTTATTTTTGTGTGTTTTTTATTCCCCAATTTGGAGGGCCAGTCACTTTGTTTCTTCATTCATTTAGTCATTCTGCAGATATTTATTGAAGATCTATGTGTCAGGCACACTAATAAATACTTATGCATGTGGAGCACTTTGTAAGTTCTGGGAGATACACAGTCCTCACTCTGCCAGAATAAGTATCCCTTAGTAAGACTACCATAGAATTTTCAGTAATACACTAGTAATTATTAATATTATATTATTGCATGTGTTTCCCATGAATGAATTCTTAGGGGATATACATGCTCTCATAGTTATTCCACTATAACACAACCTCCTGAGAGCCAGGTTCAAGTCTGCAGGGAACTGATAAGTGGACAGTGAGTAAGAGAGGATGGAATGTGGCTATAAAGAAGTAGGAAATAAAGACTCATTTGTACTAGGATTTTAGAGACATGTTAGCATCTGACTCAGAAAAGAACCCTTCCTCCTTTGAAATCACATATGACTAATCATCACACTCTGTTTTACTTGGTAGTTTCAGCTAAGCTTTTGAAATCTATAATAATAAAAGCATAATATGCTAACAGATCAGACTTCCTTCCGGGTGACCTTCCAGACAAAGCTGCGACTGTGAGGGAAGCCCGGTGCCGGAGGGGAGCTGGTGCTCGCAGCCCGGGGAAGGAAGGCCTGCTCTTGCACGAATTTTGTGCATTGGGCCTCTAGTATTTATATAAGAGTGTTCAATTAATTGTTTTCAAGGTTAGGGATTTCAGAATGACTGGCTCTTATTATTGACTCCTAATATAAATTAGATTTTTTTTATAGCATTATTACATTGTAACATAGTGCCTGTTGAAAACTTTGAGTGGTATCTCTAAAAAGCTTTCTTAACTTTGCCCTTTTCATGTCACAGCCCGGATGCTGCTGATAGCACATCTTTTGATGTCCAGTTAGGAGATATTATCCTGACAGCAACAGATGGACTCTTTGACAACATGCCTGATTATATGATCCTGCAGGAGCTAAAAAAGTTAAAGGTAATTAACTGAAAGGTTGGCCCTTGGAAACAGTGGCCCTCTCTGGACAGTTAAATTTTCTCCAATGCCTTATCTCTTTTTATAGTTTTGAAAAGGACTATTTTGTGAATGTAGGAAACTAATAATAGTACCAGTTTTTCAATCAGTTGTAAATGGAAATAGTCACAAATGGAGAACTTAAAGGAAAAAGGCTTTTAATAGGTGGTAAAGGTAGGAAAAGTCCAATTTGCATTTTTCATTGTATTTTAATGGTATTTAATAGTGTTACATCCTGGCCCTTTTCTCATTTTATTCTCATAAGAAACCCAGCAGGTGTTGAGGCTGGGAAAGATAGGAAGTCATCATACCATAGCCAGCCAAGGCAGCAGTCAAGGGCATCAGGCAGTTAGGGGCCTTGATGTGATCTGAGCTGTCACCAGTAATAAAGCAGTTCAGCTTTGACCCATACAGAGAATGGAAGAAAGTGAAAATCAGTGTTTACATATTTTTTGGCTTTGTAAAAATTGTAACTCTGGGAAAAGTTAGCCTTTTCTCATGCTTTTATCGCTAACCACTATAACTTTGAGTAAGTTTTTAAACCTTTTAAGCAACATTTTCCTCAGCTGTTAATTGGGGGTACAAAAGGCCCTGTTTTATAGGGTTATGGTGAAAATTAACTGAGACCAGGAGTATAAAATCCTTAGCACCAGGCCTCATCTGTGGGGATCAGTAACGAACAAGTGCTTACTGTAGTGATACTGTACTCTGTGGTGACAGGGTGGTGAGCAGAAATGACATTCTCTGTCCTCTGGAGTTTCTATTCTAGTGGAGGAAAGTAGATAATACAGACAAAGAAAAAGATAACATACAGTGTGGGGCAAAAGTAGGTTTATAGTTATGAGTATGTGAAATATTTTTTGCTTTTTGTTTTTTAAATATATTTTATTGATTTTTTACAGAGAGGAAGAGAGAGGGATAGAGAGCTAGAAACATCGATGAGAGAGAAACATTGATCAGCTGCCTCTTGCACACTCCCTACTGGGGATGTGCCCGCAACCAAGGTACATGCCTTTGACTGGAATTGAACCCAGGACCTTTCAGTCCACAGGCTGACACTCTACCTACTGAGCCAAACCGGTTTCAGCGAAATTGTTTATTCTTATACTAGAGGCCCCGTGCATGAAAATTCATGCACTGGATGAATCCCTCAGCCTGGCCTGCCCCCTCTCACAGTCCGGGAACCCTCACGGTGGGAGGCATCCTGGCTGCTGCCACTGCCGGTAGTGCAAGACTCGGCTGGCCCTGGTTACCTGAGCCTCAGGTGGCCCTGGGCAGCTGGGAGGGGCTAAAAGGACTGGGGGACTCTGGACGCAGGAATACAGAGTGGTCTGGCCAACCTGCTGCCCCGACAGGGCTGAAGGGACTAGGCACTGCCATCTTTAAGGGTGTGGCTGTCAGCATATTCCCTCATTATTGGCTGTGGGCACTGCCATCTTTAAGACCTGTAAGGGTCAATTAGCATATTCCCTATTTATTAGATAGGATTATTTAATTGTTGTTAATCCTCATCCAAGGATATTTTTCCCACTGGTTTTTAGGGAGAGTAGAAGAGAGAGAGACAGAGAGAAACATCAATGTGAGAGAAACACATCAATTGGTTGCTTCCTGCATGAGCCCTGACCAGGGCCCAGGCTGGGAAGGAGCCTGCAGCCAAGGACCCTTTAATCTGAATTGAACCCAGGACCCTTTAGTCTGTAGGCCAATACTTTATTGACTGAGCCAAACCAGCTAGGGCTTGTTAAATTATTTTGCATACTAACAACTATAAATCTACTTTTGCCCCATCCTTTAGTGTTTATGGTAAATAAGAAAAAGCATGGTGAAGGGATAGGGAATAGAGAGGGTTGCTGTTTTAGAAAGATTGGCCAGAGAAGGCCCCTCACTGAGATAACATTGAAACAGAGGCCTATTATCAATTATACTGAAACCATTCTGAATCTTAGGATGTTAGAGTTAAAATGGACCTTGTTTTCCATTCCATTTTACTGATGAAGTTGAAGTAGCAAGGGTAAGGGATTATACAGCTAGATAAGAATCTTCATCCTATATAATAAAATATATAATAAAACCCTAATATGCAAATTGACCAAACAGCAGTATGATCAGTCCCTATGACACTCATCACCAGGGGGTGGATGCTCAACACAGGAGCTGCCCCTTGAAGGTCAGAACACTCCCACAGGGGGAGCACCGCTCAGCCAGAAGCCAGGCTCATGGCTGGCAAGCACAGCAGCAGTGGCGGGAGCCACTAAGGACCCTCGGAGGATGTCCGCCTGCCAGGTCCACTCCCCACAGAGAACAAGCCTAAACAGGCAGGCAGACATCCTCAAGGGATCCCAGACTGGGAAAGGGCGCAAGCCAGGCTGAGGAACCACCCTCCCTCAGTGCACCAGGCCTCTAGTCATGATATAAAATTTTAAAGGTATTTTCAGTAGGGAAACTGGCAGCTCTTGAGAGAAAACTGGTGTTGCCCAGGAGCGCATTTAAAAGCAAGAGGAAAAAAATTACTATATTTTTAATCCTCACCTAAGGATATTTTTCCAATGATTTTTAGAGAGAGGAAAAGACAGAGAAAAATATCAGTGTGAGAGAAACTCATTATTTGGTTGCCTCCTGCACATGCCCTGACAAGGGCCTGGGCTTGGGAGGAGCCTACAACCAGGAAATTTTTGAGGTCATCCCTAAAGTGCTATAAAAATTTGCCCTTTCAATCTCATCCTATTTTAGCAAAAAATGCCTTAAGAATTTCAAATGGGGATAAAAGCAGAAATAAAAACCCAAACCTTAGGGCCCAAGGCCACCTATCAAAAACTTTCTGATTCACATTGTATGCAGGCAGCACTGATGGGCTCATTCCTTTTAGTGAAGGTGCAGTGTTTATTGTCTTCTCTAACTGCAATAAAACATCAATGGTGGAAACTGATTAGATAAATGTTACTATCTTAAAAAGTGATATTTGTAAGTTACTTGAATACAAAAGTCATGTGAGACATTACGATAAAAATAACTCTCTCATCCTTCATCTTAGAATTCAAATTATGAAAGTATACAACAGACGGCAAGAAGCATTGCTGAGCAAGCTCATGAGCTGGCCTATGACCCAAATTATATGTCACCTTTTGCACAGTTTGCATGTGACAACGGACTGAATGTGAGAGGTAAGCAATCTTTAGGAAGGTCATAGGGACATAGGAAGATGGGAACATTCTGGGCTGCGGGGGGAGGTAAACTAGAGCGCTATGGTGAGACTGTTGAGATGTCCTCTCTAAGCTGTGAGCGGTGGCTTTGAGCTAGGTCATTAGGCCTTAACACTGGGAGACAAGAGCAAGTGCATGTCATCATGTCTTCCCCACAGAGGACGCCCTTCAGAGCTGAACTTCATAGGTTACCGAGGCAGGCGGATCTGAAGCCCTTTATTGCCACCACGGCACTGCTTGGACCTCAGCCCAAAAGGCCTCAAGCTCTGCCTGGAAGGACTGCACATTCCACAGTTTAACATTTGCCCTTCACGGGTCTGACATTTCACTTCTCCCTTCCTCTGGCTTTGTGGGACTCGTTGACAGTATTTGCCTGCCAAATTGCCACAGCAGGTTTTGAAGAGGGAAGTAATGTTAACCTGTCCTTGCTTGAAAAGTCCTTCTATCTGCTAAGTGATATGCAACTTTGGGAGCAGGACAGTAGCTCTGTCTTGGAGCTGGGATGATGTGTGGGTGGTAACATATCAGAACTAGTACAGTTGGTCAATTTCTTGCTAGTATTATATTATGATGTGTAAAGCATTTCTTAGCCTTCCAGGAAGTATTAAAATAGGAAAAAGCACATGCCATAGCTGTTTGGCAGATTAGAATACAAGATTGTTCTAATTTCAAAACAGTGGGTATGTTTGTCCAAATTAGGATTATGCATAGAAACATGTAACTTTCTTGTCAGGCAGAATTTATCTCAATCAGATTTTCTTTACTGTCATTGCTATAAACAAAGGAGGTAGTGGCCATTTTATCAGTGCTACTGTTTTAAAGAGCAGGGAAGGGATTTTTTAAGTGTCAGTTAAGTTACATGTAATTAAGTGTCAGTTAAGTTACATGTAATAAGTTACATGTAGTTTCTTTTTTTATTTCTCTGGGGTTTTTAAAAATATTTTTATTTCAGAGAGAAAGGGAGAGAGGTAGAAAGATAGAAACATCAATAATGAGAGAATTATGAATCGGCTGTCTCCTACAAGCCCTGCCCCTGGGGATTGAACTCTCAATCTGGGCATGTGCCCTGACCGGGAATCGAACCGTGTCCTCCTGGTTCATAAATTGACACTCAACCACTGAGCCATGCCAGCTGGGCTTTGTTGCTCTTCTTCATTTTTTTCTTTCTTTCCTATATTGACATATATATTGACAAATCAAACCTTTGTGAATTGCAAGCATTTGTCTTCTAGAACTTACTTAGGCTTACAGTTTTGATTGACTTTACTTTTTATGATACATGACTACATTTTCATTTTTGTTTTAGGTGGAAAGCCAGATGACATCACCGTCCTTCTTTCCATAGTGGCTGAGTATACAGACTGACACACCTCGGTGTCAACTCCTGCCTTTCCTTCCATCATCCCAAATTTTCCCCAGCCGTGTGTGCTGATCCTGCTGGCAGGACCACGATTCTTTGCCACTGATCTCAATGGCCAGTGATGTAAGCCTTTTTGCCTGTCTTTTTGAGACCCCATTGAGATCTTTGTTAAGAACCACTACTGTCATTCACTAGCTCATATCTGCCAGCAACTTCGAAGAGAATCAAGATTTGAAGATTGACCTTCACTTCTCATTGTCCTTTCCATGATGGGATCGGAGGTTTTCAAAGCTAAATGGCTATTACTTTTAAAAAATGCTTGAAGTATTGAAGAAAATGAGTAATGTTGATAAAGTGAATTAAAAATTACAGTGTGTAAAAGGGATTTTAAAAGTCTAACACAAATTCTATGTTATGGTACATCTAGAAACATACATTATTCATCAAAAGAAATGTTACACGTGTACTATACAGTCTTTGTTATAATGATTGAGTGTGGCTTTGTGTTTTCATTATAAACTCCTATTTTTCAGGGGCTTATAATTCTGCTCTAAAACATTGCTCTGGATTATGAAATCTTGATCCAGGAGCTTTTTTTCTTACAAATTGGAAGAAAATTTCCAGTTTAATTCTATGGATGCAAACGTTTCGTGGTTTTTAAAAGATGCTTAATTGTGATCCTATGATCAAAGTTTTGGCAATTTATTGATTCATTAAACTCACAAGCTGGTGGCCTGAATTGCAGGAGTAGGGAGACTCTTTATCAAAATTTTAATGGGAATGTTACTCAAGATTGTAGAACTCCTCAAAGCCAAGGCATTTAATGTTATGGCTGAAATCCTCCCCGCTGTCTGACATGATGCCCCGTGTGGGAGCTCTAGGCCCGTAGGCCTAATGGGTTGAGAATGGACAGCTGTTATTTTGAATTTTGGGGGTCATGCTACTCCTAGTCTCATTCAGACCCTTTATTAGTAGCCTTGCTTTCTGTATAGCATGCACCAAATTCAGGGGGTCCATGTGGAAGGAGCACTGTGGGCAGTAGCTGCAACACAAGAGTCCATGAGGAAAACTAGTGATGATATGACATTTGCATTTGCCCTAGACAGAAATTTAGGGGTTTCTGAATCAAGCTTAATGTTTACAGTTTCCAAATAGCCATCTTGCAGTGTATAGTTTCCTTATAAAACTATCCTACATTCAGTTTTCCCATTATCTGCAAGTTCAAACTTATTTTTAAGGTTTGTGTGTAAGTTGACTGCTGTAAAGATATATATTTTTGGGTCAGTCTTTTTCTTCATTAACTTGGTGGTAGAAAAATATAGTTAGCAATCCTTAAATTAAAGCCATGTTTTATATATAAGTCAGGTAACATTGGTGTATAGATAAGAATGCAATTAAACCTGATGAGAATCTACTTGAGGAGAATATAGAAAGTCTCTTTCTCTAAAGGAGATACATACTCCCTGGTTTATTGCATTAAAACGTATGTTTGAGGTTACCTCAACTTGTTTTAAAAGATTTTGTTTTGTGAAATTGTACTGTATATTTGAGTAACTGTCAAGCTTTTGTTTTATTTAAAATTGTTTAACATGTACCATGTACATGTCATTACTATATTTCAATGCATCATGCTTGTAACAGGCATTTCATTTATAATAAGAATGAGTTATTCATTTGTAAACCGTTCAGTAATTTATCTACTATTCCTAAATTGGCATAATGTTAGATATCTATTTTGAATCACCTTTAATTACATGTCAGAATGCCTTAACTACCCTAACTTGACAAAACAGTTCCTTGGTAGAGGAGATGGGGGTGGAGGGAGACTGTTTTAGTAATGAGAACCCATTGTGCTGTGATAAAACACAGAAGCCAGAGTGGCATGTGGCGGGGTATTTATTTTGCACAAAATATTTGCAGTCTCTGTGTATTTTAAAAAGTAAAAAAAGTTGCATCCAGAAAGGTTTTGTTGCAAGAAGTACATTTATACTTGGGCTGATGACATTAGTTCTTTTATTGGATTTCTAATTATTTCTGGTCAGAGGTGTGTAGCCTATGATCTGGATATATTTTGCATTAATTTTCCAATGCCTACATTTGATTCCTGGTAGAGCAGTGCTGATTAAGTCACTGGCTTTGCTCTCATTTAACCCATCAAACACAATCTTTGTAAAGCTAGATTGGTGGTGTTTTAATACAACTTACTTTATCAACTTGTCTTTTTTGAGAAATTATTAGAAATTGACATGTTTGTTCCAGTGATGTGAATTTAGTGGGACAAGAATTGAGTTTCACTGTGGAACTAACTTTTGGACCTGGCCTGTAAATTTAATAATACAAAATATTTTCTCTTTTCCCTGTCCTTTTTGTGTTAAGCACTTAATTTTTTGACTGCCAGTGGTCAGCTGGAGTGCTGCTTATCAAGTAACTCTCCTTCCACTCTCAGTGGTCAGAGGCTGTGTTGGACCCATGCTGGAATTTTCCAGTCACAGGACCCAAGCCTCTGTGGGGTAGGACTGAGGTATGCCACTTGGTGGGTCTGATTCTGAACTTGATGTGTGTGTTAATTGTATTTTAAATCAAGCAGTATAAAAAAGACACACATTTGCCTCATGTAATGGACTTTTATAACAAAAGAGAATTTGGATTTCTAATTTACAAAAGGCAAATTATCTCTCTCTGGATGCACCAAAGACCAGTAAAGTTTATAGCTTTTCCATCTATATTTATAAAGCAATACTGTATTATAAAAAAATCAATATTTTTATCACATGCTTGAAATTTTTATTTTGTTCTGTTTTAAAATGTGCACTCTAAACATATCAGAACCTTATTTCTTCCTGTGAACTTAAGCTGCCTGCGCACAAAAAATATTTACCGAACGGATATACAGTAGAGCCCTAGGCTCTTAAAAAGTGAAAGAAGAAATGAAGGGGAAAACAAGTTATTTGTCCTGAATTACTGTACTGGCTTGACATGGTCGATGGGTACTAAATCACAAAAGAATCCATTCCAGGTGTGTATGTCTGAGGGTTGGGCTGTGTCTAGATTAGCAACTAGATTTCAAGCTTTGCGTGATGGGAGTGTCTCTCCTATCAGCTATATTTGTTTTGGATAGAACAGTAGCCTTCAGTACCACCTTCAGTACCACCAACCTACCACATCAAGTAACAAGGCAGGAATTGTGGGAATTTACTGAGTTTGTTTTTGAGAGTTTGGGAGATTGTAAACAAGATTGACTAGAACTATAAGTGTCTGTACTTTGGATAAGTTCTTGGTTCCTTGTCACCTTATACCAGCTATCTTTGGTAGAAGCTACAGCATCAAATTTCCCTGGAAACAATCACATTTTTGCATTTAACAAATTTTACAATATCAAACAAACAAAAAACGAAATCTGCTTATAAAACTGAAAATATGAAACAAAACATTTGGATTTTATTCATAAAAAATTAAATTCTTTGTAAAATTGAACTTCTCAACTAAAAATTGGCAGTGTCAATGTCAAAATGTTAATGGTTATCAGGTAGTTTGTGGCAAAGATGGCTAAACAATGAAGCAAGTTTGAATTTATATATACTAATGAGCTGCTTTTTTTCTGTTGAGACTATCATTATTTGTCTTACCCAAGAGGCAATGACCTGAATTGGATGTCTGAAATATAACTTATGCAGGAATAGTTCTGTAAATACATTTAAAAAAACTGTAAAGATATTTAATAAATATAGTATTTATACTAATCTGTGTACTTCTTTTAATTGAAATAGTAACTAAATAAGACACCAGCCCTGTCACTGAGTTTGTTGGTCTCTATCAAGTCCTCATTGCGAACCCTCTTAGCTAGCAGTGACTCTGTACTTCGTAGCTATTATTTTGTCTTTTATTAGTTCTCTGCCTTACCTCTTTCACCATCTGGTTTACTACATCAATTTTTACTCAAAAATTCATCAAAATGGACAGATAATTCAATGTAAAATACAAATGGTTTCCTAGCTAAGAAGGCTTTTGCATCTTCTACATGGTATGAAGTGAAAGCACAGAAAAATCTGGTGTCATTTAAATGTAGCATTCTGAATCTAAAATCCAAATTAAATACAGTTTAACAGTATAACTATCTTTTACAGATTAGTACAGCATCCAGGCAATTACTGATGGTGATGTCTTCAGGACCTAACCCCCCTGCCCATTTCCAAGAGTGAGCCAAAAACTTTCATCCTCTGCAAGATCTATAGTTGTCCTCGTATCATGTGAAATTCAGTGTTAGTCACCAGTGTAAGCATAAGATACAGAAATCTTTAGCCTACACGTGAAAGAATTGCTTGCAATTATGTGGGTATTGTCAGTTTCCACAAAAAGCCCATTTTCATTCACTGAGGAACATTTTGGGATGAACTTGAGTTTTTATTAGGTTATTGTGGGTAGCTCTGACTCATTACTGAGCTACCAGAGCCAAATTCATTCTGGTTTTAGTTAGAAGTCTGTTCACAGTTCTAAAGTTGACTGATCCACTCAGCCACCTTTGTTTATGAATTCCTCACAAAATCTGAAGTACAATTGCTTACCAGTTAACATTTCTTTGGGATTTGGTGGTTTCACAAAGACTTAAGATGTTATAGCTGTCTAGTTTGTCAGGTTATAATTGACTTTTAAACAGGTTTGGGGTAGGAAGAGACTTACATCATCAGATATTACATAAGAATTCTTCTGTGCCAGATATTTTAGTCTATTCAGGTAACAAGATTATTCTTAAAGGGGAAAAGAACAGAGATACTCATTTCACTCCAAATCCAGGCTTTTTTGACAGTGGAGGTAAGTGCTCTAAGTCAGATATACAGATATAATTTTTTGGCATCACTTCCATTAAACTTTTTTTTTTTTTTTTTTTTTGTGTGTGTGTGTGTGTGTGTGTGTGTGTGTGTATTACGCTGCAGAAAATCGCATCTGAAAATCAGGATAATTTAAAGCTATCACAAATAAGATTTAAGATTTTACAATATATAAAAAGACTCCAAAGTGAGGGAGATAGCTATATACCTGGTGTCCAGTTAATAATGTAGATTTTGTAATAAAAAGGTAATTTTAAGAGAAACATCAAAAGTGCTTTATTCTAAGTAATGTCCATCACTAGCTACACATTTCCCCCATCTTTCAGGTGATTTGTGGATACCTTCCCAATAAAACTTCTCTTGTTTTGAAGCAAACCATTCAGAGACCCCATTTTTCCACTTCTGTGTACTGCTCATAGTGCTGCTCAGAGAGTGCGTGTGCCATGGATCGGAACAAGTGGTCACCTGAAGGAGCAAGGTCTGGTGAATATGGCAGGTGGGTTAATACTTCCCAGGCAAGGTCTTTTAATGTGTCTTTAACTGGTTTTGAAGTGTGTGATGGTGCGTCATCATGAAGCAAAATTACTTTGCTATGTCTTCTGGCCCATTCTGGTTGTTTTACGATCAAAGCATGGTTCAAATTGATTATTTGTTGTCGGTAGTGATCAGTATTAACTGTTTCACCTGGTTTTAGAAGCTCATGATACACCACACCTTCCTGATCCCACCAAATGCAGAGCATTGTCTTCTTTCCAAAGCAATTTGGTCTTGCAGTCGAGGTTGATAGTTGACATAGATCAACCCATGATTTTCTGTGTTTGGGATTCTCAAAATAAATCCACTTTTCATCACCAGTCATAATTTGATGCAAAAAAGACTCTTGCCGTTGAAGCAACATTTGACTGATGACTTTTCGGTTTTCTATTTGATTTTCGTTCAGTTGATGTGGCTCCCATTTTCCTTCTTTTAAATCTTTCCCATTGCTTGTAAACAATTGGAAATTGTTTAATCTTTCTGCAAGTTGTTTTTGAGTTTGACATGCATCTTCATCCAATAATGCTTGTAATTGTTGGTCTTCAAACCTTTTGGTTGACCTAGATATTCTTTGTCTTCCACATCAAAATCATCCCTTTTAAAGTATTTAAACCAATGTTCAAAGTATCTTGAGATGGAGCATGTTCACCATAAGGTTCCCGAAGTATACGGTAACTTTTAGTAACACTTTTCTTCAAAATACAGTAATGAATTAAAACTTCCCAAAAATGCTTTTTTTGGCACGAAATTCGACATTTTTAAAATATATATTGATTTTTTTACAGAGAAGAAGGGAGAGGGATAGAGAGTTAGAAACATTGATGAGAATCATCCATCAGCTGCTTCCTGCACACACCCCTTACTAGGGATGTGCCCGCAACCAAGGTACATGCCCTTGACCAGAATCAAACCTGGGACCTTTCAGTCCGCAGGCTGATGCTCTATCCACTGAGCCAAACCAGTTTCGGCCAGACATCATATTTTGTTATTGTTATACTAGAGTTTGATTCCGGTCAAGAGCATGTGCCTTGGTTGTGGGCACATCCCCTGTGGGAGGTGTGCAGGAGGCGGCTGATCGATATTCCTCTTTCATTGATGTTTCTAGCTCTCTTTCCCTCTCCCTTCCTCTCTGTAAAAAATCAATAATATATATATATTTATATATATATACATATTATATATATATATATATATATATATTTTTTTTTTTTTTTTTTTTTAAGTATTGGTGCACTCCAAATGACTGCTGAAGAACATTTAAATACCTTTATAGCCTGTCCATCATGGCTCAGTGGTTGAGCATTGACCAATAAACGAGGAGGTCACAGTTCTATTCCTTGTCAGGCACATGCCTGGGCTGCAAGCTCTATCCCCAGTGTGGGGCATGCAGGAGGCAGCCAATCAATGATTCTCATCATTGATGTTTCTATCTCCCTCTCTGACATCAATAAAAATATATATTTTTAAAAAATAAATGCCTTTATAAAACTGGCAAAGAAAATGCTAAAAGCTCTAACATGAACATGCATGGAAGAATTCTAATGAGCCTTTTTCCTGCATAGAAAATGTCTGCTTTCTAAGTTGTATAATGGATTTAAAGCAAATTACATGTAGTTAACCAGCAGCCATTTTTACATATGGTTGTGGTACAAGATGAAGATGTTTAGAAAAACAGAAGTCCATCCTGCATTTCAAGGGAATCCAAGACAATATAGACTTAAGTGTGAAATGTGTTTGAGGTGTGTCAGTAAATGGGGTCATTAAATGTTAGAATATGTAAAAACTGCTATTATTCATTTCCTCTTCACTGTCACTTGCTGTTGCCAGACTGTTGAAAGGGTTGTAGCAGTGTTCTCCCTGGTCAGAAGAAACTGCTCTAAAGAAATTGCAAGTAAACTGGAGGGGGAGGGGGCGTTAGTAACTGTAGTGTTTATTCAAAGTAAAAGTACTCCAGGAAATAGCCCTTTTCAGAAACTTGGCCAGTGTGGTCACCCTAACTTCGATGACAGTGGTTCATGAAACATCCAGAACCTTCATGACCAGTCCAATGCATTCTCTGAAACAGAATCCTTCCCCCAAAGTTTGGGATCAGTGATCTGCTTCTGACTCCCTTGCCTGATGATTTAAACTAACGCCAGGGTTGTAAGAGACAGAAGACAAAGGCAGATTTGCAGATAATTCTGCTTCACTCCCATCTTTTCTCCTTTCCCTCCTGTGACAGAAGTGAACCCCCTTCCCAGCTAATGCCCATCCTTTCCTCTTTGTCTGCCTCACAGCCTCCCCTCTACTGGATAGGAATATAAGCATTTTGAAATAATGTCTCTAATCCTTAAAATATATAAAAAGTCCCATCCTGTTCCTCCCTCCCTGCCTTATCTCTGCTGTAGTTATCTACACTTGCTGTCTCCATTTTCTTATTCTCCTATTCAGTCCTATCTAAAAGCTCCTGACATCACCATTTCACAGAAACTCTTATTATGGTTACCAAAAATCCTCACACCCTTAAGCCAATGGCCATTTTCAGTCTTCATCCCACTTCCTACTTAGACACTTTGTTCTTGTACCTTCCTCGTGCCATACTCTCCTGGTCGCTCTTAGACTTTCAACAGCCTTTGCATCAGGGTTTCTCAACCTCAGCATTAGCTTCATCCTGTGCCATTGTTTCCCCTGGCTATCTACTCTCTAACCTTACTGGCCAGCCTTCAGTTCCTTAAAGCCACCATGTTTCCTCCATCAGAGGGCTTTGCACACACCACACATTCACCCAACATCCCCGTGCAATATTACAGCCCTAAAAAGTCTTTTGTACAGCTTAAGATAGTGACTTTTAATCAGCTTAACAATAACCCGCAACCTTCGGACCAACTTAAGATAGTGACTTTTAGAAACAATATTTCTCCTTCTAGATTTCTAATTCTAACTAAGAAACTCATATTCCCAAACCAATAATAGCAGCAATAGCAAAACAGTCTTAAGTAAAATATTAATGTAAATGTAAAATTGAAACTCATTATTTGAGATACTTCTGTTTCTAATAAGTTGTGTTTATCCTCACTAGATTTCATAAGGCTTCATGTTAGCGTTCTGTAAAGCTTATCATCAATCTAGTAAAATGTTGGTGTTTTTATATGTTATTAACTGTGACTTTGCTATGAAGGAATCTGTGATGTTTGGGGGGTAAAAGTTATATTGTATTACTATGAATAAATGATTTTCCAAACGGATTTGAAAAATGAAATGAGAAGAACGTTTATTTTAGAAAACAAACTATATGACTAGCATATTATTTGTATTCAAAGATATGTATGCTATACACGATCATAATTTATTCTTTAAAACAAGTGATCCAAATCCCTACTTGAATATACTGTTAGAAATTACTCTGGTGAAGGGATTAAGCAAAACAACAACCACATAAAAAAATAATAACGGTCTATAAAATAAGTCAGTCTTTTCTCCATTGCAGATTGGTTTCAACTCTCTATTGTCAAAAAGTAAGAAAATGTATCTCCAGGATATTGAAGGTGGGCTGGAGCAGGGAGACTACAAAAGGGTGACAGATGATGAGAATTCTTGACTGAGACACAGTTATGTCTCAATGTTTTTCTTTTACCTTCCTGAGAGATGAAGACCCTGGCTCTTCCTCTGTGTCACTGTTCACTCTTTTCATTATAGGACTGCCAGAATTTTCCAATGCAGAGATGTTTGAGAGAATCTCATCGGCATAAAGGTTTCTGGGTGCTACTTTTCTTGAGATAGACTCCATGGCCTTGTTATCTTTTTTACCAATCTTTGAATTTGAAACTGCCAGATCTGACCTGAGGTATTAATATAAATGAATAAACTATTTACTTTGAAATAAATATATAAAAGCCTAAGCAATTGTTACGACCAAATGACTGGAAGGACTTGTCAGTCAGTCACTATGATGTGCCCTGATCACCAGGGGGCAAACAGCTAGGTCAGTGATATTTCTGTTACAGTGAAGTCTTCCTGATTTCATCAAAATTTCTGATAGAATGTTTTACCCCTCAATTGTTTCAGAGTAAATGGCAATGGCTTTTCCCCAGCCAATAAAAATGTTAAAACAGAACCTTACCTTTTTCGTTTTTGTGACAGACACAATGATTGCGGAGAAGATGCTCTACTTGGCTCATCGGCTAATGTAGCCAAAATAAAGTTAGCTTCCAATAGCATATGGTCAATACTTAAAGCCAAAGGTCTAAAAAGGCAAAGGCAGAGCAAACATCACAATCATTTTCTGATGGACATTGGGAAAATATGAAAAAAATTATATCTAATTCAGGAATAAAAAATTATATCTAATTCAGGAAAAACAGTAAAAGTAGACTTCCTTTTAGTCTTCTCACCGATTAACACAGTCTTAAGAGCTGAAATCATCAGATCTAATTTTATAAAACGGCTATCCAAACTCAATCTTATTTGAAAGTTCAGTCCTGGAGTGTCATATAAAATACAGTTTCACAGAGATTTAAGCCATGTATTATTTTCTAATTAGGCAATTTATTATCAAATTTATAAATGTTTTCATTCTGCAGAAGCATGTATCTTTCTCAATCAAGTTTACCAATTAAAAAAAATATATTATGGCATCTTTCAAAATTTAGTTTGATACATACTGCTAGTGAGGTTAAGGAATTCCTGAGGTATGAATTAATTTCAAAGTGATTAAAATGGTTTTATTATTAACATATAACAAAAGTAAAAGAAACAAACTCAGAAAAGTTCCCCAAGGACCTACTTCCCAGGAAAATCAAAATGCATGGTTATAGGAGCATGTGTAGCTTCCGAAAACATCAGCATTCCCTAAAAGAAAAATAAGAAATAAAAATGAAATATTTCTTTAAAAAACTACCAGTGAAAATTTAATTTCATATAAATTTTTCTTTACCTTCAGTTCTTTGCAGCAAAATGTTATTTCAGTGTCAACCCCAATTTGAAAGAACTCAAACTCATGTGGACCCACAAACATCTCACTGTATACAGAACTGTTCAAATCTGTCCAATATAGTAGGAAAATGAAGAATAAAATTAGTTCTCAAGATATTCATTGTTTGAATATAAAAACATAACCTTAGTGGTAAGTTAACCATATCCATAAAGTCCATGACATTCCTTCATTGAGAGGCAGGGTCTATGTCTACTTCCCCTCTCCTAAAATCTGGGTGGGTGGGCTCTCTGACTGTTTTGGCCAATAGGACATGATGAAGTGATTTGGTGCTGGTTTCTGGGTCCAGGCTTTTAGCAACTAATAGTCTCCCTGTCTTTCCTCTATCCACTTCCTCTATCCTGCAACACTTGCTCGTGCTGACTTCATGCTTTCATAAATGAAGAGACCACATAATGTGCAGGTACTCTGGACAATAATCCAGCCGAGATCCCAACATCAATTACAAGCCATGTCAATGTCTGTTCAAACCCATTGCCTCTTTTTCACTTGTGTTTTCCACAAAATTAGCTTCAATAAATATCTTTGATGTACACTCTCAGATAGAGTGTATATATATACAAATACAAGATTACTTTTAATAGCTTCAAGGTATTTCATTACTTTCCCACAACCCTTCTCCTATTATCAATAGATCTGAAATTTAGAAACAGGTATTAAAAGTGCTCATCTCTGGATAGTGGAATTTCAGGTGACTTTTGTATTAGTGCTTTTTAAAAATTATTTTATGATGCCCTAGCTGGTTTGGCTCAGTGGATAGAACATTGGCCTGATGACTGAAGGGTCCCAGGTTCAATTGTGGCCAAGGGCACATGCCTGGGTTGTGGGCTTGATCCCCAGTAGGGGGCATGCAGGAGGCAGCTGATCAATGATTCCCTCTCATCATTGATGTTTTTCTCTCTCCTCCCTTCCTCTCTGAAATTAATCAATCAATCAATATATATATTTTTAAAAATAAATAAAAATTATTTTATGAACATAAATTATGTAAGTACTAGAGGCCTGGTACACAAAATTCATGCATTGGGGTTATCCCTCAAACCAGCCTGCACCCTCTCCAATCCAGGACTGCTGGCTCCCAAGTGCTCGCCTGCCTGATTGCCCATAACCACTTCTGCCTGCCAGCCTGATCACCTCCTAACCACTCCCTTGCCAGTCCAATTGTCCCCAACTGCCCTGCCCTGCAGGCTTGACTCTGCCAACTGTCCTTCCCTGCAGGCTTTGTTCTTCCCAATGCTGGCCTGGTCACCACCAACTGCCCTCCCCTGCAGGCCTGATTGCTCCCAACTGCCCTCCCCTGCCAGCCTGGTTGACCCTATCTGCCCTCCCCTACAGGCCTGATCGCCTCCAACTGCCCTCTCCTGCCAGCCATCTTGTGGCAGCCATTTGTGTGCTGGAGTGATAGTCAATTTGCATACTACCTCTTTCTTATATAAGATAAGAACAAAGGATAAATGATATACATTTTTTTAAGGGCCAAACAATACCATACAAATATATTAATCTCAAACAAGAAGGCTCATGTCACTCCAGGGTGCTAGCATAGCGTAAGTTCAATAATAGAATTAAACAATTGGGTCCCTAGTCAAACATAACTATAACTACTCATTAGAAAGTTGTTCATAAGGGACAGCGTCTGTTATTAAATGACCATCTTTATTCAGAGATGGCATTATGGAATATAAACCAGACCCTTCACTAATCAAGTATATATTTCCCAGATCATCCACTCCTGAGTGCCAAGAAACAATGTAGAGGAGATGTGAGAGAAACAATAATAGCACAAATGAGTTGTGCCCTGTGCTCAGGTCACCAGGCACCACTTCCTAAAACTGTGTGACACCAGCAAGTCACTTAGTTTTTCTGTGCTTCATATTCTTCAGATGGAAAAGAGGGTCGTAATAGTACCTCCATCACAGAGTTGTTACAAAGATCAAATGAATTCAGAAATGAAAACCATTTAGAACAGAAGCTGGCACAAGCTAAACACTATGAAAGTCATCTGACACAACTTAAACCCTGGTTCTGGTTTTTCACTTTTTTTTTTTTAAATATATTTTATTGATTTTTTTACAGAGAGGAAGGGAGAGAGATAGAGAGCTAGAAACATCGATGAGAGAGAAACATCGACCAGCTGCCTCTTGCACACCCCCTACTGGGGATGTGCCCGCCACCAATGTACACGCCCCTGACTGGAATCGAACCTGGAACCTTTCAGTCCGCAGACCGACGCTCTAACACTGAGCCAAACCGGTTTCGGCATGGTTTTTCACTTTAAAATAATAGTTCCTCCCTTTGTATTCTTTCTTTACTGCTATCACCAAAATAAATTATCCAAGGTCAAAGAGTTTCAAACAACTTGTACCAAAATGACCCCATACATTTTACTGATACCAAACTGATTTGATAGCGCATTAGTTTCTCCATTCCATCTAGATAACTCTTGGAAGAACTGACTTAAGTATTCATATTTTCTGCCCTATACATTTACTGTCTGAAATACCTAACATTTCCAATTCAAATATACTTTTTCGTATGTAGTCAAAGAATTGAATTGAATTGCTGGCCTCTTAATTTTTCTTTATGCCGAACACAAAGTATAACAAAGGATGAGAAAAACTTTAAAATCTTAACTTTAAAATTTTTCTTAGTAACCATCCTCCCAATTTTAAAACAACTGGAATTTCAAAGCAAAGCATTTTAATTACTGATTGTGTCAATTTTCTGGATCTCTTAAACATTTTAATGATCTTTCTACATCTTACTGCTTTTTAAACAAAAATAAACATTATGCCACTAATATTTACTGCATGGTTAGTCACCAAGAAAACAAGGAAGTGATATTATTACATTAAAGCACTATGACAGATATAAACCATACCCATTGATTCCTCAGTAGAACTCTTAATGCAAACTTCCAGTGGAGTAACTGCAAGAGTAACTTCCTCTTGACTTGATGTGAAAAGAACAATTGCCTCAGCAAGCACTCTGGGAAATGTAATAAAAATATTACCATCTTTGGAAAATAAACAGCTTTCAAATGGAACTCAAATATATATATACATGTATATATATATATATATGTATTTTTTAATTGATTTCAGAGAGGGTGAGGGAGGTAGAAACATCAGTATTGAGAGAAAATCATTGATCTGCTGCCTCCTGCATGTCTCCCCCCACCCCCCAGGGATGGAGCCCTCAACCCAGGCATGTGCCTTTAACTGGAATCAAACCCAGGACCCTTTAGTCCACTGTTTGACACTCTATCCACTGGGCCAAACCAGTTAGGGTGGGACTCAAATCTTTAATCTATAAATAGTTTGGCCTATATTTAGAAAAATTTACCCAAAATGTAAATTTTTCCTCTTTCTTCTATGTAAGCTGCTATATTTTGAAACTGTAACTTCATTTAAAGGCCAAGAGTAAAATGAATTCTTTTTTAAAAAAATATATTTTATTGATTTTTAACAGAGAGGAAGGGAGAGAGAGAGAGAGAGCTAGAAACGTCTATGAGAGAGAAACATCGGCCAGCTGCCTCTTGCACAACCCTTACCAGAGAGAGAGAGAGCTAGAAACGTCTATGAGAGAGAAACATCGGCCAGCTGCCTCTTGCACAACCCTTACCGGGGGTGTGCCCGCAACCAATGTACATGCCCTTGACCGGAATTGAACCTGGGACCTTTCAGTCCGCAGACCGACGCTCTACCACTGAGCCAACCGGCTTCGGCGTAAAATGAATTCTTAGTAAAGCATGTGAAAGCTGTAAGATAAACCAAATACTAGAATAAAATGCTTTTAGTTCTTTTTTTTAATGTAACAATTTTTTTTAATTGGCCTGGGATCATACTACTAAGGGAAATAGTAGAAAACAGAGCCGTTTTAATACAATTGGGGTAAATGCTGGAGACCCAGCTGAAAGGTAGAAGTTTGCAAGCAATCTGCTGCCTATATTCTCTTTTCCTTTGTTACTTGTCCTGGGTTACTAATTATTGCTTTCAAGGTTATCTTGACATCCAAGTGCTTTTTCATTGTGTGCTCCCACTTTAGAAACAGATTTATTAAGATATAATTAACATACTATACAATTCACAGATTTCAAGTTGTTTGACTTATGTTTCCCCAGTGATTAATAATGCTGAGCACCGCCTTAACCAGTTTGGTTCAGTGAATAAAGGGTCGGCCTGAGGACTGAAGGGTCCAGGTTCCATTCTGGTGAAAGTCTTGTACTTTGATTGTGGGCACATCCCCAATTGGGGGTGTGTAGGAGGCAGCTGATGGATGTTTTCTCAATCATCAATGTTTCTAATTCTCGATCCCTCTCCCTTCTTCTCTGTAAAAATCAATAAACTATATTAAAAATAATAAAGCTGAGCACCTTTTCATGTGCTTATTGGCCATTTTATATCATCTTTGGAAAAATATTTATTCAAACCCTCTACCTGTTTTTTAGTTAGGTTATTTGCCTTTTTATTATTGCATTATAACTTCTGAGTGACTTTTGAAATTGAGGTGTTATTTGATTAAAAAAAAAAAAAAACACGGATTCTTAGAATTTTTGTAATGTTGGTATTAGTGTTTCTTGATGCCAAAATGTAAGGAATGCCTACCAAATTCATCTGGAAACATTTCCAGTGTTAAGGGAGAAGTTTTGTACAAGATACCAAACAACCTGATATAAAAAAAAAATTACATGAATGTGCAATTAGGGAAGAAAAACACCAATTGCTAGTAAGTATATGAGAAGATGCTCAAACTGCCTAGTAATGAAATAAAAACAACAAAGAAGTCTATTAATACAATTTTCTACCTATTATGTTGGAAAAAATTTAAAAGATGATTCATATCCTTTTCTTGGAAGGATTTTCCTACACTGTTGGTGGGAATGTAAATTGATACAAACTTTCCAGGTAGCAATTTGATAATCAGTGTGTAGGCACATTAAAAATTAGTAAGCCTTTGAGCCAGAAATTTAATCTCTAGGACTCTATTTGTGTTTGGCAGCCTAGAAGAGGCCCCTCTGATCCCACCTCCTCGTTTTCGGGTCCTATATAAATCCCCTCCCCTTGAGGGTGGGCTGGACAGATAAGATTCACTTCTAGCAAAGAGAAAACGATAGAAGTCTAAAACAGCAGTTCTGAGATTAGGATATAAAAAAACCATGGCTTCCATCTTGGGAGTCTTCCCCTCCTCCTCTGTCTCTGTCTCTGTCTCTGTCTCTGTTTCTGTCTCTGTCTCTGTCTCTCATCACCATGTAGTGAGTACAATCAGGCAGTCTAAGGAGAGGCTTGCCTAGTGAGGAACTGAGGCCTCCCAGCAACCATGTCGGTGGGCCTGGAAGTAACTCCCTCCACAGCTTTCAGATAAAACTACTGTCCTGGCTGTTGGCTTAACTTCAACCTTGGTGACCTTGAGCCAGATGCAGGAAGTAACAAATGGCTGTTTTTTTTTAAGGCTCCAAGATTTGGGGAAATTTGCTCCATAGTAACAGATAACTAACACATTTCCCTGTGTACTACTAGCAGCATTGTTTGTGATGGCAAAAAGTTGGAACCGATACAGCAGTTCCCCCTTATCCGAGGTTTTACTTTTCTGGATTTCAGTTATCTCCAGTCAACTGTGATCTGAAAATATTAAATGGAAAATTCCAGAAATAATTATGTTTTAAAATGCTTGCCATTCCGGTTAGCGTGATGAAATCTCATGCCATCCGGTGCCATCCTGCCCAGGATGTGACTCACCCCTTGGTCCAGTGTCTCCAAGTTGTATATGCTATCTACCCGTTAGTCACTTAGTGGCTATCAGTTATCATCAGCTAGGCTGTCGAGGTATTGCAGTGCTTATTATACTTATTAATATCCCCAAATCGCAAAAGTAGTGATGTTGACAATTCAGATATGCCAAAGAGAAGCCAAAAAATGCTTCCTTTAAGTGAAGAGGTGAAAGTTCTCCTTAATAAGGAAAGAAAAAAAGTCATATGCTGAAGTTGCTAAGGACTATGGTAAGAACAAATCTCCTACCTATGAAGTTATAAAGAAGGAAAAGAAATTTCCTGTTGCACCTCGAACTGCAAAAGTTACAGCCCCCATGGGTGTGGTAGTGCTTAGTGAAGAGAGAAAAGGCATTGAATTTGTGGGTGGACGACATGGGCAGAAAACATGTTCTGACTGATGGCAACATAATGCACCAGAAAGCATTGAGTCTATAGGGAGACCTGAGCAAGTCACCACATTCACCATACAGTTATTACAGTATATTGTTATAATTGTTCTATTTCATTAGTTATTATTGTTAGCCTCTTACTGTGACTAATTTGTAAGTTAAACTATCACAGGTCTATATACATAGGAAAAAAACAATATATATAGGGTTGAGTACTATCTGCAGTTTTAGACATCAACTGTGGGGAGAGAGGATAATGAATAAGTAAATTACCAATCAGTCATACAATGAAAAATTATATCATCATTAAAAATAATAAGATAGATTTAGGTGAACTGACGGAAGAACTGAAAAAAAACAATCTTGCCAAACAAAAATAATAGTGGGACATTTTCTTTGAAAATACTATGTATACTATATTATTAAAAACTATGAATAATAAAGTATGTGATATTAATTTGAGAGGCAGTAAAAAGCGATCACAATAATTATAGGGAGAGTTACAGAGAAAATGGCTATAAATTTAACAAAATAGCTATAAAAAGAACTAGAATGATATACACCAAATTATTAATAGAAATTATCATTGCCAGTGGAATAAAGGGGACAGGTAGAGGAGAAAGATTTTCATTTTTTAATCTTTACAATCTTCTATAAATTTTAGATGTGTTTCAAGAACATGTATTTATTTGGTAATTTAAAAAAAAAAAACAAGAATAAAATATCTTTTGACTTACAAAGTAACTGTTTGGCTTAACTGAAAAATTGAGTACATTGACTCATTCTCTAGAGGAAAAAATGGAAATACTTAAGGAAAAAATTCTTATAAAAAATGTTGAAATTTCCTTATGCTGTGTGTTTTAAGACTCAGACAGAAGGCACCATGTAAATGCAAAATATTAGAAAATCTATTTTTTTTCTTGATATCATTTGATGATGAAAGCTACTGATGGAATATTTTTAGAATTTTCTTGGCCACTAAATTATTATTGCTATCATTAGGCAATTACAGTAATTTTCAACCAGTGTGCCGCAGGAATTTTTAATACACGATTAGTCAGGGGCCCTGACCTCTTTTCCCTTAGATTGTCAAATTTTTAAAAATGACAACAGCTCTCTCCTCCCTCTCCCTTCTTCTCTGAAATTAATAAAAATGTATTTTTTTTTTTTTTTTAAATGACAACAGCTTTTGCCAGTTTGATTCAGTGGATGGAGCTTCAGCCTGCGGGCTCAAGGGTCCTAGGTTTGATTCCCATCAGGGCACATGATTTTCTCTCATCATTGATGTTTCTATCTCCCTCTCTTTCTCTCAGAAATCAATAAAAATAAATCTTTAAAAAATGACAACAGCCAATACAACAATAGCTGTCTGGCATGAATGAGTCAAAATCATACCTTTTTTTTTTTTTTTGGTCAAATCAACAAAACATATATTTTTTGGTGTGATGCAAACTAAAAACGAATACTTTGGTAATTACTTGATGTGTGCTGTGGAATAATCGCTAATGCACTATTATCTTTATCAAGATTTCCTCTTGATCCTAGCTGGAGATTTCTCCCAAGTCCAGGATTAGCTTTAAAACAAAAACGTGACTTACTTAAAAAGCTCTAGGACATTAATTCTTTACTCTGTAACCAAACTATTTTAAGAAACAGAACAGAGAATTCATTACCTTGGCTGAATCATTAGTATATTACTACATGTATTCTTTTCAAAAAGAACTTGCAAAGGCTGACTTTCTTGAAAACACACATTGTGAGTCTTTTTAATACCTGCAAAAGAATAAACAACCTGTTAATTTTAGGTTCAAAATTCAAATATTAAGAAGTTTTTAAGCCAAGGCCGGTTTGGCTCAGCGGTAGAGCGTCAGTCTGCGGACTGAAAGGCCCCAGGTTCGATTCCGGTCAAGGGCATGTACCTTGGTTGCGGGCACACCCCGGGTAGGGGGTGTGCAAGAGGCAGCTGGTTGATGTTTCTCTCTCATCAACGTTTCTAGCTCTCTATCTCTCTCCCTTCCTCTCTGTAAAAAAAAAAAAAAATCAATAAAATATCTTTTTTAAAAAAAAGAAGTTTTTAAGTAAAGTTATATTTAATATCTGGCAGTGCACACAGCATGGAGAAGCACTATTCCTTAATGAATGTTTATCGCTCCCTAGTGGACATCAGGCATTATGTCAGACCATCTCACCAAGCAGGCAATAAAGAGTTCCCTTTTTGGTTCCCTTTCTTTTGAAATAGTTAATTTCTTAAATTGTGTGTAAAATAGTGATTGCCCACGATAGCTTAGCTATCTATGATTCTATATCTGTCATCCAGGCCTGATATTCTGAATGGGGCCTTTGGAATATAAAGCTGAACGTATAGCCTGTGAATTATTTTCCTCTGAGAAAAATGTGTAGCAATAATGGCTATGGCCCTATATGCCAGGAACTGAGGTACACATTTTACATACATTACCTCTGATCCACACAATATCCCTATGGGGCAGGTACTTAATCTAAGAAGAGGAAACAATAACTCAGTGAGGTTAAATTACTTTTCAATGCTATGCTTTTTAAAAATATATATTTTATTGATTTTTTATAGAGAGGAAGAGAGAGGGATACCTTGAGCCAGTTACCATGCTTCTTTCAGCCTAGAGGGAAATATTCTTTTGTTTGTTAGTCCTCACCTAAAGATATTTTTCGATTGATTTTTTTTAGGGATAGTGGAAGAGAGGGTCAGAGCGAAACACAATGATTGGTTGCCTCCTGCACAAGCCCTGACCAGGACTGGGGCCGGGAGGAGCCTGTAACCAAGGTAAGTGCTCCTGACCAGAGTCTAATTGGTCTGCAGGCTGACTCTCTATCCACTGAGCCAAACCAGCTACAGCAGGAATTATTCTTTTTTCCAAGGAACCAAGGAACACTATTACCAAGGCATTCTTATAGAATATCAATGAGCCAGTTAAGTTGAGAACAACCAATTGTTTAAATTAAAAATTAGTTTGTATGCAGGCAAAGTTTGTGTCACTGACAAAGAAATACTATCAATCATCTCACAATACTTCTACAGAAACAAATAAGATAATGTTTTTTCAAGTACTTCTAACTGCCCTACCATAAAACTATACAAATTCTAAGCAGTAATGTAATGAGAACTCTTGACATGCAGTTTGAATATTCTAAACATAAAAATATTAACAAGAAACACACAATACATTATTTTTAATTATACCTACCATGTCTGCAGAATAATTGAATGACTACTTTGCATTTATCAGATCTGGTGAATATTTTACACATCTCTACATTTCTTTCGAGGGAATTCAGACATCTGAATATGGGCAGAATTGACTGTAATAAAAATAAGATTATGGAACAGCATATACTCAATGTTTAATTAGTTTAAAAACAAAAGAAGAGTGTGCATATTCATAAATGAATAGATTTGTCCTACCTGCATTTAATCCAAGTATTAAGTACAGAATAGATGTTCTGACTGATATACTGAATATTTCCATAATATAAGAGAGACAACCAGGGCCACTTATATTTACCTTCATTCCCAACTTGCAATTTAAATTTGATTTTGTGCCATTCATTTCTACTGAGGTTGACCAATGATAATGTTGGAAAAACACAGGAGAGAAGAGAACACATCCATATGCTGAGCGACAAGAATTCACAGACCTTAAAGCAAGCTGGGGGGAAAAATAGCTATTAAGGGAGAAAATTTCTTTAAATTACTAATTTAAAAAATTCTATTTTGTTTAATATAGCAATTAAATATTCAAATAAGGTGATCAGATGTTAACTGCATTATATGGCTACAAATTATATGGACTGCATCTATACACTGTATATTAAATTTGCATGTGCATACACACATGTGTACATATCTATATTGAATATATGTAGGTATTAAATCTAAAATTTTGCATGTTGAAATTGTAAAATTGCAAATGCCTACAGGGGCCTTACGTTTAATGTACAAAGTGGCAGAAGGCAATATAAAAGGGAGTAAAAAGCGTTCCTAGCAAAATGGCAACCTCTTGCCTTTTCTAAGAGGAGAAATTGTTAGTCAGTCTCAGCCAACTACTTCCACTTGAGAATACAGGCCCCAAACTGTCAGATCTTCTTGAGTTTTCAAGAGAAACAGGAAATTCATATTTTTACATGGACTCTCCCAATTTTTAACTGATAGAAATAATTTCAATTTTCAAAAAACACAGTGCAATCCCCAAAAAACACTTGTACAAGCCATTCTAGCCTTTTGACCACTAGTTTGTGATTTTTAATTTAAATTAGATATATTTATCTGCATAATTTTAAAATTTACTATGCTCTAAATCAGTGCTTTTCAATGGGTGTGCTGCAAGAATTTTTAAAACAAGGAATACATGACTATTCAGGGGCACTGACCTCTTTTTCCTTAGATTGTCAAATTAAAAATATGATAACAGCCAACACAATAGCCATCTAGTGTAAATGAATCAAAATTATTCCTATTTTTTGTTAGATTAGCAAATATATTTTTTGGTGTGCCAAAATATTTTAGTAGTTTATGTGTGCCATGAGATGAAAAAGGTTGAAAATCGCTGTTTTAAGTATATTTAGATCTATACAATAAATATAAACAGTGAAAAGGGTAATTACAATTTCTGGATTTCCTAGTTAACATACAATCTGTGCTGGAATCTTAAACTTCTTTTGTCTTAATAAATGAATGGTGTATGAGTTAACTTTCTTACTTACACCTTTTTCAGATGGGTCTAGCCACAGCTCATCACTAATTCTTGATAGAGCTTGGATTGCTTTCCCAAATACTACAGAGAAAAAGAAAGATGCTGCTTATATTCTTTCTCTCAAACAAAAACAAAACATAGGTCTACTTCAGCATTCATTGGACTTAATAAAGAACAGTGTTTATAGACTAATACTACAAATTGCTTTAAGAAATACATTATGGGGGGTGGGAGCAGGGTGGAGAGGGTCAATAGGGGGAAAAGGGGATCTCTGTAACACTTTCAACAATAAATTTTTCAAAAAGAAATACAGTATAATACTATTGGCAAAATGCCAACTTAATAGTACGAGCTCAATAAATTTAAAAAATGAGTATATGAAATAATATCCAACAAAATTCTTCCTGTCTGCAGTGTTGCATGGAACTACTGTGGCAAGCCAATTTCCTCCCATACTAATAATGTATTTTAAAACTTGTATCTTCCCTTGCCCGACCCTGGGAAAAAAGTGTACAAAGAAAGAATGGAGAGGGTGGTTGGAAGGTATTTAATAACTTGACTGGTAGCAAAGTGAAAGCAAGTCATGAGATAAATTAGAGGCTCTCAAGATGCATCTCTGGTGTTTGAGGGTTGCATGAAAGATGCCAAATCTTCCCACCAAACACACTCAGATGTCCTTTCAGAAAGAGACACTGGTCTGACCTGGCATGACACTTGCAATAAGTAAAAAAAAAAAAAAAAAAAAAAAAAAATGTGGCAAACAGATATGAAATGGAATGCTGCAAAATAAACATATATCAATTTATGCAAAAGTATACAAAAGGGAAAACAATTTCAGAACATAGAGTTAGATTATAAGGCTTAAGAATCATAAGTATGTGAGTTGGGAGTATGGACCTCAAACTGAGAAAGACTGGATGACTGGGGGTGGGTGGGGTGGGAGTGATAGATGCATTTGTCTCTTTTCCCACTTCACATTCACATTTTCCTGGAGCCGCCTAATGCAGACCTTTCATGCAGCCAATGAATATTTATGAGCACCTACAATGTCCCAAGTACAACCCCAGGGCAGTGGGGGTAAAGGGATGAACAAGACAGGAATAGTTCCTGATCTCACAGAGTTTACATTCAACATAATTAAACAATCACGTAAATAATTGCTCATTAAGAATTGAGGTATACACTGTCAAAGAGAATTTCCTGTTCCATAATACTGCTCCATAGAAGTCCTCAACACAGGGAAGCCAGGCACATTGCAAGATACCTTTCCATGATTATTTTCAGGTTACAGTTTGTAGGAAACCATTGCTTTTCCAAATATAGATTTTTTTGGGAGTAATTTACATGTTCATAAAGTACTATCCTATATAATAAAAGGCTAATATGCAAATTATCCCTACGGGAGTTTGACCCATTGGGAGTTTGACCACTTGGGAGTTCAACTGCTGCCTATAATGTGTGCTGACCACCAGGGGGCAGCACAGAAGGAAGGTCCTGGCTGGCAGTCAAGGGAAGGAAGGCCCCAATCAGGGCCAGGCCTAGGGACCCTGGGATCCTACCTGTGCATGAGTCTCATGCACCAGGTCTCTAGTTTATAGTAATGGTCCCTGTACATTCCCATTTATTAAGTTCTTTACATGCATTTCCTTTCATGGCTACAACAAAGATGCTATTTGTCATTTTACTGATGACAAGAAACTGAGCCCTAACGTGATTCTGTAGCTTGTCCCAGGTCATAAATTAAAAAAATGATAGGATCGGGGGCTGGGTGGAGGGGGATAAAGGATGGAGGGGGTAGGGAGAGAATGGAAAACATCTGTAGTACTATCAACATTAAAAAAAAAAAAAAAAAGGTAGGATCTACAGTAAAAAACTGGTTTGTTTTTCCCATGACACACAAATACTCTGTCCAAGCGTTATTTTTTATCCTCCACTCTGCCCCACAGTTCATCCCGATTTTGAGGCCCACACTCCCCCCAATCTCTGTCCCGATGGTTCAACTTCATTCCGTAGACACCTATGAACATAAATATTAAGCAGAAATCAAAGCACATGGGCCTTCATCTTCCCCTCAGAAACTAACAGGGCCATTTTCGTGGCCAGACTTTGTGTGTCCTCGGCCCTTATGCATAAAAAAGCAAAGGGTTCAGCATAAGATGATGGCGGAGCGCCCTGTAACCCTCCAGCTTTCCCTTTTTCTCCGTAGGAAGGGAAGAAAGGCCGCTCCACCTTTAACCTGACTGCCGCTCATCCCGCACTTCAGCATGGCTGCGGGCCCTAACAGGCTGAGTCGCAAGGACTGGGACGGTGCTGCCCACGCCTTCAGAAGCTTCGAGAACTCCTCCCTTTCCGCTTCCACTCCCTCCCCGGAAGTAGCTTCGCCTTACGGCGGGAAAGAGCCTATGCGGGCCACCGTACAGCGGCCTCCCGCGGACGCCTTTTCTCATTGGCTGTGAACGAAGTGGGCGGGTCATCGTACAGTGGTCTCCCGCGGTCGCCTTTTCTCATTGGCTGTGAGAGAAGTGGGCGGGCCTCCGAGGCGTCTGAGGAAGAGGGCGGCGGCGGTTGCGGGGACTGAGCGGAGCCCAGTGACAGGATGGTGAGGATGGCAGCCGCGGTGGCCGAGGCCTGGCTCTCGGCCGGGGTGCTGCGTCGTAGGGAGCGGCCGGGAGGCTCTGGGCGAGAGCTGAGGCGACCCCGGAGGCCTGGGGGGGTGGAGGGGTGGCGCGGTTCCGGCCGGGCCTGGGAAGGCCCAGGGGGAGGGCACGGGAGGTGAGGGAGCGGCCACTTCTGGGGGAAGCCGGCCCCGGCCTCGTACCGCCGCCCCCGGGGCCCAGGACGTCCGAGGGGGAAAGAGGCCCCTCTCACCGGCTGGTCCCTTCCTCCCGAGCGGGGAGAGGCCCACGGGGCCCGTGCTTCGGCCGTTCCGGAGAAGAGGCACGGTCCCCTTCCGTCTCCGGACGTCTCCCGAGTTCTTCCCCGCTGGTTTGGGGTGTACACGTTATCTCCCCACCCGCTCGCCCCCGGTCGGCGAAAGCTGGCTTCTCAGAAGAAAACCGGGAAGTAGCGAGCAGAATCCCTTGCCCGGTCTAGTTTGCCATCTAGGGGAAGGGGATAAAAACGGTCCCTTTCGCCCTGAGACAAGGTGGCAGCTGCCATGGCACCGTGGTGGTGTGCTCTCCGGGGACTGCAGTTTTGGCCCTTCCAATTGCCCAAACTCCTTGTTTCTTTCTTTTTAAAAAAAATATATTTTATTGATTTCTTACAGAGAGGAAGGGAGAGAGATAGAGAGCTAGAAACATCGATGAGAAACACATCGACCAGCTGCCTCCTCCTGCACACCCCCTACCGGGGATGTGCTCGCAACCAAGGTACAAGCCCTTGACCGGAATTGAACCTGGGACCTTTCAGTCCGCAGGCTGATGCTCTATCCACTGAGCCACACCGGTTTTGGCTCCTTGTTTCTTTAGGATGCTGCGACCTTTTTTTTTTTTTTTTTTTTTTTAATATATTTTATTGATTTTTTTTACAGAGAGGAAGGGAGAGGGATAGAATTAGAAACATCGATGAGAGAGAAACATCGATCAGCTGCCTCTTGCACACACACACACACACACACACACACACACACACGCTGGGGATGCGCCCACAACCAAGGTACATGCCCTTGACCGGAATCGAACCCGGGACCTTTCAATCCGCAGGCTGACGCTCTATCCACTGAGCCAAATTGGTTTCGGAAGAGACTGCGACCTTTTAGAGTAGGATTCCTCAATGATCCGTGAATTTGAACATTTTGGGAAAATTTTGAGACTATGTTTTTCTGGGTTAAGGGCCAGAGTTTGGTGCTTAAGGGGGTAGTTTGGGGAGCTTTACTTTGGTCTTTCATCGGATTGCCCCAGCCTGCAGGCCCGTCACCCTCTCACCCCCAATAGGTTGCTTCCCCTAAGACCTTCCTGAAGAAAAACTCTCCGAGCTGCCACTGGTGAGGGCTCATAGCTATGCTCCGTTTCCTAAGGTGCTCTCTCTTGACGCCCTAAAATGTTAAGAACAGTTTCAAAAGGAACTCTGATTATCTTGGTGTTTGTGTTGATGAGATTTATATAAAGGAACTTTTCTTCCTGACGGGTAGCCGTTGTATTTTTAAGATCATCACGGTTCCATGGCAAACATCACTTTTGAGATGACTTATAGACATGACAGAGATTTACGGTATATACTTCCTTATAAATGTAAAAAGATTTCATCTTACTTTTGATTTTTTCTTCTAAACCAGACTCCAAATAACAGCACATTTTACAGTAATTTTGAGACATTGATCCTTGGGAGAAGACGAAATTTCTTTTTCCCCCCGTTTTTTCCTTCACTTTGTGAAGACAAAATTTCTTGACATGTAACAATTTTTGTTGAGAGGTTAACACTTTTTTAGGGTAGTTGCCCCAGCACATCATTTTTCATGTCAAACAGAAAGAACTGGGCAAAATTTAGCCTTATTCCATCTTTTTATTTGGCATAGAAGACTAAAAACATTCAACACTCAGTAGTATCCAAGAGTCCACAGGCAGCATATTCAGGTGTGGGGAAGGTCCATTTTTATGTGGAGGAATGTGTTTGTTATTATCATCTTTAGTTGGTGACTTCATCACTTGATAATGTATTTGAGGTGCTACATACATTAGATCATCTATACAAAATAATGACCCAAACTGCAGCATAATTTTACAACTAGAATTTTAACATAATTAAAATCAATATACTTGAGGAATAATTAGGCCGTAAGTATCTAGAAAATGTTAGCTTTCGTTAAAGCTATGACTAATTTTCCAAATTGTCTTAGAAAATGCTAAATAAACAGGAAATGAAAGGGTATGAGAGTCATGTGGAGAACAAGATTAGGGAAAAAAATTGACGAGGCAAAAAAACTTACAAGTATGTATGCATGCGCGTATGTGTCACGTTTAAAATACAGCAAATGGTTCTTTTGGTATTTTGAGCAAAGCTGATTTTTAACATTTTCTTTCATAACACTCAGAAATCATTAACAATTGTTTGCATATTCATTTGATATGAGTTTTTTTGGGTTTGTTTCTTTTTGTTGCTTTCTTTTAACATTGGTCATGTTTCACCCTTTTTTTTCATTCCCCCTGTCTGCAATCAACTTCTTCATTCCACTAAGGCTGGGCACAGAGTAAGTTTCTTCTCTTAGCTCCTCCTAATCATGGTGGTTGGGTGTCTGACTACTGGGATTTTCACCCTTTTATAGTCTATCAAATAGGAAATAGCCAAATTCCTATGCTTTGATTGGGTTGGTTCTTTATTTGAATTTAACAAGACTGCCAGTTCCAGGATCTTTTGCTGTCTTAAAAAACTATAATCTACGTCTAACCTGAACTGTCAAAGTGTGGGATTTGGGCAAGGACATTCCTCAGAGTCTGATATTTGTCATGTGACACTATTTCCCTTAGAACTTTGTCACTTGCAGGAAACCACAGCCCTAGTTAGAAATTTTAAATAATTTCTGTGTGGTCTTTCATACAGTTATATCTTTAGAATGCTGATATCTGGGCACACGGGCACAATCCACAGTAAATTATAGAATTTAGGTTATCAATCATTATAAAGTATCATTTCTTACTAATGTTCTTTTTAGTTCATTCAGATGGAACAATTCATTCACTATTAGACCCAAATATTTTTTAAAAAATAGATGTGTATATATATATTTTTAAAAATATATATATATTTTTTTATTGCTGGAACCGGTTTGGCTCAGTGGATAGAGCGTCAGCCTGAGGGCTGAAAGGTCCCAGGTTCGATTCTGGTCAAGGGCATGTACCTTGGTTGCGGGTACATCCCCAGTAGGGGGTGTGCAAGAGGCAGCTGATTGATGTTTCTCTCTCATTGATGTTTCTAACTCTCTATCCCTCTCTTTTCCTCTCTGTAAAAAATCAATAAAATGTATTTAAAAAAAAAAAAAATATATATATATATATATATATATATATATATTTTTTTTTTTTTTAATTGACTTTTTACAGAGAGGAAGGAAGAGGAAAACATCGATCAGCTGCCTTTTGCACACCTCCTTCTGGGGATGTGCACTCAACCAAGGTACATGCCCTTGACCGGAATGGAACCTGGGACCTTTCAGTCTGCAGGCCTATGCTCTGTCCACTGAGCCAAACCAGTTAGGGCTATGTATATATTTTTTAAATATATATTTTTATTGGTTTTCCAATAAAAAGGAAGGGAGAGGGAGAAAGAGATAGAAACATCAATGATGGGAGGGAATAATTGATCGGCTGCCTCCCACACGCCCCCAATGGGATCGAGTCCAAAAACCGAGCAAGTGCCCTTAACCAGAATCAAACCTGGGACCCTTCAGTCACCAGGCCATTGCTCTGTCAACTGAGCCAAACCACCTAGGGCAGTCCCAAACATTTTCAATCTATTATAGACATATACCCTTTTTGAGTTTGAGATTCTTAATTTTTTTTTTAATAAGGATATCTTTTTACCTTTTTCTCAAATGCCAGCTTCCCATGTTAACTATGCACTTCAAGACATATCTGAAGGGGTCTTCCTCTAAAGATGAAGATTGTTAAATCTCTAGGCACTTTTATACTCATTACCAATGAAGGTCAAAACTTCATGGTGCTTTTAGTTTTACAGATATTTTAGCCATCTGAATTGAAACAATAAGTCCTTGAGCAAATACCAGCTGAATCTAGTCTTTATAAAGAAATTTATTTAACAGCTTCTTTTAAAGTGCTCTAATTTTACTGCAGTTACTCTACATCCTGAATAGTTCCTTTCCTTTGTAATCATTTTGATATTTGCTGCAAGATGAATCAATCTTAATAATTTTCATTTTGCACATTTTGTTTTTGATTAATTTCAATTTACAACTATTTTGTTTTATCTTATTTTAGATATTTAATGTTTTCTTTGATAGTAAGAAATAGTCATACCTTTTTAAAAAGCAGTTAAAGGGCATGTACATTTATGGATGGGATGTCTGTGTGGGAAAACGTGCTGTCATAGAATGAAGGTGCTTATACTGATCGATATGAAATAATTGTCCTTTGGAGGGCAGATATTTTTATTTTTATTTTTAAATATATTTTATTGATTTTTTACAGAGAGGAAGGAAGAGAGCTAGAGAGCTAGAAACATCAATGAGAGAGAAACATCGACCAGCTGCCTCTTGCACACCCCCCACTGGGGATGTGCCCGCAACCAACGTACATGCCCCTGACCGGAATCGAATCCGGGACCTTTCAGTCCGCAGACCGACGCTCTACCACTGAGCCAAACCGGTTTCGGCGGGAGGGCAGATATTTTTAAACTAGAGGCACCATAGGAGGCCTACTGGGATCAGGCGGAAATCGGCTTTCTGACATCCCCCCGAGGAGTCATGAATTGTAAGAGGGCGCAGGCCAGACCAAGGGACTCCACCATTGCAAGATCCGGGCCTGGGGAGGGACCACAGGAGGGCTCCAGGATGTGTCTGTCCGGACCCCAGCAGCACATGAACCTACAGGTTGGAGCATCTGCCCCCTGGTGGTCAGTGCACGTCATAGCGACTGGTTGAATGGTAGAATGAAAGTTGGACACAGCATATTATTAGGCTTTGATTATATAGGATAGGATGACCTCTTTGAATATTAAGTGACTTAGTTAAATAATATTTACATGTAAAATCATTAAAATTTTATAGGTTTGAAATTTTGTGAAATGTTATTTTAAGTTTGGAAAGTAAACTGAGGGCACATAGGCAATTTAATCTAGACAATGAATATATGACATGAGGATTTCTAATGAATGAGAAGATAAAGATTATAATTGAAAAGTACACTTTTCCCATTGAACTTTGTGAAACATAGGTTGTTTTTATTCCTCTAATGTGTAGCTAATAGTTTTAAGTAGCAAGTATTGTAAATTTTGGCTATTATTCCTCCAAATAGTTGTCAGGCTAGTAAACATAAATTATAGAATTAATTTTTTTCACCATCATTACTTTTTTTTTTTTTTTTTTTAAATCTTCACCCTGGGATATCTTTAGAGAAAGTAAAGGAGAGAAGTAGGGAAGGGGGGAAAAACATCAATGTGAGAGAGAAACATCCATGTGAGAGAGAAAGACATTGATCAGTTGCCTCCAACCTGAGATCAAACTGGCAACCTAGGTATGTGTCCTGGCTGGGAATCAAACCTACAACCTTCTGGTGTACTGGAATCAATACACGAGATTTTACGAACAGGGTACTATGTGTGTTTGTTTAAATGGTTATGATAAGGAACTGTATGAATAACCTCTGCTCCTTTGTGTCCTGGGATCTCTGATTAGTTTAATTCAAAAGGGGGTTATTGGAGGAGAGCATCTTGCTTTGACACAATATTTAACATTACACCTTGTCTCACCTTGACACTTTGAAGTTGGTGTTGGTATTAGGAGACCTGCACATCCCACACCGGTGCAACAGTTTGCCAGCTAAGTTCAAAAAGCTGCTGGTACCAGGAAAGATTCAGCACATTCTCTGCACTGGAAACCTTTGCACCAAAGAGAGCTATGACTATCTCAAGACTCTGGCCGGTGATGTTCATATTGTGAGAGGCGATTTCGATGAGGTGATGTATTTCCCTTTCTTTTGCAATATTTCCTTTTCTTGATTTTCATGTATAAAGCTTTATCCTTTAGACTAGTTTCTCACCTATTAAGATCTCTTCTCCCCCCACCCAAATATAAAATTACTATATATACCCTTCCTTTCTGTTTGAAAATCACTGAATTTTAGATTGCTCAATAAATATATTAAATACTTGTTTTAACTAAATTGATACGGAGTAAAAGTAGTTTTGTCACTATTTTTTGTAGAACTATCATTTAGTTTATAAAGTTTTTGTTATGAACTTCTTACCACCATCCTCACCTCTATTTTTTTTTTAAATAAATTTTATTGATTTTTTACAGAGAGGAAGGGAGAGAGATAGAGAGCTAGAAATGTCGATGAGAGAGAAACATCGACCAGCCGTCTCTTGCACACCCCCTACTGGGGATGTGCCCGCAACCAATGTACATGCCTTTGACCGAAATCGAACCTGGGACCTTTCAGTCCACAGACTGAGGCTCTACCACTGAGCCAAACCGGTTTCAGTCATCCTCACCTCTATTACCGTGTTCCAAGGACCACATCACTTTCCTATTTTCCAACTTCCTGAATCTATCCTCCCTCCACAGTTTGTTCTCCAAGTAGCAGAGTGATCTTTTTAAGTGAAGATCACATCTCTGATCTGTTGAAGATCCTGCCATGGCTCTCGGTCACCAGGGTTAAATCCAAAGCACTGGTAGGAGGAAGTTTTGAGGAGGTCATAGAATTGTTCTATATCTTGATTGTGGTGGTGCTTATATCACTGTTTTCATTTGCAAAACACCTTGAATTATATACTAAAAAGGGTAATTTTACTCTTATGTAAATTATTCCTCAGTACATTTGACTTTCAAAACGAAAAAAATGTTACAAATCCTGGGGTTCCAACTTTGCCCATTAATTATCAATGAGATTTTACATCCTCTTTTTGGCATTAGTTTCCTTCTGTGTAAATAAATTGGAATAGATGATTTTTAAAACCCCTGCCAGTACTAACAGTGTATGATTTTAAATTAAAAATCTGAGTCTGAAAAATTTATTTTGTATTTAATATAAACTGTTTCCTAAATTATTTAACTTTATTGTTGCTTTTTAATGGGGCTCTTTATATCAAACTGAATGACCATAGTGTTGTTGTTTTTAGTAGATTTTTAAAAGTTTGGATAAACTAGAGGTTGCACAGGGGTGAGAGAGGAATGAGAAGGGAAGGGGCAAACTTCTTGTCAACAATTAGAATATAGATCTGGTTTGTTAAAAACATTAGGTGTTCTGTTTGTGTTTTACTAAAAATAGTTTTAACCCTAGCCGGTTTGGCTCAGTAGAGCATTGGCCTGCAGACCAAAGGGTCTCCGGTTTGATTCAGGTCAAGGGCATGTACCTTGGTTGCAGGCTCTTCCCTAGCCCCAGTCCTGGTCAGGGGGTGTGCAGGAGGCAACCAATCGACATTCTCTCACATCGACATTTCGGTCTTTCTCTAAAAGATCAATGGAAAATTATCCTCGGGTGCCGAAACCGGTTTGGCTCAGTGAATAGAGCGTCGGTCTGCGGACTGAAAAGTCCCAGGTTCGATTCCGATCAAGGGCATGTACATTGGTTGCGGGCACATTTCCGGTAGGGGGTGTGCAGGAGGCAGCTGGTCGATGTTTCTGGCTTTCTATCCCTCTCCCTTCCTCTCTGTAGAAAATCAATAAAATATATTAAAAAAAAAAGAAAGAAAGAAAGAAAGAAAATTATCCTCGGGTGAGGATTAACAAAAAATAATAAAAACAGTTTCAGTAGCAAGAATTCAAGTTTTTGCTACAAATTTGCTCAAGTCACAGACCCTAGAGCCATGCTACCAAACCCTGGTAGTTCAACCACTTACTAATGTGTGACTTTGGGCAGATTATTTTAACGTCTCCATGTCTCCGTTTTTTTCATCCATAAAATGGGGTCAGAATAGAATCTACCTCTTAGGGGTTTTTTTTCCCCCTCTTAGATATATATTTTTATTTATTTCAGAGAGGAAGGGAAAAGAAGAGAGAGATAGAAATAGCTTCTTGCATGCCCCACACTAGGGATTGAGTCCTCAACCTGAGCCTATGCCCCCACCAGGAATGGAACTGTGATCTGGTTCTTATGTCACTCAATCACTGAGCACACCCACCAGGATTGTTTGTAAGCATTAGGTAGGTTGTTATTTATAAAGCCCTTAGAATAGTGCCTGGTTCATACTGAGTACTATGTATTTTTTAATTTATTATTTTTAAATATATTTTATTGATTTTTTACAGAGAGGAAGAGAGGGGGAGAGAAAGTTAGAAACATCTACGAGAAAGAAACATTAATCAGCTGCCTCCTGCACACCCATACTGGGGATGTGCCCGAAATCAAGGTACATGCCTTTGAACAGAATCGAACGTGGGACCCTTCAATCCTCAGGCCAACGTTCTATCCAATGAACCAAACCGGTTAGGGCAGTACTATGTATTTTAAATTATTTTAAGCCATCTATATAACTTAAAGCCTGTGTACAGGCCATATGTCTAGGATTCTTAGGTAGAAGAAACCCAGAAATTTGGTGGGATAAACATTTTCTACAGCACGCCCAAGCGAATCCATATTCATGCAATACACAAGAAGGTATTGCATGAAATTTCAGTTATGTGCATAGTTGCAGCCTTAGAAACTAAGGAGAAATCATATTTAATAAATGTGCTGGTTGTGGAGGGAAACACCCCATATAAGACTGAATATTTAAAAGCAGGTTGTTTTTTTAAACAAGAGTATGTGTCTATTTCTTATTTTAGAATCTGAATTATCCAGAACAGAAAGTTGTGACTGTTGGGCAGTTCAAAATTGGTTTAATCCATGGACATCAAGTTATTCCATGGGGAGATATGGCCAGCCTAGCCCTGTTGCAGAGGCAGTTTGATGTGGACATTCTTATCTCAGGACACACACACAAATTTGAAGCATTTGAGCATGAAAATAAATTCTACATTAACCCAGGTTCCGCCACAGGAGCATATAATGCCTTGGAAACGTGAGTAGTATGGAATTTGGGAATTTGGGGGGTTTATAAATTTAATAATTGCTTGTATGACATTTCATAAAAGTGAAATGTAATCATTTAAATAATTATAGCCTTTCTGGCTATCTTTTGGTGATTATTCTTTTTAATATGTAACAATCAGATTTCTCCTTGAATCCAAATTGTCATATTAAATAGAAATTTATAGTGCTGTAGCTTTTTAGTACAAACACTGACATTCTTTATATCTCCTTCCAGAAACATTATTCCTTCATTTGTGTTGATGGATATCCAGGCTTCTACAGTTGTCACTTATGTGTATCAGCTAATTGGAGATGATGTGAAAGTAGAACGAATCGAATACAAAAAATCATGAAGCCAGGCCTGTCTTGATTTTTTCTGTTGTTGTTTCTTATTAATTCCCCTGTTCAAATCAAGTAATTAAACATTTAAGAGCCACAAAATCGTATCACTTTTATAATATTTTTCAGTAAAATATATCGTCTTCTGTTAATACAATGTCTAAGCTTCTTGTAAACTATAAGAATTTATTTAGTTTAAGTATATGATTTCTATGAAAAAATGTCCCCCCACAGTAAATGGTTACATGTTAAGAAAAACTTATCATTGTAAATATCTTCAAAGATGATATTTAGAACTTTATTATAAAAGTAGTGCATGAGAGAAAAGAATCTGGACTTTCTTGTATACATTTTTCTCTTCTCCAGTAATAAAGTTACCTTTCATTTATACTTTCTTGATAATCTGTTTTAATTTTTAAAAGCCATAAAAATGAGAGACCAAATGAAACTGTGGACAAGCATTAAAGTTGACTTTTTAGAGTTCTCTCATTTCTTAGAATATTCTGTGTCATAAAGTTGGACTCTGATTCATTTTCTAAATAATATGCCATATGGACATATTAAATTAGGAGAGATCCTTCAAACAGTTGCTTTAAATTGCCCCATTTTTTAAGTTTTAACAAATTTTTTTTTTAATTTTATTGATTTTACACAGAGAGGAAGGGAGAGAGATAGAGAGCTAGAAATGTCGATGAGAGAGAAACATCTACCAGCTGCCCCCTGCACACCCCCCACTGGGGATGTGCCAGCAACCAATGTACATGCCCCTGACCGGAATCGAACCCGGGACCCTTCAGTCCCTAGGCTCTTCCACTGAGCCAAACCGGCTTCGGCCAAAAATAATTTTTTAACACTAATGTTTAGCAGGGAAGCAATCTAGAATGAATATATACTTAAAGAATCCTCTCATTAGTACAACCACCCCCAACTTAATCTAGTTTGAGAGGCCAAGTATTTGTGTAGCAATTTTCATAAAATAGGGCAAACTGACATTTCCATTTTTCAGTTGTATTCAAGCAGCAAATATTTATTAAGCATCATTTTGCAATCCAGGGTGTTATCTCTATTGAATGCTATGCCATATTAGGATATTTCAAGACTTTTCCTCAGCCCAATCAAGAAAATATTTGTCAGATATTCTAATGTTGCTGTTTTAGGACTTATTGTAAACACAGAGAAAATTATACAATGTAGTTGTCAGATTTAAAGAAAAAATAATTCAATTTTAAGTGACAAAAATTTTAATTGTATCTAGCTAGAAATAAAAGCATATATTTACACAGAGACTTTATTACACAAATAACATTGGAACATGGAACTACATCAAACCAATTACATGGTTTAAACATTTCTGAACAAACCAAAATTACTTAATAACTTAATGGTAAATAACAGTATCATCCTAAATGTAGAGAGGACACAATTCACAAACCCTACCCCTACCTTTGGCACATTATCAATATATAAGACAAGATTGTCAAGTTAACATCAGATGTTCTCCCTGTTCTTCAATTGACATTGATTGCATACACTTACTTAGTAAATCTTCCTTTATTTCTTCATTGGTGTATGATTCAAAGTCATTTGTAGAAACTAAAGACAAAAGAAAAAGAGTTTATAATGTCTGTTTTGGAAACAAAATCGTATTTCATCCCAAAAATTGAGATTTGTATATAAGAACAACCTTCAAAATGACCTACCTTATTAATAAACCTTTAGCAAAAACAGATTGCTTACATTTTCAAAACTTAACTCCCCTTTCCCCCAAATCTTTTACTTTTAAAAATAATACACTCAATACTGCTCGGCCAGAAGGTCACAGTTGGATTCTGGTCAGGGTATATTCTCATCATTGATAGTTTTATCTTTCTCTCCCTCTCCCTTCCTCTCAATTCAATAAAAAATTATTTTTTAATGTTAAAAAAGATAGCAGTGCTATATTCTAGCCAAGTTATTGTACAGTAAATTCTGTTACTAAGTTCTATTTTTCATTTGCTTTTTAACTTTATTTTTATTGTTAACACTATTTCAGACGTTCCTATTTTTCCCCTGCCTTAGTCTACCTCCAGCCAGCGCCTTTTATTTTTAAAATCTATTCGTTAGAGAGAAATTACAGTTTCAGCACCCTCCATCTTAAGTTCCTTCTTATCTCTCTTCTCTTAGGGACCATAGGGACCTTTCCTCTGCCTGGGGTTTTCTCCAGCTGTTCTTTTTGGAACCAGACTTGCCTTTATCCCTACAGTTTCCTTCAATTCTTAGATAGGCATATTATGGTATTTACAGCAGAGCTAAGTGGCACTGTCACACGGTGGTATAACTAGGAAATGACGTAACTTCCACTTAATCCTTTCCATTTATCAATTCTGAGGAATACTTCTGAGCATTTGGTCTTGCTTCTCCCTTTGTTTTCTTCATTTGTGCTATTCTGTAATTGTAGAAGGATCCTTTATGCCGATCCTTCCCAAGTCTAGATTTGTCTGAGTTGCTCTATCACCTGCTTGGCTTGCTTCCACTGGTTTGTTGAGTAGTATTAAAATGGTATTGGTGATAATAGCCCTTTGTAAACTATTTGATGCTATACAAACTATGTTATCCTTCCAAAAAAACAAGTGGTAGGCTTGGAAAAAGTCATGTTTTTGTGAATCTAAGTTCTGATATGATAAATTCTGTTAAGTCTCTAACCTTGATATTATACCTTTTAAAAAATATATATATTTTTTTATGATTTCAGAAAAGGAAGAGGGAGAGAGAGAGAGAAACATCAAAGATAAGAGAATCATCGATTAGCTGCCTCCTGTACATCCCACACTGGGGATTGAGCCTGAAACCCGGGCATGTGCCCTGACTGGGAATCGAACTGTGACCTTCTAGTTCATAGGTGGACATTCAACCACTGAGCCATGCCAGCTGGGTAACATTATATCTTAATTTATAATTAGAAATATTTTGAATCTTACTCTTCTGAGCAGTGTGTGTTCTTTTAAATGAAAGCAGAAATATATTCATGTTTAGTTTTATTTGGAGCAATACAAGCAAATCACATTCTAAATTTTCAATGGCTTCTGTAATATAAATTAATCTGTATTGGGTTTAATTATTTTTTAAGCATAAAATATTTTAAAATGTCTATTTTTCAAATTCTATATTTACCTGATTGCATGAACAGTCTGCCTGGTTTTCTAAAAATCTTCAGCGACTTACATCTTGTTTTAGACACATATCCAGTTTTTAAGCTATAAGAAAGAAAAGCATCTTAATCACAACCAGCAAAGTGAACAGCTGCCTAATGACTGTGGAAGGCTATACAGTCTCTGTTAAGCTGCCAGCATCACCAAAGAGCCCTTTCACCTCCTGAATTCTCCTGTGATTTATTAACTCTGAAATGCAAAGCTAACTATTATGCAGGTTGAATAATTAGGCTTCTTATCTCATTTTCTCTCCTTTTTTTGTTCATACTATTTCCCTGTGCAGAAGCAACCATATGCTCCTCCTTTTGGAAGTGTTTGCATTATTTTGAATTTGAATGGGAATCACTGAAAAGGGCAGTCTTCCATATCTCTAGCTGACCAAGAAATGTTGACAATTCCACGAAATAAGTTCTAAAAGATGTGGCATATCCCAGTCAGCTCAATAAAGAGACTGTAAGAACATCCTTTTGTGTTTTTTGTCCAGCCGCTTTTGAACTTAGCAAAGGTCAACATAATAGGGAACATAAGTTTTAATATCATTTAGCTACCCTTCAAATGAAATTGGGGTACATTTTCCTCCTTTTAAACAATAAGAAGCAGACCTTCCTTTGTTTCTCACGGGTCGCCAAAGGGAATGCTGTATGATCATTTCAGGTGCAGATGCCGCTGCGATGTTGGAAGGCACTGAGTCCCCTCTCTCCAGTTGGTGTCGCCACGTAGTGCAGGGGTAATGCTGCTTCTGGGAGTGATGAGAACTGAGGTGGCTCCTGTGATGAGTGAGGACGCCTGTCATAGAAATCACTTCAGTTAGAGGACCCTCTCTTTTCTTGTGACAACTAGTAAGAAACTAATTGCAGGTGCACCTGCCTGGCTTGTGAGAGTTGTGCTGGATCATATGCATGTACTGCCTCTTCATTAACACCCTCAGATAGTTCACATTACAGATCTTATCAGTGCTGCACAGATAATGCTTCTGGCCTATGGTGAGGTCTGGATGCTAAAAGACAGAACAAGATTTATAGGCGTTTATCTGAAAGGATGAATGTTTAGCAGAGTGTATCACCTGTACGTTTTACTTAAGCAAATTCAACTGTATTAATTTGGCCAAGAAGAGAGAGAAAGAAATGGCCATTTAAATAGTACATGTGACTCTGCTTGCCATTTCCACTCAAGTGATTCAGATGCCCAATGAGGTTTGAGGGCCAATGCCCTAGAAGAGTGAGGAAAATATGAGTACTGTTATTTCAGAGAGGCTGTTTTGGGGTGTATGTGTGTGCGTGTATATGTGTGGTGCTTTTTTTTAATTGGCTTTATTGGGGTGACATTGGTTAATGATATAGGTTTCAAGTGTACAATTCTATAACACATGATCTGTGTATTGTTTTGTATGTTCACCACCCCAATCAGTGAGTCTTAATTCTCATGTGCCTCTCAGTGAATGTGAGCATCTCACCTTTATATAAAATAGTATCTAAAAGCAACCCAATTACTCTACTTAGTTTAACTAAAAAAAAGATACAAAAAAACTAACAGTCCTTTCTAGAACCATAAGGATAACTGAGTTGGACAGATGGAGGGATAGTCTGTGGGCTCTGATATAAGTAATTTCGACTAATATTTTCACTGTATTTGCTGATTTTAGAAGTTAACACTTACCTAAAATGCAAGACTCCACTACTTATGTGCCCCGCACGTGCGCATTTGTATACACATATACACAGGATTTTACTGAACTGGATAGGTAATAATCCAGAGGAAATTCAAAAGTTTGGCCTGAAAACTTTACCAGTTGGCACAAATCTTTAGTAAGCCTAATTTGTGTTGCTCTGGAGAGGCTACCCTGCCAGCTATAATTTTTATTGGGTAAAATAGGACAATAGTTGTATTAAAGGCTTATTGCAATTTTCTTTACTTGCTTCTAATTTTGTAGTCTTTGAGAAAAATCTTTATGAGGTTGGATTTCTATCTCTAGAATAGAACTTTCCTCAAATGTCTTCATGTTTGAAGCATTGAGTTTCCTACAGAAAGGTACATAAAATCTGAAGGTCATAAAGCCCTGAAAGAACTCTTATGATAAGAAATCTATAATAAGCCAAAACCGGTTTGGCTCAGTGGTAAAGCGTTGGTCTGCGGACTGAAAGGTCCCAGGTTCAATTCCGGTCAAGGGCATGTACATTGGTTGCGGGCACATCCCCGGTAGGGGGTGTGCAAGAGGCAGCTGGTCGATGTTTCTCTCTCATAGATGTTTCTAGCTCTCTATCTCTCTCCCTTCCTCTCTGTAAAAAATCAATGAAATATTTTTAAAAATCTATAATAAAATTCTTGTATCCATGGTTGACCCAAAGATTATATATATATATATATATATATATATATATATATATATATATTCCTACACAATATGCTGGATGCCTTGTCTTCTGCAGTACCTTACCCTCTAAGTCAGTGATTTCCAATCAGTGTGCCACAAGAATTTGATATCTGATTATTTAATTGAAGGCACTGGCCCCCTTCCTCTTTTTTTAAATTTTTATTTATTTATTAGAGAGAGAGAAAGAGAGAGAGAGATTTGTTATTCCACTTATTTATGTATTCATTGATTGATTCTTGTATGTGCCGTGACAGGGTCAAACCTGTAACCTTGGCGTATCGGGACAGTTCTCTAACCAACTGCGTTACCCTGCCAGACCTGACCTCTTCCCTTAGATTGTCAAATTGTAAAAGTGACAACAGCCAACACAAAAATACCAGCCCGGTGTGAATGAATCAAAACTATACCTTTTTTTTTTTTTTTTTTTGTCAGATCAGCAAAAAATATATTTTTTGGTCTGCTACAGTGCTACAGAATTTTAAGTAATTAGTTTGTGTGTGCCATGAGATATAAAAGGTTGAAAATCATTTCTTGCTGAAACTGGTTTAACTCAGTGGATAGAGCATCGGCCTGTGGACTGAAGGGCCCCAAGTTAGATTCCAGTCAAAGGCATGTACCTTGGTTGTGGGCACCTCCCCAATAAGGGGCATGCAGGAGGCAGCTGGTTGATGTTTCTCTCTCATAGATGTTTCTAGCTCTCCCTCTCCCTCTCTGTAAAAAATAAACAAAATATATTTTTTTTAAAAAGAAAATCATTTATCTTAAGTAGCTTGTCTATATATATAAAAGCCTAAGCAACTGTTCAACTCTCCAATCCAGTAGCTATGATTTGCACTAACTGCCTGGGGCAGATGCTCACTGCAGGAGCTGCCAAGCTGCAGTGACTTGGCAGCTGCAGTTCTCAGGTGATGCATCCAGACCCAGAGAGGAAAGAGCCTGATTCTGGGATGCATCACTCGAGAACCGCCCTCTTGCAATCCGGGAGCCCAAAGGGGATGTGGAGAGCCAGTTTCAGCGCGATCCCCCAAGGCCAGGCCGAGGGACCCCACCGGTGCACACCGGGCCTCTAGTCTTAATAAAAAGTTCAGCTCTGAATACAAAGAGTATTGGTATTTAAAGAATTGGTAGGTAGTTAGCATACCTTTACAAAGGACACATCTGTCATTGATTTAGGGATGTGAATTGTTTGAATTTGAGGAGTTTTCCATAACTCTTGGAGCTTGGCTATGTGTGAGTTCATTTTGTGTCCATCTTTGATTCCATCTGTAGGCAAGGACATTATTATGTGAATTTCATGAGAAAGATCAGTTCAACAAGTTATTAAGGTCTATGTATTTACATGTGCCAATGATTATTCTGGAGTAATAGCATGGGCTGATAAAAATTTTTAAATTGCTTTTAGAGCAAGAGGGAAAGAGAAACATGGGTGTGAGAGAGAAACCTGTTGATGGACATTTGGATTTTTCCAGTTTTGGACTATTACAAATGAAACTGGCAGAACAGATTTTAAGTTAAAAGTTTTTACTTAATAAAGTGAATTAAATAAGCTCAGTTTTGTTTTAATGTTATTGATAACAAAGGCCACTATAATTTTTATATTAAACTTTAAATTTAGTTATTTAAGATTTGGCATAATGAAAGACTAACTAGTTTGTCAACAAATAGAAAAATCACCTGGAAACTGTTATTATGATCTCTAAATCATCATTTGGAAATTGTAACAATAAAATGAATACTAATTCAACATTCAAGTTTATTATTATTTTTTAAAATATATTTTATTGATTTCATAGAGGAAGAGAGAGGGAAAGAGAGAAACATCAGTGATGAAAATCATTGATTGGCTGCCTCCTGCACGCCTCCTACTGGGGATCAAGCCCACGTCCCCAGGCATGTGCCCTTGACTGGAATGGAATCTGGGACCCTTGGTCAGCAGGCCAACACTATCCACTGAGCAAAACCAGCTAGGGTTCAAGTTTATAATTTTAAATCCTTACTGACATCATAAATGTGGGCTAATTCTCTAAGAGTATATCTTTTGTGTCCCTGCTAATAAATATTTCTAAGATGCATATCATAGCCTGGTCTAAAATTTTAATTGCTCAAAAGCTTTTTAGCATTTCGTTACAGAAAATCAAACATTTAAAAATAATACACTCAAAACAACAAACATCCTAACTGAACTATGGGAAAAGGACTTGGATAGACTTTGGATGTCTCCAAAGAAGACACATGAATTGTCAATTAGCAGATGAAAAGATGCTCACTATCACTAATCATTAGGGAAGTCAAAATCAAAACCATAGGGAGATTCCCAATAAGGATGCCTATCAAAAAAGAAAAAAATCCAAACAGAAAATAAGGGTTAGCAGGGATGTGGATAAATTGGAACCCTGTGAATTGCTGGTGGAAATGTGAAATGTGCAGCTGCTATAGAAACAGTGTGGCAGTTCTCCGAAATATTAAACATAGAATGACCATATGAATCAGCAATTCCATTTGAAAACCACACACTATATATATATATATGTGTGTGTGTGTGTGTGTGTGTGTGTGTGTGTGTGTATTTGTATGTATGTCTGCATTTTTATAGCTATATATTTACAGGTATATATGTTTTTCTTAGGTAACTGTTAGGACTATACAATTTCCAAGGGAAAGCAAAGTGAATCCAGGTTTATATATCATTGAACTGAAATTGCTCCCTCCCCAAAATTAGTGAGACACCTTTGGGAGGGCATCTTATCCTCTCAACTCCAGCCACTCTATCCTTTACTTAAAGGGAGAGGAAAACAGCAGCATTAAGAATTATTTTGTTCCTTGAATTTGTTTCGTTTAAAAATTTCCCTTCAATCTGTGCTCTCTTCTTTTCAACCAACATCAGTTATAAACACAGTTTTCAGATTCGTTGCTATTTTGAAAGATTATTTTTAAAATACCTGATGTAAGATATCTTCATGGGAGACAAAGTACCTGCTGATTGTTCTCTGAGAAATCTTCAAGACTAAGATCACCAATTAGGCTAATAAAATCTATTTATAAACCTCCTTTGTGTGAGAGTTGTAGCAGAATTGACTTCTCTGAATCATGTTGTTATAGGTATTATCTGATTTATGTGCTCTACTCACCAGTACCTCTGGAATTCTGGTAATAAGAATGTCCAGCTGATCTGTTTAAAAAAAAAAAGAAAAAAAAAAAAAGGATGTAAATGGTAGGTGGTAACGACAAGTAACTGACAGCTTTATAAGCATTAAAGAAGGTATTTTAAATGAAAAAAAAAAAAGGACAATATTGCATTTGCTTTATACTTTTCATGCTTCTATCAGACGGAATGTCTTACAAATTTTCTTTTGTCATTCTGGTTATATCCTAACTAGTGACCCAGTGCATGAAATTTGTGCATGGGGATGGGAGAGTGTCCCTCAACCCCACCTGCACCCTCAACCGTTCAATCTGGAACGCCTCAAAGGATGTCCTACTGCTAGTTTACAGGGATCAAGCCCGAACTGACCGTCGGATATCCCTCTCTCAACCCGGGCTGCTGGCTCCTAATCACTAACCTACCCTGCCTGCCTGATTGCCCCTAACCATTCTACCTGCCGGCCTGCTCGCTCACCAACTGCCCCCCTGCCAGCCTGATCACCCCCAACTAACCCCCTGTGCCAGTGTGCTCACCCCCAACTTCCCCCCCCTTGCTGGTCTGCTCTCCCCAATCCTTCCTCCCCACTGGCCTGCTTTCTCCCAACTGCCCCCCTGCTGGCCTGCTCACTCCAATCTGCCCCCCCTCACTGTCCTGATCACCTTCAACTGACCCCCACTGGCAGGGTGAGGGGCTGATGGCTGTTTGCAGGCTGGCCAAGCCCCCCAGCAGGGACCCTCACCCCATGGGAGTGTGGCCAGCCTAGGTAAGGAGCTGAAGGCTGTTTTCAGGCTGGCCATGCCCCCTGGCGATCCAGGTCCCATCCCCTCCTTTTTTTCTTTCTTTTTTTTTTCAGCACTTCCTTGAGCAAAGGCCAGGGCTGGCTGGAAGGAGGTATCTGGGATTTATTTATCTTCTACAGTTGAAACTTTGTAGCCTTGAGCGGAGGCCAGGGCTGGCCAGGGAAGGTGGGAAGTTTGGCTTCCTCCATTGTGGGGAGTAACCCAAGCCGCCTGCTTGCTCCAGTTCCATGGCTACTGCCATCTTGGTTGGGCTAATTTGCATATTGGCTCCTGATTGGCTGTGGGTGGAGTGGTTAATTAGCATGTTTCTTTTATTAGTGTAGATGGCTCCAGACTTATTTAAAGTGAGTTATCTGATATTTGATATTTTCTTTGCCATATTATTAGACAGGATTTCTTTTAAGTCAAATTTAGCCTTAGTTTTATAGCCTCCTAATCTAATTCCTACATTGAGTTTAATAAAGTAGTTTGGGCTTCTAGTCCTAACCATAATATTTTCTTGTTCTCTTTATATTTATATAATAAAGTAATTTGACTATGGAAAAGACTACGTTATCTTGTTTTTTTATTATATGTAATTAAGGTGTTTTAGAACCCTGGATTTGGAATGTTTCTAATTTTGTATAGGTTATTTTATTTTTTCTAAAATTGAGACAAAACCCCCTTCCTTCCTTCTTTCCTTCCTTCCTTCCTTCCTTCCTTCCTTCCTTCCTTCCTTCCTTCCTTCCTTCCTTCCTTCCTTCCACGAGTTCATTCTCCTGATATACTAGGATCCAGCACTTCACTAAGCACTGAGAGGAACAGAAAAGAAACACAACACCCCATCTTATCTTTAAGAAGTCTTCAATCCACCATATATTTTTTTAAAAAAATTTTAAAAAGGCCTAGGTGCAGCAGGAGCCGTGGCTGTGAGCTGCATTGGCAAACAGCCAGCAGCTCTCTGTTTTAGGGAATAACTGATGAAAGGGATGAGGAGGTACTGCCTCCAGCAGTGACTTTAACTGTCTTCAGCATCAGGAAATAATAGTAAAACCCTGCTCCAAATAAAACAGATTTATGAAGAAATGAACTGTGTGAAGAGAATGTCAAGTACTTCTAATATTCATAGTCATCTGTTTCACTGACGATTATGAATCCCCACTTGACATAAAGGTGGCTCATGTCACACACAGGGAACTGATTTATTGACTTGGGAGCCCTCCCTGGAGCCAAGGACGCTTGTCCCTGCAGCCTCCCCCTCTCACCCGGGTTTGCGAGGCAGTCTGGTGGCCAGGCCGCTTTCCCAGCAGGTGTCCCAGCGCCCCCTCGGGGCAGAAAGATGCACGCAGGTGACTGTCGCAGTCACCGCGTTGTCATTGCCCCAAACCCTCCTCAGAAACCCTTCCTTTGAAACAGTGAGTCGGCTTCCCTCTTTCCCATCCCGGCCACAATAAAGGTTCTCCCCGCCTCTCTCTCCAGTGCATTGGAGCAGCCAGATCCCAACCCCTCCTCCACATGGGGGATCACGACCCGGCCGGTCCCCGTCCTCCCTCACCCCTCAGGGCCCCGCAGCCTCACCCGCCTCCGCCACCCTCGGTCCCGGCCACCGCCGGAGGCTCTGCCGAAGAGCTGCAGTCGGTCCAGGCGGACACCGGGCCCTGGCCGAGCATCTCCTCCCGGGTGCGGGGACCGCGAGCTGTGTGCGGGGGGGGGGAAAGCTTTCCCTCTTCCCCTCCTGGGTCAGCACGCTTGCGTCAGGTCGGGAGATACTGGGGGTGCAGAGGCGGATGCTGGGTTCTGGCCTCCTCTGGGGCGTTCCGGACACTGCCCCCGAATAGCTCCGGGACAGCGGGGAGGGCAGGTCCACGATCCTAGAGCTACATTGGGGAGGAGCGGGAATTCTTCAGAGGACTACGCGCTGTTTGCACGTTTGCATCTTTTTGGGGAACGGTTGCGTCACGGAAAGGAAATATTACATGCCCTCCACAACAGGAAGTGTCTTCCACCTCAGTATTCCAGACCCTCAGCCAATTTGCAAATCTCGAATGTCACCGTAGGTGTCAACCATCAGTACGCAGACCAGGGACCCAGGCTCCCCGCGCGGGAACGCGGAGCGCTGGCCGTTATCCATAAACAGTTATCACCAAGGCAACCAGGCTTCCCCAGGTCTCACCGCAGCGGGTTTGGACCAGCCACCTCTGCGCGTGCGCACACATCCCTCTCTTCCCAGGACGCGTTTCTTAGGACGCGTTTCACAAGGGATTTTGGCCCACGGGGCGCGCCGTACTCGGAGGTGTGGCATGTAAGCGCAACTTGGATTGTGATTGGTTCGCAGCTCACGTTCCCGGAACTCGGGGCGTCGCGCGAAGGCTGAAGGGAATGTGGCAGCCAGGCTTGGTGGCAGTCAGGCTTGCTGGCAGCTGCGGGCCCGGGCAGCTCCGGGGGCTCCGGGAGTCGACATGCCTCGCTATGCGCAGCTCGTCATGGGCCCCGCAGGCAGCGGGAAGGTGAGGATCTGGCGGAAGAAGGAGGGAAAAGTAGGAGGTGGGGGTAGGGGTGGGGAAGCTGGGAGGTTCGGGTCCAGGGGAGGGGACCGGCGGGTTTTTGTACGGGGGACCCTGACAGCCTGGCAGCTCCCTCCCCAGTCTGGGCTTCAGGGCCCTGCTTGCTGTTGTTTTGGAAGGAGAAGAGTGGTAGTTGCTTACATTTATTGTATGCTCGTGCCCCAGATACTGCGCTGAACACCTCATTTGTTTCCACAACGACCCTCTAAAATAAGCCCTATTAATCCGGCTGTACAGATAAAGGAAATGAGATACAGAAAGGCTGTTTGCTCAGGATCACAGCTATTAAGTGGCGGCTGGAATCCAGTTTTTGTGGTTTTTAAAAAATATATTTTATTGATTTTTTACAGAGAGGAAGAGAGAGGGATAGAGAGTCAGAAACATCAATGAGAGAGAATCATCGATCAGCTGCCTCGTGCACACCCCCCTCTGGGAATGTGCCCTCAACCAAGGTACATGCCCTTGACTGGAATTGAACCTGGGACCTCTCAATCCACAGGCCGATGCTCTATCCACTGAGCCAAATCGGTTTTGGCTGGAATCCAGTGGTTTTTTTTTTTTAATTAATTTTTTTATTGACTTCAGAGAGGGAGAGACAGAAACATCAATGATGAGAGAGAATCATTGATAGGCTGCCTTTTGCACGCCCCCAAACTGGGGATGAGCCTGCAACCTGGTCAGGTACCCCAACCAGGAATCAAACCATGACCTCCTGGTTCATAGATCGGTGTTTAACTACTGGGCCACACCGACCGAGCTGGAATCCAGTTTTGTCTAATCCGTCCCTGGTCTAGCTCCCAGGGGTTGATGAAGGCCCAGGTTTGTCCCTACAAGACACTGCCCAGGTGTAGTCCTTCTGGGGGTGCAGGGATAACGTTGCATTGCTGCTGCTCTGACCCCCTGACCCATGTGGCATTGCAGAGCACTTACTGTGCCACCATGGTCCAGCACTGCGAGGCCCTCAATCGGTCTGTCCAGGTCGTGAACCTTGATCCTGCAGCAGAACACTTCAACTACTCCGTAATGGCTGGTGAGTCGTGAGCAGAGCTGTCCCCCTCCTTCAGGAAAATTAAGGGGGTGAGGAGGCTGGGAATGCTGGCTGCTGGGCCCAGAAGCTGAGATATTACTACAGTCTGGTCCCCTGGTTTTCTTTTTAAAATTTTTATTTCTTTATTGATTAAGGTATCACATATTTGTCCTCAACCCCCCCCCCCCCATTCTAACCCCCACCCTCCCCATTCATGCCCCTACCCTCCTATTGTCCTTGACCACTGGTTAGGCACCTATGTGTGACATAATCCTTTGGTTGATCTCTCCCTTTTATCCCTACCCTCCCTCTGAGGTCCAACAGTCTGACCCGTGGCTCCTTATCTCTGGGTCTGTTCTTGTCCATGCGTCGATGGTCCCCTGGTTTCAGGGTGAACAGCATGAGACTGAATGTCAATTGATGATATCCACTTATGTTCAACAGTATCCTTTCCCGTGGTCTCTTATGTTCTAAATCAATTAAGTACCTTCCTCCCTACCCTTCCCTTCTGTACTTTCCATGCCTAATGCTGTTACAGTGACTCTGCTTTACTGCTGATCATACTCTGAGTGAGCCCCCTAAATGTTTTTGTTTTTTTTTAAAACTCTTTTAATGTTTTTTTTTTTTTTTTAAACACAAATGATAGATTCTTACATGGACTTCTATACCTTACACTTTTCACTTAACAGTATAACTAGGAGATTGGGTGATAGTCAAATACTTAAAGAGCTTTTCCTTTTTATGGCTGCATAGGATTCTGTTGTCTGGCTATACAATAATTACTTCCCACAGACCCTGCTCTAGGGAATAACTATGTACAGAAATAATCTCATATGTGTGAGTTTCTTTTTTTTTCTTTTTTTTCTTTTTTTTAAATATATTTTATTGATTTTTTACAGAGAGGAAGGAGAGAGATAGAGAGCTAGAAACGTCAATGAGAGAGAAACATTAACCAGCTGCCTCTTGCACATCCCCTTCTGGGGATGTGCCCGCAACCAATGTACATGCCCTTGACCGGAATCGAACCCGGGACCTTTCAGTCCACAGACCGACGCTCTACCACTGAGCCAAACTGGCTTTGGCTCATATGTGTGAGTTTCTATATAATGGTTAACACACATGTGTGAGGATAACAGTTTTCAAACGGATGTGCTTCTATGCCGCGGCCTGCCTGTCCTTTTCAGACATCCGGGAGCTGATCGAGGTGGATGACGTGATGGAGGATGACTCTCTGAGGTTCGGCCCCAATGGAGGATTGGTGTTTTGCATGGAGTACTTCGCCAATAACTTTGACTGGCTGGAGAGCTGTCTTGGCCACGTGGAGGATGACTACATCCTTTTTGACTGCCCAGGTAGGTGAGCCACTTACATGTGTCTTTTTCCTCACAGTCATGCGGGTTCTGTCTTCAGCAGGAGAAAGTGCTGTGAGCATTTTTTGCTCTGAGTTAGACAGATTGCAATGAAAACTCTTATTCGTTGGCCCTAATCATTCACTGAGTTTACTGAGTGCTTACCTTTGTACACGGAGAATACCATAGAGGACCAGGCAGCCATGGTCTCTGCCCTGGTGGAGCTCACAGGCCAGTGGCAGTGCTAGGCGGTGTAAACAAAAGTCACCCAAGTGTTACTTAATACTCCTTTGTGACAGGAATAGCATAGAGCTGCGGTCGCCAGCTGGTGGTCCGCGGATCACTAGTGGTCGGTGAGGTCCGAAAGCTTGGCGACGGCTGGCATAGACCATCACACAGCAGGGAGGTGAGAGAGGCTTTGATCAGTGGCCTGGAGGCTGGGAGGGATAGAGAATTAGAAACATCGATGAGAGAGAATCGTCAATCAGCTGCCTCCTGCACACCCTCTAATGGGGATGTGCCCGCAACCAAGGTACATGCCCTTGACCGGAATTGAACCTGGGACCCTTCAGTCTGCAGACTGACGCTCTATCCACTGAGGCAAACCGGATCAGCTGTTTGTTTGTTTTTAACCATCTTATGGGGAAATATTTTTTTGTATTTATTAACATTTTCTGATTGTAATAGTCTTGCAATTTTCTTCATGTAGGTCAGATCGAGTTGTATACGCATCTGCCTGTGATGAAACAACTGGTCCAGCAGCTAGAACAGTGGGAGTTTCGAGTCTGTGGAGTTTTTCTGGTCGATTCACAGTTTATGGTGGAGTCTTTTAAGGTTTGAGGATAAATCTGTTGTTATTTCAGTCGTGGGTACAAGCAGATAATAGTCTCCCTTAATCATTGTGTGATTCTGAACATTTTGCAAACTATAATCTAGAGTTATTTAGTATCCCTTATAAAATTATTATAATAATGTATTTTCACTTCAGATAGTAAATTATGATTTTATATGGAGAACTTACAAAGAAAACTGAGGCAGTTGCATGTTATGTATGTGCATTTTTTATTCTCTGAGGACTATTGGTCTAGTTTATGAACTCTCTAAAACTTAATTTTTCATTAACAGCTCTTAAGGAATTTTTTTATGGGAATTTTTAAAAAAATATATTTTATTGATTTTACACAGAGAGGAATTGAGAGGGACAGAGAGTTAGAAACATTGATCAGAGAGAATCATCGATCAGCTGCCTCTTGCACACCCCACACTGGGGATGTGCCCGCAACCAAGGTACATGCCCTTGACCGGAATCGAACCCAGGACCTTTCAGTCCGCAGGCCGGCGCTCTGTCCACTGAGCCAAACCGGTCCCGGCTTTATGGGAATTTTAAGAAGGTTAAAGATATGGTCTAAATTGAGATTTGTGACCACCATAGATTAAGTCTACATCTTTTTTTCTCCTCACCTTCAGAAACCAAGGGTCAGCCTCTGATTAGTGGACTGTCCTTTCTTGAGGATTAGTGCTGCTTTGATTTAGGCCAGTTCTGCTCCAGTGAGGCACAGAAGCCTCTCTTTCACGCAGAGACTAGGGAATTTTGGTGGCACCTGCTGATTTATCTTCCCTTTCCTGTTTCCTTCTTCAGTTTATTTCTGGCATCTTGGCGGCCCTGAGTGCTATGATTTCTCTAGAAATTCCACAAGTTAACATCATGACGAAGATGGACCTGCTGAGTAAGAAAGCTAAGAAGGAAATTGAGAAGTGAGTTCATGACCCCCATTACAGTCAGATCTCAGTTGCAGAGATGAATCTTCTAAGCTTTATTTACATGTGAGATTCTGTCTGTGTGTAAATCGGATTTCTTCTTCCTTTTATTCATCGGTCTCTTTCTCACTTTTAAAGGTTTCTAGATCCAGACATGTATTCTTTATTAGATGATTCCACAAGTGATTTTAGAAGCAAAAAATTCAAAAAATTGACTAAAGCCATATGTGGACTGGTAAGTTGGTTGTATTGTTTTTTATTGTTGTTCTTGTCATTTTTTGTTACTCATCGATGTCCAGTCAGTGGCCAACATTACGGAAAGCACAATCCAATCCTATTTCCTTGCAATGGGGAGGTGGTGGTGACAGGCTGTGGCCTGGCCAGTCAGCAGTTTGATTTTTTTTTCATTCCTCCCCCGCACAGTTTAATTTAGAAGCAGTAGTTGGTGAGAGCCAGTAAATGAACTGACATGTCCATATTCCAAGCCATTTTGGGAGTTTAGAACTGTCTGTGCCCTGTTGAAGTCTCCAGTGGTTGTTGAATTTAGATAAATGCCTATGAAACAGTATCTAGTTATGTAGTAAGTTTAGTGTTCTAGTAAGTCAGACCAAAAAAATAAATATGGATTTTCCATTTTGTCTGTCTATCCTTCCCCTCCCCCACAAATGATAAATGGTTATAAACCTCAAATATATAAGTTGAAAATTAAGCATGTTGCACAGTTTCAGAATGACCCTTTCTGAAATCTCCAACTTATAGATTGACGACTACAGCATGGTTCGATTTTTGCCCTATGATCAATCAGATGAAGAAAGCATGAACATTGTATTACAGCATATTGATTTTGCCATTCAGTATGGAGAAGACTTGGAATTTAAAGAACCAAAGGTAATTTCTAGTTTAGGGGTATTGATTGGCTTTTAGTAAAAATGTTTGCCTGTACTCCTTGGTCTCCTGTGTAATCCCAGGAACTCAAATTAATTTTTGTTCTAGTGGTGGCAGTAAACCGGGCTTCTCTGGGTGATTACTGAAATTGACTCCTGAGCTCAAAGAGCAATATCAGTTTTGCTCTATTCTGTGGCTCAGTGTGTTGGAATATGGTCCTGTGCATGGAAGGGTCATGGATTCAATTCCCAGTCAGGGCACAAACCTGAGGTGCATGTTTTAATCCCCTGCCAGTGTGCATATGGGAAGCAACTGACCAATGTTCCTCTCTTGCATAGATGTCTCTCTCTCTCTCTTTCTCCCCCCTCTAAAATCTCCCTCCCTACCTCTCTTCTCCTTTCCCCTCTCTAAAAATCAGTGAAAATGACTTCAGATAAGAATTTAAAAAAAGAAGAAATGCTTATAATGAGATAGAAACACTTTAAATATTATATTGTTACTATTACCTATGTGCAGCACTGAGAGCCAGCACTGATTGTTAGCTCTTTAGAGAGCATTCCTTACCTGAGAAATATGTAAACACATGCTATGTCTAACTGGGAGAAATTCATGTATTTTCTATTTTGTGTTTCCTTTGTGTCAGGAACATGAAGATGAGTCTTCTTCTATGTTTGATGAATATTTTCAAGAACGTCAGAATGAATGAAGAGTTTACTAATATGTAAATGTACATATGTGAAGAGCTTGTGGCTGAACTGGCAAAACATTTTTCTCAAAGGATGCAATACTAAAAAGCTGCTTATTTTAATGAAAAAAATAATACTTGGCTCTTTATCAACAGCACACCTGAGTCAAGTTCTTGGTTATTCTGAAACTACTGCTGTTTAAAGAGTTATATGTTAATAAGCATCAACTTAGATTTTAAAAGTTGAAATTGAAATTAATTCACATAGATTTGTGTATAATGTAAATTAGCACCTGTGGTAAAGTTAGGAACAGTCTGTATTTTTTCTGTTTGGTTTTGTTATTTTTGAAGATTTTTTGGAGGAGCAGGAATTATTTTAACAAAATATGTATATCCAAAGGTGAAAATATGTAAGGATAAAACCATTGTTTATATGTATTCCTAATTTTTACATTGAAAATATATTATTTGTATAATTAAAAAATGAAAAGTGACTAATTTTTAAGATATGTATCCTATCTAATAAAGGGGGAATATGCTAATTGACCATCACACCCTCACAAATGACAGTGTCCATAGCCAATAAAGAGGGGATATGCTAATTGATGGCCATGTCCTCACAAAGATGGTGGCTCCTAGTCCCCTTAGCCCCACCTCATCCAGCTGGAGTCCCCCAGTCCCCTCAGCCCTGCAGGTAAAGGCAGTTGGGGGCGATTGGCCCGGCAGGGGAGCAGTTAGGGGCTATTAGGCTGGCACACAAAGTGGTTAGGCAGGCAGGAGAATGGTTAGGAGCCAGCAGTCACAGATTGTGAGAGGGATGTCTTCTGAGGGGTCCCAGATTGGAGAGGGTGTAGGCTGGACTGAGGGACCCCCTCCCCATGCACAAATTTTGTGCACCAGGCCATTAGTATATTATATAAATAAAAGAGACAGCATTAACTTTTCATTACACTCTTGTTCTCCATAATTTGAAATAACTCAGGGAAATTTTTTGAATTAGTAAAATTTCCCTAGTAGGAGATGCCAGACATTGGAGATAAACTAGGAACTTAACAAAACCTTTTTTTTTTTTTTTTTTTTTTTAAACCTTATTCTTATGGAGCTGACAAACTGGGTCCTTGAGATTAACCATAAACAGGAAAGTCTCTGATAAGGAATGGGAAGAAGAAACAGTAATGAAAGGACAAGTGATAACTGGCTACTCTGGGCTCATTGTCAAAGAAGGCTCCCCCTAAAAGGTGCTATCTGACTGGAAACCAAAATTAGAAGGCCGTGTGGGAACCGAGCCAAGTATTCCAGTCTGAGGAACTGGCAGAAGAAATGGGCCAAAGCAGGAATGAATCTGTCTTTTAACATGAGGAGCTTCTTAGTAATAGTTTAAAAATTCCTGAGCCTTTAATATGTTCTAGGCATGTAAGTGCTAAGCACATTACATGCAATTCATTCATCCTCACAAAACTGAATTAAGTACTGTTATCTCCACTTACAGGTGAGGAAACTGATTAACGAGATTAATCCAAAATTACACAGCCTATAAGAGTAGGAGCTGGAATTCAAATCCAGAGTCCATTTTCTCAATCATTACATAAAAAATTGCAGTACTGCTGAAACGGGTTTGGCTCAGTGGATAGAGCGTCTGTCTGCAGACTGGGGGTCCTGGGTTCGATTCTGGTCAAGGGCATGTACCTTGGTTGCGGACACATCCCCAGTGGGGGGTGTGCAGGAAGCGGCTGGTCGATGTTTCTGGCTCCCTATCCCTCTCCCTTCCTCTCTGTGAAAAATCAAAATATATTTAAAATAAATAAAATAAAAAATAAAAATTATTTTTTAAAAATTGCAGTACTGAGTAACCCACAAATCCCTTACCAATGTGCTCCCCTTCCCCAATTTTAAAACTAGTAGGTTCATTCCCTTAGCAAAAATTTGTTGATGCTTCTTATGTATCTCCACATTTTTAGACACAGGGTACACAGCACTGAACAAAACAGACAAAAAATCCCTGCCTTCTTGATGTTCACTTGGATGGGGAGATAAACACCAAACGTAGTTATGTAAAAGAATCATGAAAGGGAAGTCTATGAGCCAGGAATTCATGGTTGGATTCAGGTCAGGGCACAAGTCTGGGTTGTGGACTGACCCCCAGTGTGGGGTATGCAGCAGGCAGACGATCAATGATTCTCATCCTTGATGTTTTTATCTCTCCCTCTCCTCTGAAATCAATTTTAAAAGTATTAAAAAATAAAATAGCTAAAACCAGTTTGGCTCAGTGGATAGGGCGTTGGCCTGCGGACTGAAAGGTCCCGGGTTCGATTCTGGTCAAGGACATGTACTTTGGTTGCGGGCACATCCTCAGTAGGGAGTGTGCAGGAGGCAGCTAATCGATGTCTCTCATCGATGTCTCTAACTATCCCTCTTCCTTCGTCTCTGTAAAAAAATCAATAAAATATATATTTTTTAAATAAAATAAATAAAATAAAATAGTGTGACAATGCTTCACAGGGATTTGTGACCTCAAGACCCATCGCCAGCTCCAGGCTTCACGCATGCGCAACATTCAGCCTCTACGTAGGGCTGGCGCGCCCTCTGGTGCCCCTTCGGGTCCCCGCAGCCCCAGCAGCCCCAAAGGGCGGGACTTCCAGGCCGGAAGCGCCAATCTTCCGCCCGCCCTCCTCTTCCGGTTCACTTCCGCCTACCCCTCCCAAGCTCGGGGACCGGAACCTCCTCTCTGTAACCCGATTCTCCTAATTGAGTTGAAACCCGGGAGACGTCAGGATGCCGGTAAGGAGCCCGAGTGAGTCGGGGGCGTGAGGTGATGGCGAGGATGGGGAGAGCGGGGAGAAATGAGTGTGCGCTGAGGGAAACGGACCACCCGGTCGGAGAGGGAGCCGGAGCCGGGAAGAGGGGAGGCAGCCGGTTCTTGTGGGATTGAGGACCGGGGAGTGTCGGCCACGGGTAGAGAGAGGCTGCCTCAGCCCTTTGGCCCCTTCTCTCCAGTGCCAACCCCATCTTTGCCCCTTCTGCACCCCCACCCCTACCTCCATCCCCTCCCCGACACCGGCTGGGTCCCCAAAGCTTCATGAAGCCACTGAGTCAAGGGATACACTTTTTATTTTTCATTTTTCTAGTCCAGGGTCCGGCTTCTCCTTTTTTTTTCTAAAATCCCACTTCCTTCTCCTACCCAGGGGACGGGTCTCTTCCGCTTCTCGTCCTGTGTCAGACCCACTTCCTCCCCGGTCACCGCCGCCCGGGGCGCCGCCGCCGGTTCAGGGCCCTCAGGGCAAACTCAGGGGCCCGGCCTGGTTTCCACACCTTCCGGTTTTATTGTGCATTAGAATGGGAGTAAAATTATGGTGGTCTGGTTTCTCTTCGTTTCTGATGGCCCCTTTGGGGGGTAGATTTATGGCCGTCGTGGCAGGTCTCCATTTTTGCAGATTAGGGAAAAGGAGGTTTTCCATAACATGGGATCGATTATTCAAACAACAAACATTACTGAGCCCGGTGACAGCAGTGACTCAGGCAGCGAATCCCTGTTCTTACGGAGTTTGCATTCTCATAGGGAGGAGGACAGGAAACGAGTGTACATAGAATAAAGGAGGTAAGTTCTGATAGTGACGGATGCTGTGAAGAAAATAGACGGGGAACCAGACCGTAGCTGTAGGAGCTGGTGAAGGGGATGGTGGAGGCTGCTTTAGATGAAGCATACCTGTGATAAAAAAAAAAAAAAAAGAGAGACGCCACATGACCTCACTTATTTATGGATAATAAAGAACATTATAAACTGAAGAACCAAAAGATAGATATAGAGACAGTAAAGCAACAAGCAGACTGTCAAATTACAGCGGGGAGGTTGGGGAGATCTGCGGGAAGATAATAGATCAACAGAAGGACTTGTATACATGCATATAAGTACAACCAATGGACACAAAATTCTGGGGAGGTAGAGTATGTACGGGAGGGGGGGCATTGGTATATGTACAAAAATAATAATTTAATAAAATATATATATAGCCGAGTCCGGTTTGGCTCAATGGATAGAGTGTCTGCTTGGGGACTGAAAGGTCCCGGGTTCGATTCCGATCAAGGGCATGTACCTTGGTTGCGGGCACATCTCCAGTAGGGGGTGTGCAAGAGGCAGCTGGTCGATGACTCTCTTTCTCATCGATGTTTCTAGCTCTCTATCTCTCTCCCTTCCTCTCTGTACAAAATAATAAAATATATTAAAAAATATATATATATTAAAAAAAAAGAAAAAAAGGCACAAGCCATAGTTCTAGATGCAAATACTGTGAATCCCAAAGCTACCATTTGACTCCTGACGTGTTCCAAGCAGGCCCTGAGCTACACACTCTATAGAAATTACCCCATTTAACTCTCACAGTGATCCTATGAAGTAGATATGTTATTGTTTTCTCATTTCCAGAGGAGGAACCTGAGGCTGAGAGAAGGTAGATTACTTTTGCACACTTAACTAGTGCAAAAAGCCTTGGTCAGCCAGGTTTTAAGCCAGTACTCTACAGACCTATGAGCATTCCAGTTGGACACCGAGCACTTATTTAATATCTTGATGTTACACAATTAATATCTAACTTCTTTATTAGCCCGAAAGTTCTACAAGGATGGAGACCATACTGGTCTTGCGGACCTTTAAGTGATCAAGCCTTGCATTTAGAAGGTGCTTAGTCATCATTTGGTGAAGGAATGAATGCATGAATGGGGCCTGTGTTGTCTTACAAAAAGCCAGAACTAGGAATCATATACATATTGCTCTCCTACATGTGATTTTCTCCCCTCATCCTTTCACTCACACCTCCCCACTGAGGCAGTATGTATTTCCTCACTATACAAATTTGGAAACAGGCTAAGAAAAGTGATGTCTTGGTCAAAGATATAAAGCCAGGAAGTGGCAGAACAGAGTAACTAGTGCTTGGGTTCTGGTTTAACAGCAGCTGATGGGTGGGTACTCCTGGTTTATATGATGTTTGCCTATTTCCGCAGTGTAACTATTCCCATCAGTTCCCAGTGTGATGTCACTGAATGTAAAATTGAAAGAGATGCGTAGTAGCGCCCCATTCATTACGTAGTACTCTTTCTGTCATAAAGACATAAATAACTTTAAGATCATCGTAGCCAACAGTAAAATAATTTTAAAAAAAATACATTTTATTGATTTTTTACAGAGAGGAAGGGAGAAGAATAGAGAGTCAGCCGGGACCAGTTTGGCTCAATGGATAGTGCGTCGGCTTGGGGACTGAAGGGTCCCGGGCTCGATTCCGGTCAAGGGCATGTACCTTGGTTGCAGGCATATCCCCAGTAGGGGGTGTGCAAGAGGCAGCTGATCGATGACTCTCTCTCATCGATGTTTCTGGCTCTCTGTCTCTCTCCTTTCCTCTCTGTACAAAAATCAATAAAATATATTTAAAAAAAAGAATAGAGAGTCAGAAACATCGATGAGAGAGAAACATCGACCAGCTGCCTCCTGCACACCTCCTACCGGGGATGTGCCCACGACCAATGTACATGCCCTTGACCGGAATCGAACCTGGGATCTTTCAGCCCGCAGGCTGACGCTCTATCCACTGAGCCAAACCAGTTTCGGCAACAGTAAAATAATTTTTAAAAAATAACGAGTAATGCACTTTGAATCTTCATTACTTTTGTTTTTAATATAATGTATTACAAATTTAGATAATTTAATTTTTGAAGATTCCTAGAGAGGTAACAGTTGGTTTTTACGAGCCAGTGAGAGCCAGCTCTGCATATTGCTGCCACCTTCCCCTCTGTCTCATGCCCTGGTTGATCTTGGGTGGGTTACTCTTTTTTTTTTTTTTTTTTTTCCCCTTTCGAGAAATGTACTTGTTTTTCCCACTGACATTTGTTCTGCTTCTGTTTCTGTATTCTTATCTGGCTTCCACTGTAGGCTTACCACTCTTCTCTCATGGACCCCGACACCAAGCTCATTGGCAACATGGCGCTGCTGCCCATCAGAAGTCAGTTCAAAGGACCCGCCCCGAGAGAGAGTAAGTGGAAAACCCCTTTCCATTATTTTCGGATTTTGGCGTGAAGCATCTAGCAACCCTCTGCCATTAAGTCAGGGAAGTTCTTGGCTCAGTCCTCTGTCTCTGGTTGCTGTTGTATTTTCTGTTTGGTTGGTGGATATTGCTTTTTAGGCCTGCCAAGATTGTGGGTATATGTTGCATCTAATAGGACGTTATCTTTGCTGCTAATTTCTCCAGGATTTTTTTGTTCAGAGAAAATGTGCTTAAATCTTGACACTGTTTTTGTTATCACTGTCAGCTCTTACAAACTAATCTAATGCTGCTACTTCTGTAGGATGCCGTGTTCCCACCCCTTCTCTTACCAAGCTGGAAAAAAAAATTTTAATTTTTATTTATTTCATTTTTAATCTTCATCCAAGGATATTTTTTCATTGATTTTTAGAGAGACAGGAAGGGAAAGGGAGAGAGAGAAAAAAACATCAATGTGAGAGTGAAACACAAGCCAGGAATGTGCCTCAACCAGAATCTAACTAACAACCTTTCTGTACATGGGACAATGTCCAACCAAATGAGCCACATTGGCCAGGGCTCAATCTTTTTAAAAATTATATTTTATTGATTTTTTACAGAGAGGAAGGGAGAGGGATAGAGTTAGAAACATTGATGAGAGAGAAACATTGATCAGCTGCCTCCTACGCACCTTCTACTGGAGATGTGCCTGCAACCCAGGTACATGCCCTTGACCGGAATTGAACCTGGGACCTTTCAGTCTACAGGCCGATGCTTTATCCACTGAGCCAAACTGATCAGGGCCAGGGCTCAATATTATATATTAAAAGATATGTCCTAAGAAACATTGCTAATTCTGAATTTTATATCTGCTTTCTTTCTTGGTACTCACATTTCCCTCTCTACCTCCAACTCCAAACCATTTTTTTACTGTTCAGAAGCTCCATTCTTTTTTCTTTTTTTAAATATATTTTATTGATTTTTCACAGAGAGGAAGAGAGAGGGACAGACAGACAGAAACATTGATGAGAGAGAAACACAGATAGCTGCCTCCTGCACACCCCCTACTGGGGATGTGCCTGCAACCCATGTACATGCCTTGACTGGAATCGAACCTGGGACCTTTCAGTCCGCAAGCCGACGCTCTATCCACTGAGTCAAACCGGTTTCAGCAGAAGCTCCATTCTTTTTAGACACTATCTGAGACTCTTCTGAGATAATCTGCCACCAGTATGATTTGTATTATATTAGACATGGTTTCCCTGCACCCAGAAAGGGTCTGCACTGAGTTCCATTCATGGTTTCCAAGGCCATGGTTTTATTTTTATTTATTTATTTATTTATTAAATATATTTTATTGATTTTTACAGAGCGGAAGGGAGAGGACTAGAGAGTTAGAAACATTGATCAGCTGCCTCCTACACAACCCCCACTGGGAGGTGCCCGCAACCAAAGTACATGCCCTTGACCGGAATCGAAGCCGGGACCCCTCACTCCGCAGGCCAATGCTCTATCTACTGAGCCAAACCAGTCAGGGCAAGGCCATGGCTTTAAGTAATAATTTTTTACTGAGGCCCTCTCTGTCCTTCTGCCAGATTGTTAGACTTGACCTTTATAAATTTAATAAATCTGGTGAGTTACTATAGTCTTTACTTGATTTTGAAATGAAGAGAAAGAAACAGATGGGGAAAAGAAAGCAGACCAAAGAGAAGAAAAATGACATAAAAGAATTATTGTGCAGAGAAAAAATAAGAGTCCATGTTGGCTTAGATTCCTTGGAAAGAACCCTTTCAGATCAGTGCAAAATACCATATGGTATTTCAAAAGTTGCAGTTGACCAAGGGGTTAATCTAATTACCACCCTTGCAGTTCTTTGGGGATTTCTACAGCTAAGGAATGACCTGTTCCTCTTCCTTAGAGGACTGGATTCCAACCAAATTGGAATTATGGATGAATGTAATCTTATGCTGGGAGTTACCGGTAAATAACTCTTAGCATTAATGTAATTATTTACAGATACCTTTTGAACACCTTTTATGTGCCAAATACCCTCCTAGGTTCTGAATCTTGTAACTTTCCTTCCACCTATGGTGACATTTAAAAGAACTGGTTGGTTTTTGTAAACACCGTTAAAATCTTGGAGGAAGTTTCTTTTTTCAGATAAGAAAATAGATTTCAAGAAATGCACATCTAGCCCTAACCAGTTTGGCTCAGTGGATAGAGCGTAGGCCTGCAGACTGAAAGGTCCCAGGTTCGATTCCAGTCAAGGTCATGTACCTTGGTTGCAGGCACATCCCCAGTAGGGGGTGTACAGGAGGCAGCTGATCGATGTTTCTCTCTCATCGATGTTTCTAACTCTCTATTCCTCTCCCTTCCTCTCTGTAAAAAATCAATAAAATATATATTTTTAAAAGGGGAAAAAAAATAAATGAATGAATAAAAAGAAATACCCAGTCGAAACCAGTTTGGCTCAGTATATAGAGTGTCGGCCTGCGGACTGAAGGGTCCCAGGTTCGATTCCAGTCAAGGGCATATACCCAGTGGGGGGTATGCAGGAGGTAGCTGATCCATGTTTCTTTCTCATCGATGTTTCTAACTCTATCCCTCTCCCTTCCTCTCTATAAAGAAATCAATAAAAAAAAAAAATATATATATATATATATATATTTTTTTTTTTTTTTATTTTTTATTTTTTATTATTGATTTTGTACAGAGAGGAAGGGAGAGAGATGGAGAGTTAGAAACATCGATGAGAGAGAGAGTCATCAATCAGCTGCTCTTGCACACCCCCTACTGGGGATATGCCCGCAACCAAGGTACATGCCCTTGACCGGAATCGAACCCGGGACCCTTCAGTCCCCAAGCCGATGCTCTATCCATTGAGCCAAACCGGTCTTGGCAAAATATATATATTTTTAAAAGAAATACACATCTAGAGTTCAAATTCTATTGAAATTCTTTAGCAGAGGAATGAGCAGAAATAATGACTGCTGAATGTTGGCAGAGTATTAAAACTGCAGGATTATTTTGCATTTCTGCTGTGTGAGAAGGATAGCAGGCATGGACAAGAGATAAAAATAACTGTTTCTGCTGAAACCAGCTGCTGGATATCAAGCCCCTGGGACTGTGACCTTCTTAAAATAAAAAAAAGGAAAACAAAAAATTGCCAAAAAATTTGTAATGAGATTTGTCTTTGTCACAACAGTATTTCTGGCTTTTTTCAGTCTCTAGCCACCTAGAACAGCTTGTACAAATATATTTGCAGTCATAGTTTTTGTAAACAGAAAGATGTGTATGAAAACCCCAATGGGTTCCTAAATGACAGTTGAGAGGTGTGGTTTTTTTCTGAAACTGTCATAGGTACATTCAAATAAAATTCTGTTGAATGCTTGTTAAGTCATTTTATTAAAGTTAGTTTATGTCTCAGTCTGTTTTTATAAATGCATTGAGAGATGTCTGGAATGATGTTCACCAAGTGTTAATAGTTATTTCTGGGACGTGAGATCAGGGTGACAATTAAAAATTGTGCCCTAGCCAGTTTGGCCCAGTGGATAGAGCATTGGCCTGGGGACTGAAGGGTTCCAGGTTCGATTCCGGCCAAAGGCACATGCCTGAGATTGCAGCCTCGATCTCCAGTTGGGGCGTGCAGGAGGCAGCCGATCAATGATTCTCTTTCATCGTTGATGTTTCTATCTCTCTTTCCCTCTCCCTTCCTCTCTAAAATAAATAAAAATATATTTAAAAAATTGTTTTGGACCCTAGCCCATTTTGGCTCAGTGGATAGAACATAGGCCTGGGGACTGAAAGGTCCCAGGTTGGATTCAGGTCAAAGGGCACATGCCCGGGTTGCAGGCTCAATCCCCAGTAGGGGGCGTGCAGAAAGCAGCCCATCATTGATGTTTCTATATCTCCCTCTCCCTTTCTCTCTGAAACCAATAAAAAAATGTATTTTTGTAATTGTTTGATATTGATTAATCTTTCTAATGAGTATGTATAATTTTTATAAAAACAATAAAGCTATAAGAATAAATTATGTATATGTTTCTCTAGAAATTCTCTAAAGACTTTATATTTCAGTAGCCTCATTTTATTTTATTCAACTCCAAAACTCTTGTTCATTAATTTTTTTTCTTTGTAGCTTTTCTAGATGTTATGTTTTGCATTAAGCTAATGTTCTCTGCCCCCTCCCCTTGTATCTTACTTAGCAAAAGACACAGATATTGTGGATGAAGCCCTCTATTACTTCAAGGCCAATGTCTTCTTCAAAAACTATGAAATTAAGGTAAAGTACAGAGCTTTTAATATTCAAGTAATTTTCTGATGGGAAAAAAGATCTAGCTGGAAGTCAGGTTGCTCCAAATAAAATGAGATTATATGATTTTAAAAATCCAGAATAGTACTTAATGTTAGACTCTATGTCAATATCAATTTCTTATTTTTCTTTCAAAGTCTACACCACAGGTTGGCAAATGACAGCCAAAAGGCCAAATCTGGCCCACCACTTCTTTTTGTAAAAAAAAGTTTTACTGAAACACAGTCAAACACATTTGTTTATATTTTGTCTATGGCTGCTTTCACGCCACAATTGTTGAGTTGAGTGGTTGTAATAAAAACTGCAAAGCCTGAGATTTATTATCTGGTCTTTGTTTCCTTATTCTACATTAATTACCTACAATGTACCAGTCTATAAATTAAAAATCTTATATGCTATGTTATTTTTTATGCATTTCTGTACCTGGACCTGAGATGGAGAAATAAACTTCAATGACCCTGACCCTTCCTTTAAGCACCCTTTCTCCCCTTCTCTTAGTTCTCGGTAGGAATCAGGTCGGGAGGAAGGTGGCAGAGAAGGGGAGGGCGAAATGGGAAAATATTTTTGAGCTTCCGCTATGAGTAAGTTACAAGAAACGTCAACACATTTTAAGGATAATATTCTAGAATATGAAACTTGAACTCCCTGCCAAACTTTGACTTTTTAATCAAACAGGGTCTGAAATCTTTATTTGTAGACACTTGGCCTACAAATTGTAGTCTAAATATTCTTTGTTATTAGCAGGGCGTTTTCTGTATCTAATGCATGGTCTTATGGTGTTTTATTTGTAATAGGTGTAAATAAATATTATAATTCTGCCACATTGCATTCTCGCTTGAACATCACATGGTCTGAAATATAGGGAAATGTATAGTTTGTTTTTTATGAACTATAAATCTGTGTAAACTTTTTTTTTAAGTATATTTTTTATTTATTTCAGGGAGGAAGGGAGTGGGAGAGAAACATCAATGATGAGAGAGAATCCATTGGTCAGCTATCTCCTGCACACCCCACACTCTAGGGATGCAGCCCGCCACCCGGGCCTGTGCCCGGAATGGGAATTGAAACGCGACCTCCTGGTTCATAGGTTGATGCTCAGCCCCTGAGGCCCGCTGGCGGGGCAGATCTGTGTAAACTCTGACCTGGATCCACATTGGATCCACACCCCATCACCTTTCCCACGTGTTCCTTCAGGATAAGGGTTGGGCTTATGGAGCTCTTCAAGAGCAAGTCACACATGAAACGCTGTTTCCTCCCGTAGAGCCATGAGCCTTTCTGTTCTCGGCAGAGACCCTAAAGTGAAAGGGCTTTTTAAAGTTAGCCCACCAGATGGCGCACCGCAGTTTTCCTGGCAACTCTGTGACTCCGCTTCCTACCCAGAGCGAGGAGCTGTTGGCACAGTTCCTCGGGAACCCAGGGGCAAGAGGGACGGAGGACAGCAGGAGCAGCACAAGGCAGACAGAAAGCGGGCCTCCGAAGACTGCATTGGAGAATGGGACTTTTTCTTAACGTATTTTTAAAAATATATATATATATTATTGATTTTTTACGGAGAGGAAGAGAGAGGGATAGAGAGTCAGAAACATTCATGAGAGAGAAACATCGATCAGCTGCCTCTTGCACACTCCCTACTAGGGATGTGCCCGCAATCAAGGTACATGTCTTTGACCGGAATCGAACCTGGGACCCTTCAGTCCGCAGACCGACGCTCTATCCACTGAGCCAAACTGGTTTCAGCTCTTAATGTATTTTTATTGATTTCAGAGAGGAGGGAGAGGGAGAGAAAGATAGAAACATCAATGATAAGAGAGAATCATTGTTTGGCTGCCTCTTACAAGTCTCATATTGAGGATCAAGCCTGCAATCCTTGACTGGAATGGAACCCAGGACCTTTCAGTCCACAGGCTGGTGCTCTACCCACTGAGCCAAACCAGCGAGGGCTGGAAAAGGAATTTTTGATGTTATAGTAACTTATACTTTCGCAGTTTTCTGTTGGTAATCAAAAGACAAAGATTTAAATTAATTTGTTCCACATAAATGATATGCTTTGTCCAGGACTATTTTTAAGTTTTGTTTTCCCCTCTGTAGAATGAAGCTGATAGAACCTTGATATACATCACTCTCTACATTTCTGAGTGTCTAAAGAAACTCCAAAAGGTAATGAAACTTGCATGATCATCTGTTAGGAAAATAAATTACTTATAGGTATTTGGACTTAGTGAGACTTTAGGAGCAAATAGAACATATTTCCTCTGACTTAGAACATGGACTTGAAAGAAAAATCTGAATGTGGATCTCAAAACTTACCGAGCAGTTGACTAATCAGAGGATAAGGCATTGTATGTCTTCTCCTAAGACAGAAATCTTGAGTAAAAATATCCCTGTTAAGCTTTTGGCTCAGAGGTTCTTTTTTTTTTTTTTTTTTTTTTTTTAAATATATTTTTATTGATTTCAGAGAGGAAAGGAGAGGGAGAGAGAGGTAGAAACATCATTGATGAGAGAGAATTATTACACGGCCCCTACAGCCCGCAACCTGGGCATGTGCCTTTGACTGGAATTGAACCTGGGATCCTTCAGTCCGCATGCTGATGCTCTGTCTACAGAGCCAAAACAGCTAGGGCTGCCTCAGAGGTTTTTAACTTGGGAGTCCAAGGATAGAATTCAGGGGTCCATGAACCTGAGCGGGAAAAAGAGTCCATCTTTCTTTTCACTAACCTGTAACTGAAATTTAGCATTTACTTTCATTATTAAGGTGGACAACAACCCACAGTTGTTTAGCAATACCTGTGACTTTTTCTCCAATAGAAACCACAGTATTTTGCATTTAAAGGGGAAGATTTTTTTCTTTTTTTGGCCATATTATTTGCACGTCACTCCTTCAGAATTTAGTTATTAGGGTCATGGCAAGATTTTGTATTTAGTGCATGAATAAAGAAGCACATGTAAAACTATTAATATAAAAATTTTTTTAATATAGTTATTGCATTTCAGTATAATTGGTTTCTTTGGTAATTCTGTGTATTGTATTTTAATTATTTAAAACATTATTATTTTTTCCCCTGTAAAATATATTGTGTATATATAATTTTTTTTTTTTTTTAGTGCAATTCCAAAAGCCAAGGTGAGAAAGAAATGTACACACTGGGAATCACTAATTTTCCCATTCCTGGAGAGCCTGGATTTCCGCTTAACGCCATCTATGCCAAACCTGCAAACAAACAGGAAGACGGTAAGGACAGTATCTTCACTTCTCTCTACGTGGCACAGGGTTTCCCCATTTGACTTTTTACCCTCCTTCTCTTCTTGCCTTGATGGCTATACAATTGGGAGTGGAATCATTAGCACATATATTCTCTTATTAGCCACTCTCAAGAGATTTTTTAAAAATAATTTTATTGATTTTTACAGAGAGGAAAGGAGAGGAATAGAGAGCTAGAAACATCAATGAGAGAGAAACATCGACCAGCTGCCTCCTGCACAGCCCCCACCGTACAACCAACATACATGCCCTTGATTGGAATCGAACCTGGGACCTTTCAGTCCACAGGCCGATGCTCTATCCACTGAGCCAAACCGGTTTCGATTTCTTTTTTTAATATATATTTTATTGATTTTTTTTTTTTTTTTTTTTTTACAGAGAGGAAGGGAGAGTGATAGAGAGTTAGAAACATTAATCAGCTGCCTCCTGCACACTCCCTACTGGGGATGTGCCCACAACCAAGGTACATGCCCTTGACTGGAATCGAACCTGGGACCCCTAAGTCCACAGGCCAATGCTCTATCCACTGAGCCAAAGCAGTCAGGGCTAGATTCTCATTTCTATATCTTAACCTGTGTTAAATTGCAAAAGTCAGTGTCCGGATCAGTCACGAGCACATTTGTGATACAGTTTTCGTGTTGTTCCTCCTACTCCTTTTTGTAGAAGTGATGAGAGCCTATTTGCAGCAGCTAAGGCAAGAGACTGGACTGAGACTTTGCGAGAAAGTTTTTGACCCTCAGAATGATAAACCCAGCAAGGTAAGACCCTCTTCTTTGCTTATTCAGTTGCTAACTCACCTTTTATCCTATAGTCTTCATTAAATGAATCACACTAAGATCTTTCATTGCAAGAAAACCTTTAGTTTCTGAATTGCAGTGTTGTTAAACTTTGAATATGTGCCTTGTACATGGTAGGAGGTCTCAGTGAATCACCATGCATAATGATTCCATATACAATAGGACAGATTTTTTTTTTTTTTGCATGAGATACCTTGAATGTATTACCTCCATTCTGTCTTCGTAATTTTGAATAACCTGTAAGTCAGTACACAAAAGCATTCTACATTTTTACACGTGCTTTCAAGGAGTGTGTATAACATAAGGGCCGCCAGACTAACACAAATTTTAACATTAAGTAAATTCATATTCTGGCCTTCCCTTGAACTTGCGTTGTAATTTGACTGCCACTGTGCATTCTGTTTTGTCCCCTCTCGTTAGTGGTGGACTTGCTTTGTGAAGAGACAGTTCATGAACAAGAGTCTTTCAGGACCTGGACAGTAAAGGGAGCTGGGCAGACCCTGTTTCCACAACCGTGGGCGGCATTTTACAGCAAAACGTACACAGTTCTTTGCCTTTATTTCATAAAGTTTTATACAGAAGAGAGAAGAGAACATGTCTTTAAATGAAAGATTCATTATCAAGAATTTGGGGGTGGGGTGGAGTGGGGTGGGGAGAACGAACTGTCAAAGGGTGATTTGAAATTTTCTGCAGTATTAAGCTGGTGCTTAATAAGTAATAATAAAGGACTTTCTAACATGTCAGAAAAACGTTATTCTTTTGCCATTCACTTAACATTTTTTGTAGATAATATTCATCCTCTTAAAGTATACAATTCAGTAGTTTTTAGTATATACACAAAGTTTTGTAACTATCACTACTAATTCCAGAAAATTTTCACCACTCCAAAAAGGTGCACTCTTTAACAGTCACACACACCACACCCCTCCCCCAGTCCTCTCCAGCCCCTTCCTCCTAGTCCCTGGCATCCACTGACCTATTTTCTGTCTCTGGGGATTTGCCTATTCTGGACATTCACATCCATGGGGTCGTATAACATGTGGCCTTTGTGTCTGGTGTCTTTCACTTAGGACAATGCTTTCAGGATTTGTCCAAGTTATAACTTTGGTGTCCCCCCCCCTTTTTTTTTTAATTGTGGTAAAATACACATAACTTTTACCATTTCAACCATTTTTAAGTGTACAGTTTACCGGCATTAATTACATTCCATTCACAATGTTGTGCAACTGTCATCTCTTTATTTATTTTTAAACTAGAGGCCCAATGCACGAAGATTCGTGCAAGAATGGGCCTTCCTTCCCCTGGCTGCCAGCACCGCCTTTGCTCCAGCCTGGAGCCACCTTTCCATCTTCCCATGCTGCCCAGAGGCCCCGAGTGGCTGGGGCAGTGTGGAACACCTGCATCAGCACCATGGCAACGATGCAAGCATCCCACTCCCAGATGCTTGGTACCTGCATATGCAAATTAGCTCAACAGCTTTGTTGGGTTAATTTCCATACTCCTGATTGGCTGGTGGGCACCCGAAGGTATGGTCAATTTGCATCTTCCTCTTTTATTAGTGTAGATATGTTCTTTCTGATTTCAGAGAGGGAGAGGGAAATAGGAACAACAATGATGAGAGAGAATCATCCATCAGCTGCATGCTTCTTACTGGGGATCTAGCCAGCAGCCCAGGCATGTGCCCTGACCAGAAATCTAACCATGACCTCATGGTTCATAGGTCAGGGTTCAACCATTGAGCCACACTGGCCAGGCCTTCACCTCTATTTATTTACAAAACATTTTCATTATCCCAAATGGAAACTGACCATTACCTGGTAAACTCTAATCTACTTTCAATTTCTGAATTTGCCAGTACCTAGATTGGAATCAAATAAGCTTTGTCCTTTTATGTCTGGCTTCTTAGCATAATATCTTCAGGCTTCATCTATATTGTAGCAGATAACAGATTAAATAGTCCATTGTCTGAATAGACTATATTATGTTCAGTTTATGGAACCCGTCGGTCAGCTGGACAGCACTCCTGATATGGGAGTCCACTGACCACAAGGGGGCAGCTCCTGCATTGAGCGTTTGACCAGTGTGTGTCATAGTGAACAGTTGACCAGGCGCTTAGGCTTTTAAATATATAGATTATTATCTAAAATCAAATTCTGGCGGTTTAGGTTGGAACTTGTGTTACAGACTCAGATATGTCAGAAAGGAAGGAAGAAAAGCCATCGGCATCCATAAAGAATACAGTAGGAAAAAAAAAATACAGTAGGTCCTCCTATAGCATGACGTAATGCAATTTTTGCCATAAGATGGAACCCACCTACATAAGCACCTACGTCACTCACATGGAGCACATACACTGCCGTAATGAAGTGAAACAGTGAAAAAATTTAAAAGAAAAATAACAATTCCTGACTGTTACTTGTGGTAAATGAATAGTAAAAAGCATAAAGCACAGCCCTACCAGTTTGGCTCAGTGGATGAAGAGTTGGTCTGGGAACTGAAGGGTTCCGGGTTCAATTCTGGTCAAGTGTACATGCCTGGGTTGCAGGCTCAATCCCCAGTGGGGGGCTGGGGTGTGTGTGCAGGAGGCAGCCAATTAATGATTCTCTCTCATTACTGATGTTTCTTTCTCTCTATTCCTCTCCCTCTTTGAAATCAATAAAAGTGTAATTTAAAAAACCAAAAAACATAAAGCACATATGTACAACCGTTAAAATGACTGAATCTTTTTATAAGTAAATGGGAGATGGTGACATAACCACGAAACGACTTCGAGTCCGATGTAACTCGAGGGCTGCCTGTAAAAGTTTGTTCCTGAAAAACCTGGTTTGTTTTTAATGGTGGAATCTTTGTGATAGAAACCAACTCTCTGTGGTGCATGTTGCACTAGTGCCAGCAGGGGGAGCATGGACACTAAGAGCCAAAAGCCTGGCTCCTGGAATATTTCTCCTTGGTGCTGCATAATGTAGGTGTTTTGTTTTTGAATGCGTCTGAGAGAACAGTTTCCAAAGGACTTAGTAGAATAAATTATGCAAGAAGTACAACAATGGATTTAAAAGAGCAGTTTTAATCGACATGTAATGCTGACATTAAAAGAAGATTGTTACAGCCCTAGCCGGTTTGGCTCAGTGGATAGAGCATTGGCCTGTGGATGAAGGATTCTGGGTTTGATTCGAGTCAAGGGCACATGCCCCGGTTGTGAGCTCGATCCCCAGTAAGGGTGTGCAGGAGATCAGTGATTCTCTGTCATTATTGATGTTTCAGTCTCTCTCCCTTTCCCTCTCTGAAATACATTTTTTTTAAAGCATAACTTTTTTTAAAAAAACCTAGTATTTGGCATAAAACTACCACACTCATATTTATTAATTTTTTTAAAGATTTTTAAAATTGATTGTTAGAGAGACAGGAAGAAAGAGGGACAGAGAGATAAACATCTAGTTGCTGCCTGCTCTATGCCCTCTACCAGGGAATGAGCTGCAACCATGGCATGTGCCCCGACTGGGAACCAAACCACAACCCTTTCTGCACAGGATGACACCCACCCAACAGAGCCACACCAGCCAGGGCATAGGGGTGATCTTTTAGGGAAGGCAGGTTAGTAATAATCATAAGACTTTGATTTGTTTTAGGGTTTTTCTTTGTTTTTTTAAAATTTTGTAACATTTTAAAATGCTCATTCTCTTTGATCCAGCAACTTCAGTTCAAGCATTGTGGAATGCTGAAAGACACACACACACCTGGAAATAATTTAGTCATTTTTTAATAGCGAATTGGATACCTAAGTCAGAGTACATCCATAAAAACCATTATAAAAAAAAAAAATGAGCTCTCTCTCTCTGTCCTGTCATGGAAAGTTGCCTTATAAATAAAGTTCAGGACTTTTAATATGATTCCATCCTTGTTTATGTAATTAATTGTATGTACTCCAGGGAAAATGAGCTTATGCATCAAACTGTGAACAGTGATTTTCTTAGGGCAGGAACAAAGATTGTCCTGAATCATATGTACTATAATTCAGTAAAATATATGTGATCTCCATAACCAGGAGGAAAACCTTTTTTACAAAAGATAGATACAAAAATCAAAGTTTAGAAAAAAAAAATATTATCCAAAAACAGGCTGAGGACCACCGTCACCTTGTTCTTTCTTCTTAAGCATCCTGTTTATATTTATCATTTTAATATGCCACTCATTACTGTCATGTGTTGAAAGATTACCATGCAGGGAAATACTCAAAACCAGATTCATGAGAACTGTTTTATTCCGCATTTTCCTTTTGTCTACAATTACCAGTACCGAAGACTTTCATAAAAGGTTTGGAGCCGTGTCCAGAAAAGGAAGGACTAGCATTACACGAGAAGCCATTTGGTTTGTTTCCCCTTGGTTCTGTTTATGGAAGTCTGGGAGACCATTCCATTAGGAGGGTGTAGTGTTAGGGCTGCATCTGTTCTGTGTTGATTTTGAGATAAAACATCCATCATGATTTTCCACTTTGCTTGAACACTGCACCTCTGATTTATCGGTTGTCCCAAACACTTTGCCGTTTTAATTCTATTTAACCCTTGCAAGCACCGTTGTGGCAGATCTACTGGTAAGTGCTTTTCCCCTTTTCTAGGTGAAGGAAGCTCGTGTGTGATATAACTTGCTATAATGTAATTACTGTAAGATCACATACCTGGAAGCTGGCAGGAATGGCAATGAAAAGCCACGTCTTTATGAATCCAGGGACTGGCCTTCCCATCCATTATAAGATGGTCACTTTGCTACGTTGATATTTTTAGTAACACATTCAGGCAACAAGATCAGGAGATTTGCCGAAACCGGTTTGGCTCAGTGGATAGAGCATCGGCCTGCAGGCTGAAGGGTCCCAGGTTCGATTCTGGGCAAGGGCATGTACCTTGGTTTCGGGCGCATTCCCAGTGGGGGGTGTGCAGGAGGCAGCTGATCGATATTTCTCTCTCATCGATGTTTCTAATTCTCAATCCCTCTCTCTTCCCCCTCTCTGTAAAAAATCAGTAAAATATATTTTAAAAAATAAAAATAAATATTTTTATTGATTTCACAATGGAAGAGAGGAAGATAGAAACATCAATGAGAAAATAATTGATCAGCTGCCTCCTGCACACTCCACACTGGGGATCAAGCCTGCACCCCTAGTATGTGCCCTGACTGGGAATGGAACCATGACCTCCTGGTTCATAAGTCGATGCTCAATCACTGAGCCATGCTGGCTGGGCTACATTTAAATTTCCTTCCTTCCTTCCTTCCTTCCTTCCTTCCTTCCTTCCTTCCTTCCTTCCTTCCTTCCTTCCTTCCTTCCTTCCTTCCTTTCTTTCTTTCATCTTTCTTTCTTTTTCTTTTCTTTTTTTTTTTTTTTAAATATTTTTTGTTGATTTTTTACAGAGAGGAAGGGAGAGGGAGAGAGAGAAACCTCCATGAGAGAGAAACATCAATCAGCTGCCTCCTGCACACCCCCTACTGGGGATGTGCCCACAACCAAGGTACATGCCTTTGACCGGAATCAAACCTGGGACCCTTCAGTTCACAGACCAAAGCTCTATCCACTGAGCCAAACCGGTCAGGGTTACATTTAAATTTTCAAGCAGAGTGGCAAGAAGATAAAATCAGGATTTTTATAAGGTAGCATTAGTTACAATTCATCAAATGTTTTGGAGGGTAGAGTAATGGGAGGGAGATATTCCTGGGAGTAAGAATCAGCAAAGAATCAATCTAAGAGGTTAATCAGAATACAATGAGGATCAGTAAAAGCTGGGACTCAGAAAAAGGAATTTCTTGGTGTTGTTCCTAGTATTAAAGTCTCCAGAAAACGCCAAAGCCGGTTTGGCTCAGTGGTAGAGCGTCGGTCTGTGGACTGAAAGGTCCCAGGTTCAATTCCAGTCAAGGGCATGTACATTGGTTGCAGGCACATCCCTGGTAGGGGGTGTGCAGGAGGCAGCTGGTCGATGTTTCTCTCTCATCAACGTTTCTAGCTCTCTATCCCTCTCTCTTCCTCTCTGTAAAAAATAAAATATTAAAAAAAATAAAAAAGAAAAAAGAAATAAAAGTAACCTGTTTAAAGTCTCCAGAAAACTTTATTTTATGGCAGCTGAACTCTGACTGGGCAAGCCCTCTTAGTTTTGCCTTTGTGATTGCATGAGTTAGTTGCCATAGCCTTAGTTGATTGACCATCTCATAAAAAAATGTCAGGCTGGACATCTTAGAACTCCAGAATACATTTTACTGCAGGGAGGGAAAACCATTTAGAAAGATGGCCATATGTATTTTCTCCAGTTGTTCTGGCAAATCCTTTGTCCTGAAGTTCCTTTCCAATGAAAGGAAGGCTCTATCACTGCCAGGAGACACTTAAGAGATGTTAAGTAATGTTTCCCTTAGGGTAATTTACAAGTGTTGTGTTTTTCCCCCTGGTACAAAAGACAGATCTAAGAAAAATGTCTAATGTAGCTGGGAAAGATTTTCATTCTTGGGAGACTGCTGGGCGTTCCGAAATGAACTTAAGTGGAGCAGAGCGTTTACATTAATAAACTGTTCCTTTTCTTAAAATATATACTTTACTGATTTTTTACAGAGAGGAAGGGATAGAGAGTTAGAAACATCGATCAGCTGCCTCCTGCACACACCCTACTGGGGATGTGTCCACAACTAAGGTACATGCCCTTGACCGGAATCGAATCTGGAACCCTTCAGTCCACAGGCCGACGCTCTATCCACTGGGCCAAACCAGTTAGGGCAATAAATTGTTCCTTTAGTGTATCTGATTCAACACCTCATAGTATCCGGTATCCACATCATTCTGCATCTATTAAAGTGGCTAACCTCAAGGTTCACAGTCAGCTATCTCCTTGTCAATTATGGGCCTCATTTCTTCGCCCATGAAAGGAAGAATGAACATGAGATAATGTCTAACATCTGCTCCAGTTCCAAAGTCATCATTTTATAAGATGATTTCACGAGAAAAAGGGAGCTTTGTCCGCTGGCTATACCTGTGTGTCCTGAGTTGCTATACATGTATCGCTATATGTCCTTTTTTTTTTTTTAAAATAAATATTTATTGTTCAGATTATTACAGGTGTTCCTCCCCCTTCCCCCCACTTAGCTCCCCTGCTATATGTTCTTTGAATAACATTCAAATCAGTATGATCTGACTTATATTAGATTAATGGAATTTAACCTTGGAATCCATTCTACTTGGGGGCAATTGATTTTAAAGAGGATTGTTGGGGGCAATTGATTATTTATTTATTTATTTATTTATTTTTTAATCAATCTTTATTGTTCATATTATTACAAAGGTTCCTCATTTCTTCCCCCCTCCACCAGGTTCCCACCCCACCCTCCGCCCCCTCCCCATCCCCCATTGTCCTCATCCATAGGTGCAGTTTATGTTCAGTCTCTTCTTCCCTCCCTTTCCCCAATAGTAAATCCCTTTTCAGATAGTAAATCAGTTACTTAGCATTTTCTCAAATCAATAATACCTCCACATGCCCAATGATACACTTCACACAAAAGACATTTCCCAATAGGTCCACCAGCCTCATCCAGGCCCCACCCAAGGCACTCACAGATCAACACCCCAGCCCTGTACTAACTCCACACATCCAGATCTAAGCCTTCATCACTTGATTCAGCAGACCCTCAAGTTCCCACGAAAGTTTCCAGCCATGTCTGAGAGGCAGCCGTGGGGCAGGGGCAGGCGAGGAGCGAGCTGTTCCAGGCCTGGCTGCTCAGGGCCTGGCCTCTGTTGCTCTGGTTCGTTCCACAACCAGCTGCTCCGGGTCTGGTCACTGCCGCTCCCGACCTAGTTGCTCTGGACTTGGCTGCTGCTGCTCCGGGCCTGGCCGCTCCCAGCCTGGCAGCTGCTGCTCCCGGCCTGGCCGCACCCGACCCGCCGGGGGCAATTGATTTTAAAGAGGGATTGTAAAAAAAAAAAAAAAAAATTCCAGAAAGGTAGATTCTCCTTTGTCTCTTTATTTTTTTTCTCTATAAACCTGCCAAAGTCCACGATTTATGTTGTACATTCCATGAGGTATTTTTTGTTTTTTTCTTATTTTTTAATATATTGATTTTTTACAGAGAGGAAAGGGAAAAGGATAGAGCTAGAAACATCGATGGAGAGAAACATTGATCAGCTGCCTCCCACACACCTCCCACTGGGGACATGCCTGCAACCAAGGCACATGCCCTCGACCGGAGTTGAACCTGGGACCCTTCAGTTCCCAGGCCAACACTTCATCCACTTAGCCAAACCAGTTATGGCCATTCTATGAGTTTTGACAAACATATGACATGTCCACCATTATAGTATCATATAATTTCACTGCCATAAAAATCACCTATGTTTCATAAATTCCTCCCTCCTCCCTAACCCCTGTCAACCACTGATCTTTTACTATTTCATCTTTTCCAGGATGTCATCTATACTAATAAAAGGGTAAATGCTAATTAGACTGGGAGACCTTCCGGACATGCTTCCGGCCAAAGCCATGGTGGTAGGCCTGAGGCAGATGTGGCTAGGGGCGATTAAGCCAGCAGGGGAGGGCAGTTGGGGGTGATCAGGCTGGCTGGGAAGAGCAGTTGGGGCAAGCAGGCTGGTGGTGGGTGGGGGCATTTGGGGACAACCAGGCTGACAGGTAGAGTGGTTAGGAACCAGTGGTCCCAGATTGGGAGAGGGATGTTCGACTGCCAGTTTAGGCCAGATCAGGGACATCCCCCGAGGGGTCCCAGATTGGAGAGGGTTCAGGCTGGGCTGAGGGACAGGCCTCCCCCTGCCCCGTGCATGAATTTCATGCTCCAGGCCACTAGTATAGTTAGAATCGTACAGTATGAGGCTTTTTACTTTGGCTTCTTTCAGTGCATGTAAGTTCCACCTTTTCATGAACACCAAGACTGTGCTCAAAGACAAATCTCTCTGTAGTGCTAATTGAACATTAATATGCAGACAATCAGTTTTGATAGTAACTGGCAAGCCTGTGGAATTTAAGGACCAAAGCCGGAAACTATATTATTTATTTTCTTGCTAATCCAATACTACGTAGGATAAAAGTCTTTCTTAAATACATTAATATAATGAAAAATATTAATCCATTATCTTTTTGTACTGTAATATGTTTTATTTTTCATTAAAATTGTACTGGCATCATTATTTAGATGACGTTTAATAAAATAATATTTTCATTGTCTAGTTTTCCCCAGGCCATTATTATTAGTCATTTCAGGATTATTACTGAAAGTAGGTTTTTTTTATTTTTTATTGTTGTGTTTTTGTTTTGTTTTGTTTTTGTAAAAAAGAGGGGTGGCCAAGAGAATGTCAAGTCACAGACTGGTAGAAAATATCTGCAAAACACGGAGCTGATAAAACAAACACTGTTACCCAAAACATACAAAGAACCCTTAAAACACAATAGGTAAGACCATAACCCCATGGGAAGATCAGAAAAAACTCTCAGCAGAAACCTCACCAAAGAAGGAAGAGCTGTCCTTTGAGTGACAGGTGGACTAGGGAACTGCCAATTATAAGGTGGCTAAAGCTCAACCTAGCCTTCATCCTGAGCTGGTGAAGCATTTCACAGGGGAAGCCCGCCCCCCGCCTCCCGCGGCCACACACGCCTCCGCAGTGGGGGCGTGGTGCCCTCAGCCAGTTAGGACTGTCCCTGGCGCCTGACTAAAAATATATATTCTGACTAAAAATATTATATTTATTATATTATATTAATTATATTATATTGATTTTTTACAGAGAGGAAAGGAGAAGGATAGATAGCCAGAAACATCAATGAGAGAATCATTGACCAGTTGCCTCCTGCACAACCCCCCTACCAGGGATGTGCCCGCAACCAAGGTACATGCCCTTGACCTTTCAGTCCGCAGGCTGACGCTCTATCCACTGAGCCAAACCGGTTTCGGCAGGTTTCCATGTTCCACCCCCCCATTAACAAAACAAATGGAAAACCAAATCATTCCACCTGAAAAGGGGGTGGGGAAGAGACTGAGGTATTTATTCAGGCAACTTGCGTAGCCGCCTATGTTCCCGGGGGCGGAGCCACTGGTGGACCCGAAGGACCCATGCGCGGCCGCCATCTTGGAGTCTCCTCTCAGGCGCTCCGACCGGCTTTTCGCGCCGCCGCCCCGGCTCCCCGCGGCCTCGCCACCGGGCAGGATGAATGTGATAGACCACGTGCGGGACATGGCGGCCGCGGGGCTGCACTCCAACGTGCGGCTCCTCAGCAGCCTGTTGCTCACCATGAGCACTAACAACCCGTGAGTGGAGGCGGGGAGCGGCCCGGGGCTCCGGAGCTAGTGGCGCCTGTTTGGGAGCGGGGGGCGCCGGGGGCTGAGGGGCCCGGGGGCCGCGGAGAGGAGCGGCCGCGGCCTCCGCTGAGGCGCCGGGGCCGGCGAGGCCTCCTCCCGCGGAGCCGCCTCAGGAACGCCGGCCGCGTCCCCTGACTCGCCGCGGGGCGGGCGCCGAGGGGCGGCGGCGGCGGCGGCGGCGGCGGCGGCGGCTCTGAGGACCACCTGGCCAGGGCTCCCCGAAAGTTGAGCGCAAAGTAGGGTTTCCTGAGGTTCCTGGTCCCGGGCAGAGCGACTGTCACGCCGCTGGGCTGGCTCCTCTCTCCCCAGCTCCTCCCTGAAGAGCGTCTTTCTCTCCGTGAAGCTCAGAGGCCCGCCCCCTGGGTTCGTCCCACATGGGGACGGGCTTTCCCCCTGGAGGGTGTCGGCAGGCTCCCTTTCCCGCCCCGGGAAGCCTCTGGAAATGGAGACCCCCTGGGAGGTGGGGAGTGACACCTTGGTAACGACTCGCAAACGTTCCTGTTGTCAGAGTTGCCTTTTAAAAAAAATATATTTTATTGATTTTTTACAGGGAGGAAGGGAGAGGGATAGAGAGCTAGAAACATCGACCAGCTGCCTCCTGCATTGGGAAATCGGGGGTTTGCCCACAACCAATGTACATGCCGCTGACCGGAATCGAACCTGGACCCTTCAGTCTGCAGGCCAATGCTCTATCCACTGAGCCACACCGGTTTCGGCAGAGCTGCCTTTTATTGAGTCTTAGGACGGGAGCGGTGCAGGGCCCTGTCCAGCCTGGAGTGCTTCCATGTCTCCATGGTGCTCACATTAAGTCCCTTCCCGTGCCCGGCGAGCCACACACCTGCCTCCCCAATGTAACCTCCAGCCTCCCTCCCCTCTCTCCTTTCTGATGGTGAACGCGCCCAGCTGGTTCTCCGCTCAGGTTTTTTGCATTTATCTTCCTGCTCCTAGTTCTTACCTCAGGCCTTCCTCCTCACACAGCTTTCCACCCAGAGAGCCCCTTCTAAAGAATTGTTCTCAGCTCCTCAGAATTGCTCCTTAACCCTTACTGTTCTCTCCCTTCGCCCTGGTGTATGGTCTGCATCACTTTTTACTTTAAATAACGGAGGTGTCATGGACAGGTGACATATTAATTGCAGGTGCACAGTGTGATAATTCGGTATATGTTGTGATAGGATCACCACAACAAGTTTAGTTAACATCTATCCCTACATGTACCCTGTTTCCCCGAAAATAAAACAGTGTCTTATATTAATTTTTGCTCCCAAAGATGCGCTAGGTCTTATTTTCAGGGGATGTTTTATCTTTCCACGAAGAAGAATACGGTACACATTGATTGTTAAATGAAAATAAAGGAAATGTATTACCTGTATACAGTACGGCAGTACGGTATTTGTCAACACAAACCAGACAAACTGTGAATCCTACAGTATCAAGAATTGACTCATTTATTCAGTGACAATCATGTCATCATCTTCTGGAACATCATCATAACAAACCAGTTCCTGAATTTCCTGGTGAATTTTTTGTGACTCCATTTCTTTCAGAATCAGTGGACCAAATTTCTCATGTTTAGCCTAGGGGGGCCTTATTTTCGGGGAGATGCCTTATATTTCACTCAGAAGGAAACCTGTAAGTAGGTCTTATTTTCGGAGGATGTTTTATTTTCGGGGGAAACACGGTAGTTACAGGTTGGTGGTTTTTTCTCTGGTGAGAACTGTGACGATCTGTATTCCGCCTCACCCTGTTAAAGAAGGCATCTCTTAGCTCCTACTGAAGCCAGCCCGGTGCCTGGGTACAGTAAGCACTCATTGACTGCACGTGCTTAAAGAAGTGCATACAGCCGAAACCGGTTGGTTCGGTGGATAGAGCGTCGGTCTGCGGACTGGAAGGACCCAGGTTTGATTCCAGTCAAGGGCATGTACATTGGTTGCGGGCACATCCCCGGTAAAGGGTGTGCAAGAGGCAGCTGGTCGATGTTTCTCTCTCATAGATGTTTCTAGCTCTCTATTCCTCTCCTTTCCTCTCTGTAAAAAAAAAAAATCAATAAAATATATTTTAGAAAAAAAAGAAGTGCATACAACCTGAAGCAAGTGACATACCCTGTTGAGTTCACACATCAGTAAGTGGCAGAGCCATAGGTCTGGGTTTTGGTCCTTTTGATGCTAAGGCTTCTGTTCTGACCAGGACAGCCTGCTGTCTCTAAATGGCATTATAATTACATTTTCTACTCCGGGTGGATCCATTTGCATTTGGCCTGTTCTTGAAGCTGCATAGGGCAGAAAAGAAAGACCCCTTGAATACCTGCAATGCAGCTGCTCTCCCTGTTGCATTCCCATTAATGTGCTTTTGGACCTCTCTATGTGCAGCCCATCGTTTTGCCACTTCCGTTGACAGGGAGGAGCTCTGGTCTCTGTCAGCCTTCTGTGTTTATTCTGGAACCTTTCGCTTGGTTCTGAGTGATTTGTCAAACAGTTTCCACCATTGGGAATTTGTGCAAGAGTTAGTCATTGTCCTTGGTTCGTGAAGATGTTACAAGATAGAAGCAATCTGATCCTCTGACTAGACTTCTTCATATTAGGTTACACTGGTAGTTTCCTAATTTCAGGAGGCATTTAGATTCTGATCTATATCATTTATATTTTCAAATTTCTTACTGACTTGGCAATAAAATACAGTAAAAAAAAAAATCGAACAAAGCAGAAAGGATCTGCAGATAAGTATCTGTCTCTGAGTCTTTAAAAAAAAAATATATATATATATATTTTATTGATTTTTTACAAAGAGGAAGAGATAGGGGGAGAGTGTTAGAAAAATGGATGAAAGAGAAACATCGACAGCTGCCTCCTGCACATCCCCTACACCCCTACACTTGGATGTGTCTGCAACCAAGGCACATGCCCTTGACCTTGAGTCCTCTGGTCGATGCTCGATCCATTGAGCCAAACCAGTCAGGGCTATCCCTGAGTCTTGAACCTCATCCCACCATTTCCCTTTTCCAGAGGCAAACAGCAATTAAGTTTCTCACATATCATTCCAGAGATAATGAAAGTAGGCATGTTTGTTATAATATATAAATATATGAATGCTTCCTGAGTATAATAACATTTTCTATCTAATCTTATTTATCATTAAATACATAGAATCTCAGAGTTGGAAGAGATTTTAACTATCTGGACTATAGCTTTCAATTTGTGAATTTCCTTTGTAACGTTATATCCTGTGTTTAAACTTTCCATCCTTCTTAAAAGAGTTTTTTTAATTAAGATAAAATTCACATACCATGGAATTCTCCCTGTTAAGAATACATTTCTGGCCTGACTGGCATGGCTCAGTGGTTGAACGTCCACCTATGAGCTAGAAGGTCACAGTTCAATCCCAGTCAAGACACATGTCCATGTTGCGAGCTCTGTCTCCTGTGTGGGGCATGCAGGAGGCAGCCAGACAGTGATTCTCATCATTGATGTTTCTATCTCTGTCTCCTCCCTTCCTCTCTGAAATAAATAAAAACATATTTTAAGAAAGAATACATTTCTGTGGTTTTAAATATATTCATAGAGTTGTGGAAGCATCACTTGTCTATTCCAAAGCTTCTTCATTACCCAGAAAAGAAACTCGCTTATAAAGTAGTAGTCACTCTCCAATCCCATTTCCTCAGGTACCTGACAGCCACAAATCTATGCCACTTTTTTTTTTTAATCTTAACTTGATATATATATATATATATATATATATATATATATAAATTTTTTTTAATTTTTTTAATTTTTAATTTTTATTTTTTGGAGAGAAACATCCATCATTTGCCTCCTGTATGCACCCCGAACAGGGATTGATCATGCAACGTAGGTATGTGCCCTGACCGAGAACCGCAGCCTTTTGGTGCAGGAGGATGCTCCAACCTACGGCCACCAGGTTGGAGCTATGGTTCCTATTGAGGATCCTTTGTCAGTCAGCTTCTAGGCTCTTACAACACTTGTGAACAATATTCAAGGTTAAAGTTTTGGGACATTGATTTCATTACACTGTACTTAAACCCCTGAGACTCAAGATAAAAATTCAAGTGCTTATAAAGTTTACTCTTGTGTATAAAATAAAAAACCTTTATCAAATAAGACTAATTCTCTTTCTATTCCACTCTATTCCACTGGTTTATCCTCATCTATTTCCATATTTCAGTATTTCTATTTTCTTCAGGATTTGAAGAGTTTTCAGTTCCCTACAAACCTCTTTTCAGTACTTTCCTAAAAAGGATTCAACTGGTGAACTTTCTCTTTTCCAAGTTTTCAACTCTTCTTTGGTAATTCTAGTTAAATCATTGTGATTGTTCTTCTTTGTCTTATCCTAAAAATTGATGTTAATATAAGAGAGTATGGATATCTGTCAAACCATTAAATTAACAAATCTTGGGTTAAAGAAGAAGAGAAAAATATATACATTCCTCTTTGTACACCTTTGTAGTAATACAAAGAGATTAGAGGTATCATTGCTTTTCCAGTAAATAAAGGAAACATATTTAAGGCAATCTTCTAGATGTGTTGACCATATTAGCAGAGTATGCCCCATTCCTTTAATTTTAGGAATTAGCACTTAAGGCACTTTTTTTTTTTTTTTTTTTTTTAAACTGTGCCAGGCTTGGACACTAAGAAGGGACACTAAGGGTGGGTATGTACTTTCAAACCTTTCAAAAACAACCCATGTAGAGCGTATACTTTCTTTGTTTTCTAGTGAGTTATTCTCCCCATCTCAGAAGTACCAGCTTTTAGTGTATCATGCAGATTCGCTCTTTCATGATAAGGAATATCGGAATGCTGTGAGCAAGTATACCATGGCTTTACAGCAGAAGAAAGCCTTAAGTAAAACCTCAAAAGTGCGACCTTCAACTGGCAATTCTACATCCACTCCACAGAGTCAGGTAATGGGAGATTCAAAGTGTGATTTTGGTGGGGAAGAGGGCTGGGAGCGAGAGAGACTGAAAAAATTTGTAAGACTGATGTTTAGATGTGGAAGATGGTAAAACAAAATGTAATTCTAAAGGGACTTGACTGGACAAACAAAGATGAAAAACACACTTAGATGAAAGAATGCATCCAATTAAGTGCTAATAGCAAAATTCATTTTGGATGAATCTAAAAATGGAATTAACTATGAATGATCTGGGTTCTAACCAACATCATGCCTTGTTCTTCCCTTTCATACAAACAGAACTTAAAATCTAGTGTTTTTATATTGTTAATGAAAATACAACTTTAAAATATAACATTTTACGACTGTGGATACCTGGGAAAATATAAATTCCTGCGAATTGCCGAATCCAGGTTGGCTCAGTGGATAGAGCATTGGCCTTTGGACTGAAAGGTCCCAGGTTCTATTCCAGTCAAGGGCATGTACATTGTTTGTGGGCACATCCCCAGTAGGAGGTGTGCAAGAGGCAGCAGATCGATGATTCTCTCTCATAGATGTTTCTAACTTTCTATCCTCTCTGTAAAAAAAAAAAAATTAATTAATTAATTTAAAAAAATTCCTGCCAATTTTTTATAGTTGCTTAAGAATCATCCGATCATAACGATTACGTAGGCTTTTAGGTAGATAGATACCCTGTTTCCCCGAAAATATGACAGTGTCTTATATTAATTTTTTCTCCCAAAGTTGTACTAGGTCTTATTTTCAGGGGATGTTTTATGTTTCCATGTGCTAGGTCTTATTTTCGGAGGATGTCTTATTTTCGGGGAAACACGGTAGGTAGGTGGATGGATGGATGGATGGATGTTGTTTTGAACACTTCCGTGTAGGCTTTTATTTGAGTATATGTTTGCAGTTCTCTTGGCTGTATATATAGGAACAGAATTGCTGGGCGCTGGATATTATGGTAACCTTATGTTTTAACATTATGAAAAAGTGCCATACTGTTTAATATTTTGAAGAGATGTTTTCATTCCCTCTTAGTGTCTTCCATCTGAAATTGAAGTGAAATACAAAATGGCTGAATGTTACACAATGCTAAAACAAGATAAAGATGCCATTGCTATCCTTGATGGGATCCCTTCGAGACAGAGAACTCCCAAAGTAAGTTGAATTAACAGTTTGTTACATTTTCAACTCCCCACTCTTCTTTCAGGTTTTCTGTATACATTAGGGAGTCCATTTGAACATTTTACTCTTGCCTCTGGTTTTTACTTTGTTCCTTGTTAAAGGGTTGAGTTCAGAGAGGTAGAAGAGTGCCTTTCTTATGAGACCCTGAAAATTCAGCCGATGAAAATGGTAGCTGGAGAATACAAGTGCTAATTCTTTGTTTTTCTTACTGGAGAAAAAAATGAATTGCAATGCACTTCCAGGTGGCAGCTATACTGTTTTAGAACCTCATTTTTTTTGGTAATGTGAATGGTTTTATTAATCCCTTCATTTTCAAAATCAAGTTTACAAGAGCTTTTTGTACTTATTTGTGTGGGGGATATGTACTTGTGTTTGATTTGACAACATAGTGAATAGAATATCTACAACTGAAATGAGAAGATCTGGTGTCTTATCTGAGTTTTGGGCATACAAGCTGTTTGCAGTGTGTACTTGGGCAAATTCCAATTGGAACTTTATTTTCCCCTTATTTATAAAATGAGGAAAATACTTTTCTGCTAACTTTTAGAAAAACTAAGTTTATGTATGTGAGGATACTCTTTAAAGTACTAGTCTGTAAGGAGTATTATATTGGTCATCTTTGATTATGGGTTTTTGGGTGTGTGTTTTTTTAAGCTTAGTTTAGAAAAATAATGCAAATCCTTGCTCTTAGATTGAATTCATGTCAGTATTTAATATTCTACCATATTCTTTCATGTCAACTGTCTCCCTCACTTCATTAAAAAACTGTTCTAGCCAAAACCGGTTTGGCTCAGTGGTAGAGCATCGGTCTGCAGACTCAAGGGTCCCAGGTTTGATTCTAGTCAAGGGCATGTACATTGGTTGCGGGCACATCCCCGGTGGGGGGTGTGCAGGAGGCAGCTGGTCGATGTTTCTCTCTCATCGATATTTCTAACTCTCTGACCCACTACTTCCTCTGTGGAAAATAAAAATTAAAAAAAGAAAAACTGTTCTGTATAACATGCTTAACAGTGAAGAATTTTATTTGTAAGATGCCTGTGCTCATCCTCCTGTCCTTAAAAGAGGAATTTAATCAGTAAGGACCTAGTGTAGTTAGTGTTTTTTCACCTAAATGATGCTGAGTTTTAAAAGTAACCAATCAATGTGTTTAAGTATCTCTTTATAATGAAATGTATTTAAGATTTTCTGAGGTTTCTATACTATTTCCCTAGTATATTTTATGGTGGTGGCTACTATTAAAAACATTTGGAAGCATATTACACACTACTCTGTCTTAAAATAAGCATGAGTGGTTATATATTAACTTGTGTTTTGGTACCCTATGAAAGACTTACTGAAGAATAATTTTTTCATATATGAAGAATATCTTCCTTATGGAAGATCCTGTTTTGATGATGAACTTTGAATTATACCTGTTCATTATCTTATTGGAAGGGCACCATTATTTCCTCCTTAATGACTTCAAGGAGTTTGGGGACAGTGAGTAATGACAAAGAAGCTCAGTTTTGTGGTATCCAGCACTTGGTGTTTACTGCCATCATTTTAAGAGGGACTAGAGGAATCTGCATTAATTAGGAGTACATATTCTTCATTCTGTAGAGCTATTATAGCCAGGGGCAAACAAAGATGTGTGCCTCAAACATAAACCTATAATATTTACAGTTTTTCTTTCTTGTCTGTTAGGGAGTTAACTGGCTTCTCAGTCTGTGTACAGGACAAGGAAGTGAGTCAAAATACGACTAAATGAACGTCTTGTTTTTTTTTTTTTTTTTTTTTTGTTTCATTGGTCTTTTTTTCCCTTCATTTTTTAATTTTTATTAAGGTATTATATGTGTACCAATCCCCACCCCTTCCACTCCTATACATGCCCTCCCTCCCCAGAGTTTTTCATCCATTGGTTATGCTTATATGCAAAAATGAACGTCTGTTAATGTATGGTAAACACCGCCACACATTTCTTCACATTTTAAAGGAAAATTCCAGTGTGAGATTATTATATCTTAGTAAATCTTTAACTTTTAAGAGCAAAAATATAACACACAATTTCTCACTCAATTTTTAGAATATGATTACTGCTTGTGTTTATAACTGGTAGAATGTGGCTTTGTGTTGTTACCAAGTAAGTATCTGCTTTAAAAATAGTTAACTTTCTCACTAGGTAGTAGTCAAAACTCATTCTTTTGAAGTGCCTGGTAGTTTAAAGGGAATTTTAATATTTGTTTGCTATAAGTCATTTGTTAATAACAAGCAGTCAAGAAAAGTTTTTAAATTTAAACCTTTTTTTAATATATTTTATTGATTTTTCATAGAGAGGAAGAGAGAGGGATGGAGAGTTAGAAACATCATTGAGAGAGAATCATCGATCAGCTGCCTCTTGCACACCCCCTACTGGGGATGCGCCCGAAACCAAGGTACATGCCCTTGACCGGAATCGAACCCGGGACCTTTCAGTCTGCAGGCCGACACTCTATCCACTGAGCCAAACCGGTCCCGGCAAATTTAAACCTCTTTTTAAGTTTGACCCTAATGCTGGAGTTTTCCTTTAAGTACCTTCTTTTGCATTTCAATATAGCCTAAAATGGAAAAATCTGAGGCCAAATAAAAAATAGTTTTATTTCTAGTATTATTTCATTGTTTGAATCAGTATGGATTTATGCCATAGTAGATTGTTTTATATACTGTAAGGACATAATTGGAACATGCTTTTCATCTTCAGAGCCACTCTTTTGAGTAAATATTTGGAGTACGAAGCTACAAATGATGGAAGAGTTTGGGATTGGCTTTTTTTTCTCTTTGCCTTCATGTTGACTGCTTCTTTAGGTTATGATCTGGCAAACTCTGTGTTGTGTATGCTCTATTAATTTTACATTGGAATACTGTGTTTCTCTCTGGACTTTTAAGATTATGCTTTCCCTGTACCTTCTTTGGAACGTTCAGGTTTTCTCAAAATTTCCCCATTGCATTTTTGTGAAGTTACATATTTGAGTTGTGTTATTTAAATAGTATAATCTCTGGATCATTGTTACCTTTAAAGGTCAGTTAGAGTTTGATTTTTGTAGCATAACTTTGATGAATCAGGCAGTACAGTACCTATTGGTCAAAGCTCTAAGTATGAGAAAGGAGAGAGTCTAGCTGCTAGACTAATTGTCAGAGAGAAGCCAAGTATTATGCTTTTGGGTCTGTCATTTCCTTTTTTAGGGAAAATTCATCTTAAGTAGCTATGTTAAGAATTCCTCACTTTCTCTGGCTTGATGTTAATTTCATTTAAAATATGTAAACTTGAGCACTTCTAGAATAGTTCATCTTCTGTCTTAAGACCAAGAAAGAATCAAGGTAATTAGAATTTTGTAACATTTCTCAAATGAATGTTACTCCTATTTCCAGAGGCAGCATCTTTGGTCCAAATACTATTGGACCTTTTGGTTGGATAAGTGAAAGGAATTTGATTTTCCTTTTAGAAATGGGAGGACATAGGAAAAGCAAAGGTAGTAATTTCTGTTGGTTTTGATGAATGGAGTTGGTATTTGTTTATTTCCATGGGGCTCTGGGTAGATTTTCTAGTAGAAAGTAAAGTAGTAGCTAGTAATAAAAATCAGGACTTAAATTGATGGTGAAATATTTTCTTTGCAATTTACACGTAATCTTATTGTCTTCTGTTTTTATTTATTACAGATAAACATGATGCTGGCAAACTTGTATAAGAAGGCTGGTCAGGAGCGCCCGTCAGTCACCAGCTATAAGGAAGTGCTGAGACAGTGCCCATTAGCCCTTGATGCCATTCTAGGTACGGATCATTCCTGCCTATATTTGTGGAGTGTTTACTCTCTAGTGTAGCAGTTCTCGATCTTGGCAGTATACTAGAATAGTTTTATTTTTCCAAAAGTTTCATCTGTAGATGGTGATTTAATAGATTACTGTTGTCATGTATTTCACTGATCAAGAAATACTAAATTGTTTGTTCTGTCATATGCATCTTGATTAGAATAGGACAAAGGTTGCCTTTAACCCACAGAAAGGATAACCTGTTGGTTATTACATTGTAGAAGAGAGATGCTATGCCTCACGTTCTTTTTCCTGCTTTTTTTGGGTTAGGTTTGCTGTCCCTATCTGTAAAAGGTGCAGAGGTGGCATCAATGACAATGAATGTCATCCAGACCGTGCCTAACTTGGACTGGCTCTCTGTGTGGATCAAAGCATATGCTTTTGTGCATACTGGTGACAACTCAAGAGCAATCAATACCATCTGGTGAGAGCCACAAAATTAATTAAGTGTTCTTGAAGCCCTTTCCTTGTAAGGTCTGATATATCTAAAGTAGCAAAACAGGAAAATTAGGTGCTTATCCTTGGTGTTGCAGCCAGTTGTCCCTGGGCTTTGTTAGTCTCTTAATGTACCATATGGCCCCAAATGTAATAATCTCTGCTGAGCACCTGTTAATTGTAAATTTGGACGGAGTTTAACTCCGTACTTGGAAAAGTAGTAACCATTGCAAAGCAAACTGCCTTTGTATATCATGCTTGATTGAACCTGGAAGACATCTTTTTGCATGCCCAGAAGCATAGTTATTGCAGCATCTGATCTGGGTTGGGTTTCTAAGACTGGGGATTTTCTTTCTAGTCAGGTAAAGTCCAAGGACAAGAGACTGGGATTTGTGTTCTATTATCATTTGGTTGAGTATCAAGTAGCTGTCATTTGTGAATAACATTACATTTAACATCATATAGCATATTTTATCCACTGAAAAACTGCAATCAGAAAGTTATCTCTGGGTAACAAGAGATTTCTGCTTTATTCTGTATATTTGCTATCTTATATAACTTTTGTGTTTTAGATTTGTCATTCATTTAATTTTTATGTCTAGATAATACAATTTCATTATTTTTAAATTGTATATTTTAACTTTTAGATATAACTTTATTTAATCATAAGCTCAGAATAAAAATCTAGTGTACAGTTTGTTTTTGAAGTTTTTTATTATGAAAAATGTCATATATACACACACACAAAATAGTACTTATATGCATGTCACCTAGACTTAACAACCAAGAGGATTTTTAACAGGTTTTAAGGTTCACTGTTTAATCTTAAAGTTCACTAGAGAAAAAGTCGTTGTTACGAGATAATGTGGATCTACTGGGAAGCTTAGCTGATCTATACTTCAGAGCTGGAGACAATAAGAACTCTGTCCTCAAATTTGAACAAGCACAGATGTTGGATCCTTATCTAATAAAAGGTAAGCAATTCTTGGGGCAAGGCGGAAGTGACAGTAGAGAGGCAGATGAGAAAAGATTGAAAATGTAGCGTGACTCTTACTCCGCCATCGAGGTGCATGCATTCGCTTCTCCTTCACCATGTCTTCCCACAAGACTTTCAGGATCAAGAGGTTCCTGGCCAATAAACAAAAGCAGAACTGGCTCATTCCCCAGGGAATTCTGATGAAAACTGGTAATAAAATCAGGTACAACTTGAAGAGGAGACATTGGAGAAGAACCAAACTCGGCCTATGAGAACTCACTCATGAGAGATGACTCACATATTCATGCTGTATCCAGGTTGCCTACACCTTTAAATGATTGAAAAGATGCTACTGTGTGGACAGCTGGGACATTTTAATTGGAAAATTAATGGATTTGTGATTTTGCTCTGTTGATGTTTTTTTCCCTGTGATAGTAGGTTGGTTCAGTAATAAATGTGTGAGATCTTTAAAAAAAAATGTAGCATGATCTCTGATACCAGTTTTCATGGAAATAGTTTGTAAAATTTATTACATTTGCTGTTTACCATTCTTTTGGTCCTGATACGTGTCTCTAACGCTTGGGTAATGCCATTTGAGCAGTTGTTTTTGCTTCATTCAAGTGTCATCTCACCACAGATCATTATATAGGTGGTGTTGTTTTTTTTTCATTTGCAAGGAGTTATAGCTTCTCCTTAATGATCATAGGCTCTCAAGATTTATAGATTTATGATGTGCCTGACTGAGCGTTTGGATGGCATTCCCAGAACCGTAATATGCTTTTAGGGGATTTACTTTACTCTGTATAGTTAAAAGGGAATAAATGAACAGATGTTAAGAAAAAGATGAGCACCCTAACTGGTTTGGTTCAGTGGATAGAGCGTCGGCCTGTGGAATGGTCCCAGGTTCGATTCCGGTCCAGGGCATGTACATTGGTTGTGGGCACATCCCCAATAGGGGATGTGCAAAAGGCAGCTGATTGATTCTCTCTCATTCATGTTTCTAACTCTCTATCCCTAACTCTCTATCCCTCTCTCTTTCTCTCTGTAAAAAAAAAATCAATAAAATATATATTTTTAAAAAGGAGGTAAATGAAGGAAGTAATTAGGAGTGAACATCAACAAAATTTATTGATTTGAAAGAAGATTGCAGTTGAAGGAGTAAGCCACAGGCACTTACTTCTAAAGGATGACTGTTGGGTGACTGTCAGTGAGTAAGGCTGTGTGCTCAGGAATAGTAGGAAATAGGTCAACTAGAAGGGCTGAGGTCTGCTTGTAAAGACCCCAAAAGACCTTGTTACAATAAACAGCCTTGTAGACACTTAAGCCACAAGAATGACGGAGCAGTGAGAGGAAAAAAGATGAATTTGTTTGCTTAAGGCCTCCCTCTTGCCAAGTGCTTATTTCTCTCTCCAAGCTACCCTGCCCATAATGAAAATGGTGGTTTAGAAATACTAATCTGGTAGTAGTCAGAAGCTTGGAGTTGGAAACTCAGACCAGAGTCAGGGCCAGAGTCAGCAAAAGGCTTGAGACTTTTTCCTGGGAATTTGAAGGGATAATAAGGAATGGAGGGAAATAGTGTTAAGAGATGAATGACAAGAATGGAGGGCCCTTTTTATAGAACATGAGAGAATAAAGTGTGTGCGTGTGTAGGGATGATTTTATATAAACTAGACTTCAGAAAGAACTAGATGCTTTTTCTGGAATAGGCTAACATTTTTTTCAAGACCAACTGGCATATTAAGTGTGTAACCCTGACTGCCTAGACCTCTTGGAAGAGAGAACGTAGTTGATACCTTTTTTGGGCCTTTCTGGTTGAGTCAGGATAGCTGGAGTTACGGCGACAGGATGCAGGGACAAACAGTTCCTAAAAATAGCAGGCTTTCAAATTGTGAGGTAGCTCCTACTCCTTTCCCTTTTCTTGAGTTTGGATGTGTGTTGTTTTTTTTTTAAAATACATTTTTATTGATTTTTGAGAGGAAAGGAGGGGGTAGAGAGAGAGAAACATCAGGGATGAGAGAGAATCATTGATCAGTTGCCTCCTTCACACCCGACACAGGTGATCAAGCCTACAATCTGGGAATGTGCCCTGACTGGAAATTGAACTATGACCTCTTGATTCATAGGTTGACACTCACTCAACCACTGAGCCATCCCGGCTGGGCTGTTTTTTGTTTCGTTTTGTTTTTCTTATAAATAATTTTGTTGGGAACCTGGAATGCTGACGGAAGGAGCTCATGCTGGTGGAAAGGGCTCAGGTCCTACGGAGCTGGGGCCTCGGAGTGGGCTCTGAGGATGGTGCTGCCCTTTATAAAAGAGTTTAAAGAGCCTCTTCCTTTCTAGGAATGGATGTGTATGGCTACCTCCTGGCGCGAGAAGGGCGGCTGGAGGATGTGGAGAATCTTGGCTGCCGACTCTTCAATATTTCTGATCAGCATGCGGAACCCTGGGTGGTCTCGGGGTATGTTTATGTGCTCCCTTCCCCCCCAGTTTCCAGCAGATTATTTGGGAATTTGTAATTTTTCTGAAATAGAATATAGCTTGAAAACACAGGTTTGAGATAAGACTTTGGATTCGAATTATGGTCTTTGACTTTAGACAGGTGATTTACCTCTTTAAATCTGTTATCCTTTGGAAAACAGTGATGATAACCCTGTTTCATGGGGTAGGTATAAACAGAGAGTGAATGCATCATGCTCAGCGCAGGAGCTGCTGTTATGTTATTGACTTGGCTTGTAAGTTGTCTGTCTCTGATCTGATAACATATCCAGATCATCAGGTTCTCCTTCCATATCAAGATTTCCCCCTTAAAAATGTTTGTTTGTTTTTTCCACTGATAGATTAAGTGTGGTTTGTAATAAAAACCATGTAGAGGGCCTTCTATGAAGCTTCTTTACATAGGCATATCTTGGAGATACTGCGGGTTCCACTCCAACTAACTCAATAAAGCAAGTTTTATAGTATTTTTGTTGGTTGGAAGATCTTGCCTTCAATTTGCAAAAAAAACAAAAACAAAAACAAATTACCAAGAAAAACCCCCAACACCTGTGAAGAACAACAAAGAGCAATAAAGCATGGAGTGTCTGTGTTCTTCTCTCGGATAACTTTGGCTGTTTTTTCTCCAGGTGTCATAGCTTCTATAGCAAACGCTACTCTCGGGCCCTCTATTTAGGAGCAAAGGCCATTCAGCTGAACAGTAATAGCGTTCAAGCTTTGCTGCTGAAGGGAGCAGCACTCAGGAACATGGGCCGAGTCCAAGAAGCAATAATCCACTTTCGGGAGGCCATACGGCTTGCACCTTGTCGCTTAGACTGTTACGAAGGTAAGATAAAAATTATACATGATAGTATGAATCTGTAGGTGTGGCAGCAGCGCTGAAATGGAAGGTTTTGTTAGGCTGGCAGTTCCCATGCTTGGTTGTACTTTGGAGTTCACTGGGGGAACTTTTGAAAGTCCTGATGCCAGGTCACTCTAAGACCCTGTGAATTAGAATATTTGGTGGTGGAAGACAGACATCAGAGTTTTTTTGTTTGTTTGTTTGTTTGTTTTTGAAGATCTCAGGTAATGAGGATGTGCAGACAAGTTTGGGAATCACTGCATTAGGCATTTTAAATTACTTTAGGGGTTTCGCTGGATTTTTTACTTCATACTTTCAGAATCCATTTCTCTTTGTTTTTGGTGAGGGAGTAAGTAGTTGAGGTTAATTTTTTGGATTCTCAAAGGTAGACAACTCATTAGTGTAAATCTCCCTGTGCCAGCACTGTGCTGAATCACTTGGTTATTATATAGGTCTTTATTCTGTTTCACAGTTTCCTTACATTGGGCCAGAAATATTACCCTTAGGGTAACTCCATATTCATGTGATGGTGGTGGTGTGGGAATTGGTAGGTTCATTGTGACTCCAGAGTGGGCATGATCAGGGTCAGACTTTGTTTTATTATGTACTATTTTAAGTTCATGTGAACTGACCCCAGGAGTTCAAAGGAGTTGTGCCAACTTCTCCAATATATGGTGACTCAGTCACGGGCTTTGAAATAACTCTTACAAGATGCATATTTTCATAGGAATTTAAAAATAAACCCGGGAGTATAGGAGTCATTTGCGGTTAACAGAAAGATGAGTTCAAATTTGAAAAATAAAATTTGAAAGGGGGGGTTAAAAAAACAAATCTTCCTGGGTGGATTACTACTCCAATAAAATTAAAAAGTAAAGTGTTAAATAAATAAAAACTGTTAGAGCTATACCTATAGCTATATCTGTGGATTTATTATTTTTTTTATTTTATTTTTTGGATTTGTTCTTAAAGAAACCCCAGCAAACCAAGCTTTTGGTTTCAAATTAAATTCTTAATCCTGAGCTATAACTTCCTACCTCCCAGCAGCTTTTATCATGCTAATTCCTTTGGGCTGTAAGCCTGATGCACCTGAACCCAGGAATGCAGTTGAAGAGCTTGGACCCAGCTGGTTAGAGTTGTTGGGGATAGTTTATGGTTTGTTCCCCAGCTGGCTGGTCAGGGAGGCTTCAAGGGCTTCCTTCACTCAAGCTCTACCATTTGGCGATTGGATCAGGGTGACTAGTCATAACCTCTGTTGCGTGCAGCCTCCAGCCTAGCTGCTTTTACTGTAGGGGCATTCTTTCCATTGCCTTCTGACATTCCAATGGGGCTTTTGCAGGGAAATATCACTTCCCAAGTAGTTACAGACCTCTGTCTTCTGACTATTAACACATTGCCCTTAAGAGTTAGGCAATTCCTGGTTAAGTATCATAGCGTGTGGTGGAATGACACACATGTGATAAATGCTGCCAGGGTGGGGGATATGCAGAGAATCCGCCAGGCATTGCGCGGGTTTGGGGTTCAAGCTGTTGGTTCTGTTTTGATGAGTGCTTTGTGCCAAAAAGTACTTCCTCTGTTTTCCTCAAGTTCTTGGCATGAGAAGTTGAGAGTTGACTGTATTTAAAGTGTCCTCATAGGACATTTACTAGTAACTTGCTGTGGGTATGAAAAGAGTCAGAAGCTGCTAATCTTGGTATATTCGGTCCATCTGATGAAGCTCTTCCCCTCTAGTTCAGGGAAGTCCTCAGCAGATGCTTTGGGGATTGTGTTTCAGATGAAAAGGTCTTCTCTTCTCCTTTGGCTGCTCCCAAGGGCCTCTAGTTTGTAGAACTGGACAGTCACTTTTATAAGGAGCTTAAGACTCGGACATGAAGGTGACAGCACAGTGGAAATTAACAGTTTGTTAAGAGACAGTGAAATCTCTGGTTTTGTTAGAGATAGCTGTGACTATCTCAGCCAGTGATTAGTGTCATACACTAACATTCAGCTGGGCTATATGCATGCTTCAGTTTAGGCATGTTCATTACCTTCCTAACTGAAGGTGCCTTCGAAGGTGCCGTTGGAGTGCAAGCTTTTTCCATATCCACGGGTGCTCTGGGGAAGAGTACTTTTTAGTTACTCTATCAACATACCGTCCAGTCTAATCTCACCATCAACGTTTTCTCCTGGCCTGCCCCTGCTCTGAAACTTTGAAGGTTTATAATTTGTCAGAGTGGAAGCATGGCTTAGAATGGTAATGTGGTTGAGCTTTTTATGTTTTGTTTGTTTGTTTGTTTGTTTTTAGGTCTCATTGAATGTTACTTAGCCTCAAACAGTATTCGTGAAGCAATGGTAATGGCTAACAACGTTTACAAAACTCTAGGAGCGAATGCACAAACCCTTACCCTTCTAGCCACTGTTTGTCTCGAAGACCCAGTGACACAGGAAAAAGCCAAAACTTTGTTAGATAAAGCCCTGAACCAAAGGCCGGATTACATTAAGGCTGTGGTGAAAAAAGCAGAACTGCTTAGTAAGTGTATTTTATTTACTTCCCTGTCCATCATTCATTGTATAAAAACTTACCTCAGCTGGCGCCCCCAGTTCAGCTGGTTACAGGTGATCAGATAAGTGTTTTCCTTTTGTAGTAGATCTGAGCCCAGATGAACTGGTTTAGCACAACTAAATGTAGTTTGCTTAGATCTGCTTGGATTGTCAGGTCTGGTGGAGCTATATTTGGTTGTTACTTGTTCATCTCACTTTGATCCAGTTTTAGTTTCCTGAACCAGTTTGGATTGAATATAACTGGTTTGCACCAACTTGAGCTGTTTTGACCCATCTGGATTCTCTTAACAATTACTATTTTAGCCTTGTTTATTTTTTATTTTATTTACTTCTAAATCCTCACTCGAGGACTTATTTTTATTGATTTATTGAAAGAGAGAGAGATACCGAGAGATCATTTGCCTCTCAAATGGGCCTACTAAGAATTGAACCTGAAACCTGGTATGTGCCCTGACCGGGAATCAAGCTGCCACCTTCCCCCCCCCCCCCCCATCTCCCCCCGATATATATTTTTTTGATTTCAGATCGAAGGGGGAGGGAGGGAGGGAGGGAGGGAGAGAGAGAGAGAGAGAGAGAGAGAGAGAGAGAGAGAGAGATAGTAACATTAATGATGAGAGAGAATCATTGATCAGCTGCCTTCTGCACACCTTACACTGGGGCTCGAGCTTACAATTGGGCATATGCACCGGGATTGAATGGTGACCACCTGGCTCATAGGTCGACACTCAACCACTGGACCACACTGGCAGGGTAAACGGCCACCTTTTGGTGCAGGGAACGGCACTCCAACCAACTGAGCCACACCAGTCAGGGCTAGCAATTTTTTTTTTTTTAGTTCCCTTTAATGATGAACTGGATTTGGGCCAGTTTGGCAAATAAAATAACATGCTCGCTTTTTATTTGAACCTAGCTTAGTAGTACCTTTAAAACAAATCAGAACCCAAACTGCAGGTTTCCTAATGGAATAGGAATTCAGATGAGCTTATTATTTTCTGCCATACCACTTTTTTTATTGTGGACATCTACAAATAGATTGTCGAATTCTGATCAGTGTTGTGGATTTTGTGTATAAGACTTGAGATGGGGCTGAAGCCGGTTTGGCTCAGTGGTAGAGCGTCGGTCTGTGGACTGAAAGGTCCTGGGTTCGATTCCAGTCAAGGGCATGTACCTTGGTTGCAGGTTCCCCAGCCCTGTTTGAGGTGCTTGTAGGAGGCAACCAATCAATATGTCTCTCTCTCTCTCTCTCTCTCTCTCTCTCTCTCTCTCTCTCCACACACACACACACACACACACACACACACACACACACACCTACACACACACAGTCTCTCCCTCTCCTTTCCACTCTTTTGAAAAATCAAAGGGAAAAATACACCCTTGGGTGAGGATTAACAATAAAAGAAACAACAAAAAACAACAACAACCTGAGGTGGGAATGTATTTTCAAAATGTTGGGTAAGTAGGAAAATGAGGGTCTTTTTAATTTTTTTTCCTAGGCAGAGAGCAGAAATATGAAGATGGAATTGCTTTGCTGAGGAACGCACTAGCTAACCAGAGTGACTGCGTCCTGCATCGGATCCTAGGAGATTTCCTTGTAGCTGTCAATGAGTATCAGGAAGCAATGGACCAGTATAGTATAGCACTAAGGTAGGCACTTAGCCTCCTGGGGGGAAGTTTGATGAGGGGTAGAGAAGGCAGGGAACTATGTCACAGAAATTCTGGAAACACACACACATTGTGCCCACGGTTGCAAACAGAGTAATAACAGAAGAGGAATTTGTGAATTCGTGACTTCAAAAAAGAATTTTTAAGTATATTAACATTAAAGAATGGTTTCACTCATAACCAGCTCACATCACTATAATTTCTGTTTTCATTTGTGTAAATCATCTTCCTGGTCTTGACCACACATATACATATTTTTATAGGGTTATATGTAGTATATATTTTATATTCTGCTTTTTCAAATCGAAGTATTATGTTTCTACCTACTATAGTAGTTAAGAACTTAAGCTCTGAAGTTTGGCTACTTACTTCCCCCACCTGTTATTTTGGGCAAGTTACTAACAAATTTCCTTGTCTGTATCTATCTGCCGTACTAGGTATTAAAAGGTTAAATGAGGATTAAATGATTTTTCCATGTAAAGCTCTTAGCACTGTGCCTGGTACATAGTAAATACTAAATAAATAGTGGTATTCTTACTGCTTAGTACAGAAGTGATTTCTTTGAGGGTTGTCTGTGTGTCTGTAAGGTCCTGGTGAGGCCTGTCTGTAATTGAGTCTGATCACGTTCATTTACTTATTCAGCAGCTGAGCACCACTCCTGTGCCTGGCATCTCAGTAACCACTGGGGATGCTGCGGTTCCAGTTGCTTTCAGGCTCAGGCGTGCAGACTGATGGATACCACGTGCTAAGTGCTTTCATAGCAGTCTGTAGACGGCAAGGTGGGAGTACAGAGGAGGGTGGGAGCCCTGGGTGTGTGGGTGAGAGCTGGATGGAAGGTTTTAGAGAAGAGGAGATAATACAAATCAATCTACAGGTATATAAGTAAGAACAGGATTCCCACATGGGTTTTGTCTGCTTTTTGGAAGCAAGAGAGAAAATAAAATGCCAGACTTTTATTATAGGTGGGATTTGTTAGAGGTTGGACACCTGCTGGCTTGGGTGATGGTCACAAAGGAAAGAGGAAAGATTACTTAGGAGCCAAGTAGATAAATGTTCTTGAGCTTCTGAACTTTGGGGGCTTTTGCACATGTAATGACTCTTAGCTGTTAAATGCGAATGCTCAGATAGGGGTTGCTTTGGGTCCTGGGGTCTAACCTAGGAGTTGACAAATCTGTTCCATGGTAAGCATGATTTTGGTTAACTCCTACAATGCTGATATGTTTGTCTCATAAGAACATGGAACAGTTTTATTCACAGGAAAATAAATATTTTTTGTAACCCTGTAGCTTAAAAACCTAATACTGTTAGAAATTACATTTTAGTTTTTCTGTTAATGGGGTTTACTACTTTTTCATTTGTGTTATCTGATTGCTTCCTCTAGCTTAGTGCTAGGGGATATGTGTGAAAAGGTTTAAGAAATAAATGAAGAAAAACTCAAATTGAAGATTCTGAAGATTAGGACAAGATACCTTTTTTCACTTCTTTCACTTCTAGCGGTGGATCCCCTTGGTCCTGCCTATGGGACCGGAGTTGTTCGGAGAGGCCAGGCATTCGCAGTTTCTCTGTGCCTGGGTGGTCATTTCACTGGCGAGCCAGAGAGATGGCGCATCAGCCAGCAAGAAGCAAGGCAGAGATTCAGGCCTCTCCTTTGTTTTGTTGTCCCCTAGTTTGGACCCCAATGACCAGAAGTCTCTAGAGGGGATGCAGAAGATGGAGAAGGAGGAGAGTCCCACGGATGCCACTCAGGAGGAGGATGTGGACGACATGGAAGGGAGTGGGGAAGAAGGGGACCTGGAGGGCAGCGACAGTGAGGCGGCCCAGTGGGCTGACCAGGAGCAGTGGTTCGGCATGCAGTGAGGCAGGAGGCGGCTCCGTGGCCGCACCGGCCTGCCCTGCGCTGGCTGAGCACTTCCATGGACCGAAAGAACCGTAGGAGCCTGCTCTCTGGGAGGACGATGATCAGCATGTGATTGCAGCAGGGGTTTCTGCCCCCTGGCTTCCTATTTCTAGTAGTGACCTCATTGTTTAAAACTGAGCCTGACCAACCTTCCGTATAAATCCATCCTCTCCGGCTCCAGAGGGTTGGAGCCAGTAGGACTGGGAACCTCAGGTAACACTGAGCTGGTCCACTTGCATTTTCTTGGTAAATTTCCCTGGGGGAGAGTCTTTGGCCAGATTTTAGACTGTTTCTGTCTGGCTTTCAGGACCTCTGAGGTTGGTGTCTAGTTTCAGCATTTGCTGTGGGGTCATCAGAGAGGCCATTCCCTCATATGCCTTATTTAAGAGGTGATGCTTTTGACAATATAGGTAACCATGAAGTGTGGGGTTGGGGGTTGGCACAACTAACCTCAAATTCTCATTAAAAGAAATTTATCTCGGGGAAAAGAGGAGTGGGGGGTGTGGGAAGAGACTGAACAAAAACTGCACCTATGGATGAGGACAGTGGGGGGGGGGCAGTGGGGGGGGTGGGAACCTGGTGGAGGGGAGCAATGGGGGGGGAATGAACATTTGTAATAATATGAACAATAAAGATTTATTAAAAATAAAATATGCACTTAAAAACAAAACAAAACAAATTTAGTCAAAGGTGGTATAAAATATGAATTTGATGTACAGGGAAAGTTCTGTTCTAAAGTGTATAGTAGTTTAGAAACTCAGAACATCTGATAACTAATTTTTTTTTAATGTATATATATTTTATTGATTTTTTTTTTTTTTTTTTACAGAGAGGAAGGGAGAGGGATAGAGAGTGAGGAACATCGATGAGAGAGAAACATCGATCAGCTGCCTTCTGCACACCCCCTACTGGGGATGTGCCCGCAACCAAGATACATGCCTTTGACCAGAATCGAACCCGGGACCCTTCAGTCCGCAGGCCGATGCTCTAGCCACTGAGCCAAACCGGTTAGGGCTGATAACTAATTTTAAGTGGACAAAAAATTACTGTTAAAAGTATCTTTCAGTATGAGAACCAGTGCCTGGGCAGCAGCATTTGATGGAGCAGTTTCTAAAGAGCCCAGCAGGCAGTGGGACCATGTAACCTGGAGAAGACGCTGCTCGTTGGCCTTAGTGCTCACTCCGGAATGCAGCTGCATGTCCTTCCTCACCTTGCCTCTGAGCAGCCATTCTCAGTCAGTGCATCAGGAGAAAAGGTGGAACCCCTTTGCCATTCCCCTGACTGGGGAGAGAACCCCGCCCCAGTCTTGGTCTTATTTTTGCTTGTCGGTCTCCTCACCATGACCCCTGAGATTCCCTCGGGTTCAGATTGTGCCTTAGTGCCCTTGAGTGTCTCCCTTTTCCTGGGCTGGCCCTCTCTGCTCTGCTGGGAGGTCCTAGATCAGTCTCTATTCCAAGCCCCTCCATCCCTGCGTCGTCTGGGGTTATATCCTTAGGGCCCCTCCCACCTGCAGCTCCAGCATTTCTGTCCTGACAGGTTCCAGGCGGAAGAGGCAAATGAAGCTACATCTTTAGAGCGCCTGACATAGAATTGGGAATACTTAGTGCACATCAGAGAATGGGAAGAGTGACCTGGAGAGTGCTGAAGATCTCAACTGGTACCGCTCCCACTATCACTTCTCACAAACAGAAAAACCTATGTAGGCAGGGAGCTGGGACAGAGTCAGGCTGCCCAGCTCTGGCTGTTCCACTGAACCACCTGCTAGGAGACCAAGCAACCTGACAAGGGGTGGCCTCCCAGGTGCCTTCTGGTGCCTAGAGTTTCGCACAGCCAATATGGGGATGTTTTAACTGATTCTTATTCTCCCCCCGTTTGTAGCACAGGTGTGGGATCAGACTGGGTTTATAAGTCCCAGCTCTCCCACTGTCAGCGATGCGGGTCAGGCTGGTAGTTAGCTTCCATGGCCCGGGCTCCCACATCTGCCTGGGTCTGAGGACTGAATAAAGCTCGTATGGAGTTCAGCATGATGCCTGCTGTGAATGTCACCACCACTGTCAGGGTAAATACCAGATTGCCGATGCTTCTCGGGGGAATTGGAGACTGGGCCGAAGCCGCCTCCTTTTCTCTTTGTGGTCCTTTAGCTGAACAGGGAGGCAGGGTCCTAAAGAAGGGTGCTCCCTGTCCTGCAGCTTGGTCTTTCATACTCCAGTTCTGAGCCCTTTCAGTGTGCCCAAAACCTGGCAGTCAGGTCCCTACAGGGCTGGTGCCGGGAGCTTTCCTTCCCAGCCTTCGATCGGGGCCACAGCCGTGCCTTTGAGTTCTTCCTCAGAGAATGAGGCCAGCTATTTCCCAAATGCACCTGCCAAACTTGATCATGCTTTTCAATGATGCAGGTTTCCAGGCCCAGTACTAAGTCTTAATCCAAATCCAGAACCTGGGCTCAGGAGTCTGCATCTTTCATCACTCCCACCCTGACTTCTTTCTTTTATAAAATATATTTTTTATTTTTACAGAGAGGAAGGGGAAGGGACAGAGTGTTAGAAACATGGAAGAGAGAGAAACATTGATTAGCCACCTCCTGCATACTCCTTTCTGGGGATGTGCCTGCAACCAAGGTACATTCCCTTGATGAATTGAACCTGAGACCCTTCAGTCCGCAGGCCAACACTATCCACTGAGCCAAACCGGTTAGGGCTTTCTTTTCCAATATAGGTATTCCCTGGTCCAAATTTTGAGAAACCTAAGAGGGGAGGTTGGGGGCCCCCAGAAGCTGCAGGCCTGACTTCAGAGGGCATCTGGAGGCCTCACAGTAGCTCCCTGTGGGTGGGAGCAACGCTCATGACCAGTTTTTGGGGCCCATGCCCAGGCCAGCTCAGCCAGCTCCGAAGCTGCAGAACTGCCCGCTGCCCAGGACCGAATTCTCAGCAGTGAAGCCTGACTCAACAAGCACTTCGCCTTGGCCTCCGTGGGCAGTGGTCACGTCAGGCCTGCCAGGGCCTCTGGAGAGGTAAGTGCTTTAGTAAGGTTTTCCACTTCAGGAGCCTCCCTCCCCCGGGCAGCAGGAGGGGCATGGAGGGTAGGCTTCTGTCTTCTGACTTGGCCCTGCTGCACTGGGGCTGCCACCAGTCGGGGCTAACGTGTGCGGGGTGTCCCAGATTGCTGTGGGAGATTTCACTGTTGCCAGCACAGAACATGTCATGTATTTCAGAACCCACACAGTGGCAGTAACCCTGGGAATAAGCCTAAAGCCCTCAAGTCAGTCTCCTTAGCAGCCATTAAAAGAAAAGAGTTTTATTTTTTTTCCCCCCTCCCTCCCCTTAAAAGAAAACAATTTTAAAATAGAGTACCCTTGAGCATTGCTGGTGGTATTGTAAATGATCTAGCCACTGTGGAAAACAGTCTGGCAGTTCTTATAAAATTTGAACAATTGCCATATCTAGCAATACCCAAGGGAATTGAGGCAGGGTCTTAAGCAGATATCTGCACACCCATGCTCATGGCATTCATAATAGACAACGATGGAAGCAACCCAAAGGCCCATTGTTGGATGGATGAATGGATAAACGAGCTGCAACCTCCATACAGTGGAATGTAATAGAGTCTTCAAAAGGAAGGAAATCCCGTCATGCTACAGCATGGGTGAAAATTAATGACGTTATGCTAAGTGTAATAAGCCTGTTACAGAAGGGCAAATACTGTTTGATTCCAATTGTCGATGAGATCCCCAGAGGAATCAAATCCATAGGCTTGAAGAAGGGGCTGGAAGGAGGGGAGATGAATGGGGAGTTAGTGTTTATGGGGCAGAGTTTCCATTTGGAATGTTGAAAAAATCCTGAGATCTGTGATGGCGATGACACAACAATGTGGATGTACTTAATGCCGCTGAATTGCACTTAAAAATTATTAATTTTGTTACATATACTGTGGCCTGTGATTCTGCCATCCAGATAACCCTATTAACACAAGCATTTGTTATATATATTATGTAAACGGTTGAAAAAAATTCAATTCAGTGAATTTGAAGATCTAATTGGCTTTATTAACGCGATTCATGAATCAGCATCTCATTCAGAAGGACACTCAGAAGGGCTGTGCAAAATATAAGGGTTTTATAGGCAGAAGGAGTAAAGGGACTACTGACAAAAGAAAAAGGATTATTTTGGGGCCTGCGACATCTATGGGGGACGAGAAGGGTAAGAGTTTTATGCAGATTGCCTGTTCAGGGCCCTTGTGACAAATTACTGGAGCTTAACCAGAAAATTCCAGACTGGTTAAAATTATGATTCTGGGCCCAGTTGGTGTGGTAAAGTGATTGAGTGTGGACTTAGGAACCAGGAGGTCACAGTTCAATTTCCGGTTGAGGCACATGTCCGCCAGTGGAGGGTGTGCAGGAGACAGCTGATCAATGATTCTCCTCAATGATGTTTCTCTCCCTTTTTCTCTGAAATCAATAAAAATATATTTTAAACTATTTTGACTCGAGAAGAAGTTAAAACCATAGTTCGATCAGGTATTAAATCTAGGCTTAATATCATGGACTTTTAGCATGAGTGATGCCATTTTGTCCCTGTGTTTTTTTCTCTTTGCAAAATGAACACATGGTTTAAAAAATTCAGAGAGAAGTATAAAATTTAACATATATCTACTTTCAAATCTCTACTGAATCCCTGGCTCTGCAAAATAAGTTTCTGTACTATCTTTAGAAAAATGGTATGGAGCTTTTAACTAACGATATGTATACATAAAGTATACCAAAGTGGCCACGCTTACACACAGCGGTGTCAATGTGCTCTTCCTTGCTGGTTCTGACAGTTTCACAGAATCTCATTCTGTGGATGGCACAGTTTTTTTGTTTATTTGATTGGTAGTTTGTGCAAACGAACATGTTTGCATAATATTCCAAAAATATGCAGAGGTCAAATTCCTTATAGTGAAATTTCTAGATCTTAGAGTGTGTGCT